TAATCGAGAGGGCGAGAATGATCAAACAGAAGTCACCGAATCTGCCAAGTGGCGCGAGAACGGCGCTCAGCAAGCCTCCGTTACCTGATGACACATATCCCAGATTGTACTTGTTGTCTCCGCCGTTGATCTCCGTGGCTGTCATGATCGCAATCGCCAGCATCTGGGTGAACAAGAGAGGAGGTAGGAGACCCAACCAAGCGGAGAAGAAGACCTTGCAACGGCTGCGGGTTTTGGGTTGGTATACTGTGTAATCGGCGGCATAACTGGTCCAACCGGTTGCGAAACCGTACACGGTCGAGCCAAAGGAGAGACAACTACCCAGTTCCGATTTTCCAACCCCCATGGGTAGATTTTTGAAGTCGCCCGAGTGAGCAAACATTCCGAAGACGATCATAAACACGATGAAGGTTGGGATCCAGCTCCAGTACTCGTATGCGTGAACGACCTTGTACCCGGCGAATGTGATGAAGAGGGTGCAGATGGCGATGATGAGGATACCGGCGAAGCCAGGTACGTCGGAGTTCACGGCAACAATAAACTGAGCACCCACGATGGCATTGGCGGCAGACCAGCCCACACAGGCCAGAACGTTGAGGATAGCGACTGATGAAGAAGCCATACGTTAGACTGATCGCAAACAGACGAGATACAGACGTGCTCACTGAATTTTGTTCCGTACCAGCCAAACCAGAACCTCGACAACACCATCTGTCGCAGGCCAAACGGAGGCCCAAAGCACGAAAACCAACAAACAGTCATGATACCCAAAAGATTGAAGAAAAGATCGACGAGGAGGGCATCAACGAAGCCGAGTCCGTATAGCGACTTTCCGAGGACACCAATAGCGAACGAACTAACCACCATATTGGCCGCGAGCCACTATGCCGGGTCAGCCATAATGAGACACATGTTGAAATCATTGGGAACATACCATGCTGCTGATATTGAAGTATGAAGTATCCGTTTGCTCATTTTCGGGCACTCGCTCAATACCACGCTGCTCAATGTTGAGCTTTCCTGCCAACCGTTGCACCTTTGCATACCACGAATTCCCGTATGCGAAGCTTTCTCCGGGCACTGCTCCGTCACTGTTACCGTCGACGGGGACATTGCCCACTTCAGGGGCCTTTTCGAGGTCATGACCACCACCGAACATGATGCCTAATTTGCTGTGAATAGAGCTGGACTATGTTTTGTCAAGATTTCCGGTCTTTGTGCGGATTTCCACCGGCACAAGAGAGATTGAACAATCTGACAAGGCAGATACAAATATGGGAGGGGCTAATCGGAACCAAGAAAGCCCAGCGAATACAGCAAAATCAAGAAGGAAAAAGACAGAGAAAAAGAAACCGAAATGAAGGACACATCTTTTTTCTTTTTCTTTTTTTCCCTGAAACCAGGACCAGGAGATACCACTTTAATATGTGTTCGCCTACGTCCACAGAGATAACAAATTCCTTCACGTACAGTGAACCCGCGTCTACTATCAAGGCCCACTTAACGTGTTCTAAACAGGAACAGCGAGTCAAATTGGGAAAAAGAGACGGACGCGCCGGTAACCACCGGGACACGACGATACGTTAGTGAAACTGTCGCGTGCGTATTTTCCCGAGGATGGTGGACGCGATCAGGGCTTTTCTCACCGGAACAGATACACCCTTCGTTGCATACAGATACAGACCTGAAATCTATCTAAATATAAACTTTGCATACCGGCTCCCATCTCTTGGCTTTCCCAAACAGTCTTTGAAATACAGCAGCAGGGCTCGAGTAAAAGCAAGACAAGCCTTTTTTGTGTTGCTTCCAGAACGGTCACTCTCCACTCATCCCCGAGAGTTTATTCAGTTAGCCAATCATGCCTGTATGTGGCCTAGTGCCCCGAGGATCCCACTTATAGTCTGCAAGCTTTGCTATCGGACTCCATGACTATGCTCCTATTGGTGAAGGGGACTTCTTTTGACGGCCTTGGGCCACATGGTTTCTCCGGAGAATAGCCTGATTGGATCAGGATTTGTGCCACTGATAAGATGCTGATAAGGACTGTTCTCCGAGGCCGACTCCGAAGATATCGGGTTATCCGGTATCCAATTGACGTCTGGATATTGCAATAGGGACAAGGGTGAACAGCTAATCCGAGAATGCTGGGATCTTGATTCGTTAATTTCCAAGTACATACATCTTACAAGTACAGAATCGTCAGCCCGAACACATTCGCTACAACATGGGCATGGCCGCGCACAACACCAACTATACATTATTCCAGAGCATGATGAACCACGGTTTTTCAGCACCGGAGCTCGCCTTGGAAGATAAGACCTGATTATTGTCAGTCCAATCCGATAAGCGTATAGTTTAGCTGGCCACCTCCGAAGCGGAGCTGACCGAGTCAATCAGCGGATACAGTGTTCGGCTATCTGGGTAATCTACAATCTACGGGGCACACTACATAGCATGAATTCTTGCAGTATGGGGTGTTAGTCTGGAGAAAGTCATAGTTTAGTGGATCCATGGAGCAGAGGCCGTGAGGTTCTAGATCTAAGGAGCCTACAGTCTCGAAGTTAGCTGAGTATACTTCGTGCCCTAAAGAGCTGATCGCTGGGATCATTGTTGCGTGTCCATGGTTCATGTCTATAGTACCGGGCATGTTTGGCCCTGGATATATTAAGCGATTACAAGGTACGAGGCAAGAGAGATAGGGACTATCTTAGTGCGGATTGTAACATCCGAGAAAAGCAAGGCTTGAATTGCATTCAAGACGCTTGAAATGACTTGTATGTACAATATGACCCTGTCAATCAGGAAACCCTCCAAAAAAAAAAAAAAAAAAAAACCATAATGCAGTGATATCCATAAAAAAACATGATGGGAATTATATCCAACAACCCATATCAATCAAAATCCAAACATTTATAGCTTAGCAAGCATCTTGTTGCCCTGCGCCAGGAGGATAGCAGCATCGTCAACCAGCTCGTCGACGATGGCCTTGGCAGGCTTCTTGTCGTCAACGACAGCGGCAGTCTTACCCATCAGGTAAGGACGGGCGTTGTCAATCGTGTCGTCGTCAACATCGTCAGGTAGGTTCTCGAAGTCGTGCTCGACAGGGATGACACCCTTGGCAGTGAGCTCCTTGATCTCCTGGGAGCGGTTTTCCTCCCAGTTCTGGATGTAGGCATTCTTGCGGACACGGAGGGGGCGACCCTAGTTAGGATTAGTATCAAATCGCGAATGAAGAAGGAATAAAACTTACAGTGAAGATAATGGTGCGAACGGTGTCATCAAAGCTGGCAGTGCGGACAGCCTCCTGGTGAGCCTCGGGAGCACCGGCCTCATCAGCCAAGATGAAGCGGGTACCAATCCAGACAGCGGAAGCACCCAGCATCAGAGCAGCAGCAACGGTCTGGCCGTTGTACAGACCACCGGCCGCAACGACCTGCACGGGCTGACCAGTCATAGGGCTCTTCTTGCCCCGGCACAGCTTGGCAACGGTGGGAATAAGGAGGGTGGTGGGGACATCACCAGTGTGTCCACCACCCTCACCACCTTGAGCACAGATGAGATCTGCGCCAGCATCCAGCGACTTCTGAACGTGCTTGGGGTGGCCGATCATGTTCATGTAGAGGATGCCGTGGCTGTGGAGTCTGTCGACGACAGCCTTCGGGGGGATACCGACAGCGGAGACGAAGAGCTTAGCACCGCTCTCGATGATGATGTCGACGAGTTCGTTGAGCTTGCCCTTGGTGTAGTCGTAGCTAGAGAAGAGCGACGCGTTAGCACCGGGCCTTGACAGTAGACACACTGGTGTAACTTACTTGGTCTTTCGAGCACTGCCACCAACTTGGGGGAGCAGAAGGTCAACACCAAACGGTGCGTTCTTGTCATGCAAGAAGCTCTTGAGCTCGTCAATCTGCTCGCGGAGCATCTCGGGGGTGTAACCAACACCACCGATGACACCCAGACCACCCGCGTTAGTGACTGCTGCAGCCAACTTGGGCCCAGCAGCCACGTTCATGCCTGCCAGCATGACGGGATGGTTGATCTTGAGCAGATCGGTGGCTGTAGTGCGGATTTTCTCTGCAAGACAGCAGTCAGTACCAAATGCTCCAGCTCCTCTCAGGGCCACGTGTGGGGAAATGCGCCGGAAGCTGGGGAAGGAGCGGAAACTCACGAGGAGAGGCCATTGTGTCTCTTGGGTATAAAGGTCAGATAACAAAATATAGGTATATAATGAATATGCGATACAATGAAAGAGTGAGAGATTGATATGAAAACAAGGAGAGAGAGGTTGTCTAATAAGAAGAGCAGCGCCAAAGAGGAGGCGATGGGGCAAAAAGCAACCGAGGCGCAATGAAACCGAGGCTCATCGGCCTGATTGTGATCCGTGCTGCCTCACTACTCAGGCAGAGATTTGGTACCTGATTTGATCACATGACTATTAGACACCTCAGGACATTAGGCATGGACGTCAGCGTCACGAGCTCCTCGACTGCCCGCCAATGACGTATTTGTATATCTTTCTGGAAGTTCGTTTTCTCTATTATTCCAACTCGAACCGCAGTCAAACTGATTGCCACTGGCAGGCATGAGATATCCAGGTTGGCGAAATAGCGCTGCATTGCTCAATTGTCGCGGTTCTGTATGGCACCAGCGACCGCAGTCTGCAGGCGAATCGATAACCGCATATAAAAGATCCTATGCAAGTCTAGCAGCAAGGTATGTTTCTTTGGTGTGCATTGATGCTTATTTCTTATATTCCCTGTCTCTAACTATTTAATAGAAGAGCACATTCTATCCGTCCCAGTAAATCTCATCCCGGTCTTATCGGCCCTCTTTTTTTTTTCTCTTTTTAAGCGGGGAATCATAACTAAAATTCTCGCATAGGGTTTCCACTGCATACAAGAGCATCACCAGTGGTTTCCGGCTATACTAGTTTGAGACCCATGAATCATCTATCTTTACGAAAATTCTCCAATCCCCAATTGCAACAATACAGTTCTAGGATGGATTCCGTCAAGGGTTCCCACCGGGCGTTTATTGCCCTGGGGAGCAACATGGGTGATCGTGTGGACATGATTGAAAAGGCATGCCTTGAAATGGACCGAGCGAATATCAAAGTGAAGAGGACAAGCTCGCTCTTTGAGACGGCGCCCATGTATGTTCTTGACCAAGATCCTTTCATGAATGGTGTTTGTGAGGTAGGTCAATGCAGGTCGATTCAAGAGATACGGAAACACCGTCTAACAATTACTAGGTGGAAACGACCATGGAACCCCTCGAATTACTAGACGCCATTCAATCCATTGAGGTAAAATTAGGGCGAAAGAAGTTAATCGACAAGGGCCCGCGATCAATTGATCTGGATATCCTCCTGTACGACGACCAGGTCTTCTCTCATGAGCGACTTAACATTCCGCATAAATTGATGCTTGAACGCGACTTCGTCCTCCGACCCCTTTGCCAGTAAGCACCAAACATATGCGTAAAACAAGAAACCCACTAACAGAACCAGACTCATCCCCCATGAAAAACCACCCGGCCATACCACAACCTACCTCTCCCACTTCAACTCCCTCCCGCCTCCATCCCCAGTCCCCATAACAACAACCCCCATCTCCGCAACCTTTCCACCCTTCCACTCCACCCTCCCAACCCGTCCAACCCACATCATGGCCATCCTAAATCTAACCCCAGACTCCTTCTCCGACGGCGGCCTTCACTCCCCCACAGACTTCTCAGCCCTCACCACCACAGTTCAGCATTTCATCACGTCCGGCGCAACAATCATCGACATCGGTGGTGAAAGCACACGCCCGGGCTCCGTCCCCGTCGGTGAAGAAGAAGAACTCGCGCGCGTGATCCCAGCCATCGAACATATCCGCACGTCAATCCCTGAAGCTAAGAACATCGCCATCAGCATCGACACCTACCGCGCGCGTGTTGCAGAGGAAGCATGCAAAGCGGGTGCGGACATAATCAACGACGTCTCAGCGGGTCTCCTAGACCCAGACATGCTTTCCACGATAGCCCGGACAGGAAAATCAGCCATTCTGATGCACATGCGCGGCACACCAGACACTATGACAAAGCTAACCGACTACCCGAACGGCGTGATCAAAGACGTTGGAACCGAGCTCGCCGACCGCATCGCCGCAGCCGAAGAAGCTGGTATCCGTCGCTGGCGCATAATTCTCGACCCGGGACTAGGCTTCGCGAAGAGCCAGCCAGAGGACCTCACCATCCTCCGTGAACTACAACGGCTCCGCACGGGCATTGAAGGACTGGAGTACCTCCCATGGCTGATGGGGCCTAGTCGGAAGCGGTTCGTGGGAAGTATCACGGGCGTGACGAAAGCTAGTGAGCGTACTTGGGGGACTGCAACGACTGTTACGGCGAGTGTTGTGGGAGGTGCGGACATTGTGCGGGTTCATGATGTCAAGGAAATGTGGCAGGTTGCGAAAGTTGCGGATGCGATTTATCGGGTTGAGTAGGAGAGTAAGGAAGGGAAAGGTTTATTGATCAACTAATGCGGCCTTGGCTTTTGTTTGTTTTCAACAACACATGTACATTACAGCATAGCTTTTGCATATCATATATGATGTTATTTATCGAGTTCAGTAGAGATATAGAAACTCGGGAGAGCTTGGTATGTGATTGAATAATCTAGCCTTGCGCTTGTCTGTTTGCAATAATACTTCGTCAGTTGAGCAACTCAAATTCCCTCGTCCCCGTCCTCCATTTCATTCGTATAATCCTTCTTCTCCCGTTTTATCCAAAATGTCTTTCAACCACCATGCTTGGGTACTATTTTGGACAGAATTGAACCACATGCAGAGTCAAAATTCGGGAGGGAAGAAGAGCACCATGGGCTGTAGGAGCCAGTATAAAAATACACAAACAGGACACGAACCTACAATTTTGACCATTCAGAATATGATCGATAATTCGGACTGAAAGAACCCTGTGTATAGTAATGTATGAATTATACATCATTTAACAGGAAACCGAAGACGTCTAGTAAGTTATACGAACGCATTCGTTTGTTCTCAATTCATGTTCTTTCCTCAAGGACCCCCAGGGCACGGTTTCCTAGCCCGGTAGCCTCGTTACGTCTGCTAGGTGGTGGCCGTCTCGCAAACTTGAGCATGCTCTCAAAATTCGAGGCGCAGCCTTTTCCACCGCCAGGGTCAATAGAAGGAATGTGAAAGCGCGCGTCTGCCTACTTCTTCATACAGTAGCCGGGAACACCAACTAATGGCTATAATGGCCGCAGACGTAGTCGGAGTCGATTATTCCCGATTGGGAATTTGTAAGGGTTTAAAAATTGGAAAAGAAATGTGTCAAAAAGCTCTCGGAAATGATCAGGTAGAACTGCCACATTGATCACGGACACTTGTTCGATAACCATCAGCCTCCCGCCAACGACATGCTTCATTTTCTTCATCACCCATCATGCCCTGTGGGCGAGCTCAATGGCAGTCATTTTTCTCAGGGAAAGATGTCAGCATCTCTTGATTACCGGCGCAGGCACCAGGATCGATAGTCCGTGCATTGTACTTCCCATCGGTCTTTTTTTTGTGTTTGTATGCAACGGCCTAGCCGGCGAATAGGCCGGTAGGCCGACAGATTGTAGTATAAAACAAAGTGCCGTTTTCCATTACCAACTATGGGAGTTGGTGTCGGACTAATAGCAAGGACCTAATCTTCTGGGAGAAATCATTGGGTAGAAAGCCCCCAAAGTTAGATAAAAAATACCAAATATATAACACTTCTAGTCGGATCGTTTTCTTTGAGCTGATTATTTATCTGTAGTAAAACGTTCAGCGAGAGGCCCCCACTTTCAATAATCTTTGGTCGTGGCTCGTTATCGATGGAGAAAAAGTCAACAACCATCAGGTTTGTAGTACTGTTTGTACCATCCGGTTCAGTACGAAAGTGGAGGCTCTGTTTGATAATGGTGAGTTGCAATTCAGCAAATTCACTCTTGGACTGCTCTCAGGAAGTGCTTATCGATGAGTGTAAACTATAGCTCTTATTACAGCCAAAAAAAAAAAAAAAAAAAAAAAAAAAAAAAAAAAAAAAAAAAACTCAGTCTGCGAAAGTCATGTCAGTCTGAGGCGTAGTGAAACCAAGACAAGGACGCAGTTGTCCGATTCCCAAATAGAATTCAAGGAGTCATCGAAATCCGCGGTTGCAGAAAGAAGGGCTTCTGGGCCGACGCGGAGGATTTGAGAAGTTAGGGCACGATAAGAGTATTGAAGTTCTTGTTGAGCAAGAAAGAATATTGAGAACTCGCTCAGAATCTATAATCCAGGATATATATAAATCATAGCAAGAAATGTGTATAAAAACAGTGAAAAGGAAAGGAAATCCCAATTTGAAAGAAATTAAACTAAACCGCGAAAGAACAAACCAAAACCAAGCCATTCATACACCGAGGGACAGACGAAAACCCTAGTTCAACTCATGACGTTTACCAGAGTGATTCCCGACTCAGGACTAGAGGTATAAAAACAGGAGAAACTACATAGGTACCGGGGGAATGCATAGCTCGACGCCGACAAAAGCACACAGCTCCTGCGAGCAAGCCTGGTCATGTTAAAATAAATATTCTGTAAGAGTGATGTTATTTAGTTGTTCAGGTACGTGCGAATGGCACCTATTCAAAGTTGTGGGTTAGAAGAGACAACTGATCTCAACAGTTCGCCAAGTACTCACCTTGCAACTTCAGTGCACCATCTCCCATTAGCTGAGTCAAGTTTTCAAGATCATCACCGGCTGTAATGCCAAACCGGCGGACGAAATCCCTGGCCGAGGCCTCCAGGTCACCGTATCCGTCGTCAATTGGTGGGAGATCATCTTCAGGCCGGCCGAAATAGTTGTTGCTGGAAATAGATTGGGCACCGTCGAACTGACGGAGACGCTCTTTGGCCTCCGACTGTGCAGCAGGATCGAATCGTTCCCGCCCGAAGAATTCGTCGGACGAGATACCCTTTTGAGTGCCGAACCTGGTCCTAGTCTTCTCCAGTTCTTCATCTACGGCACATTGTTAATTGCAGGACTAGTGGAACAACTTGACAATAAACTTACCATCCTCACGCGACCTGGCAGGAGCAACAGCGCCAAATCCGAGCTTCTTGGGGGCAGCAACAGGTTTCGTTGTTTGGCCAAACCCGAGTCTCCCAATCCCCATTCCAAGGCGTTCCACATCGCCGGAACTGCGTTCTTGAGGCTTGCTAGTTGACCGTGCGCTGGGGCTGATGGGGGTAGGCGATGCGATGGCCGGAGCTGCAGTGCTCGCCGCCTTGGCCTTGGTCTCAGCCTCGGCCTTCTCAGCCTCGGGATCATAGCCAAGTTTCTCAACACGCTCCGCCTCTTCCTTGGCCTTTCGCTCGGCTTCCTCGAAATCGATAGTCTCTGTGGCGGCAACCTTCTTAGCTCCGAGCTTGGGCGCTTTCTTGGCACCCAGGACGCTGCCTTTCTTCGCGGTGCCTGCTGACGAGGCCTTCCGTACCGTAGTGGCGGACTTGACAGCGGTAGGTGCAGGAGAAGCACTCCCTTGTTCTGAAAGGGGCGATTTCGAGCGCGAGCCGTTGGCACCGGCGTTGAGGAATGGCGAGGCAGTCCGGCTGACAACTGGAGGAGTACCAGTGCGGGAGGGAGGGTTGCTTGGTCGTTTGATCGAAGGCTTATCCCAGGAGGAGAAGAAATCGTCGTCATCTTCAGCGGGGGTATTCGAGCCGTCGGGGCTTGTACCAGCGGGAAGGTCGGTGATGACAACTTCTTCAGGGTACCTAAAAAGAGCCAACATTAGAGACCTCATCTATTGAACCATAACTTATGGAATGACCATTACTCACTGTTGCGCATCCACAGCAGCACGTCTCTTCAACTCATCCTTGTACTTTACGGCCGCATTGGAAGTGTACTTAACCTTGCTGTCCTTGCTGGCGAGAGCGGCGGAGCCCCCGTGCGATTGGAAGTACTTGGTGGCGGACTCATTCCCACCAACCTTCATCATCCGGAGTTGTTCCCATTGCCATTCTGCACCAAACACATCAGTACTGAACCACTGGAGATGTTATTATCCGGGTCGGGGAAGCGTACGGTCGAGATTTGTGGAGCGGACAAAGGAGATGTGGACACCCAGGTTCCGATGGTTGGCCGAACAGTCGAGGCACAGGTAAATACCGAAAGGCACCGAAGACCAGGTAGGATTCTTTGAATTGCAATCGAAGCAGACCTATTTCCAAAAGTCAGTAACCGCTGTCAGATGCCAAAACAGACCGGGGTTGCGGAGGGGTGCAACGCACCTTGTTCGCGGGCTTCAGTTTGAGTTTCTCAAAGATCTTTTGAGACTCCGCTTTGGAGGCGGCCATTGTGCAGAGAAGAGAGCAAGCAAAATGAGAAATATAAGAGGCGTGTTGTTGTTGAGCCGGTCGAGAGTCTGTCTGGAGAAAGAAAAGGGCGAACGTGGTCGGAGTCGATTGCGCCTGGCGGCCCCGATTGGGAATTTGCAATACACATTACAATATGTTACGCTTGTCTTTCCACACTTTTTATATCTGGTCATGATTCTCTATACACCTCATTACTTGTTGTCTTTCCAGTCTACTACATATAGTATTTCCATAGCTCAGTATCAGTTGCTCTATTACATTACAGAAGAACGGATGGTAAACGTATTCCCAATACACAACAACCCGTTCCTGTAATTTTCAAGGCTAAATATAGCCACGTGACCCGCCGCGACCGAAAGTATCCCCACATTTTTCAATCTGACTTCTATACAGACTCTGCCAGTACCCATTTCTACATGACTCTACGACCCCCCAGAGTCATGAAAAACGGTCGCAATGCATTCCGTTCTCCGACCCAGTGATTCGCTTTTCCCCCGCGCTTCCAACGCCGCATCCATTCTCTTCCGTTTCCGCGCAGCAAACTATGTCAATCCCCGCATGGCGCAACCAGATCTAGCACGCCTGTACGCGACATATCGAGACGTTGGAGGAGATCCAAAGGGGTCGGGTGCGAGTTCAAGCCGTCCAAAGAAAAGGGGTGTTGGGCTTTTGGCTGATGATGGGCGATATCAATGGGGTGATTTAACCGGGAGAGAGAAAGTTGCGCGGGCTACACAGCAGTCGGTTAATTTTGCGGTTGTGTGCGTTGGGGCGGTTTTGACGGTGAGCTTGGTTTGGCTTGGATATATTGCATGAGGATATTGGTCTGACTAAGAACAGGGAGGCGTGTTTTACCTACTCTGGACAGAAGTCATTTCTCCGAATAGCAAGACATGGCAGTTTGAGAAGGCGGTTGGGCGTATCAAGGACGATGCGCGCTGTATGGCTGTGCTTGGTGAACGGGGACAGATAGCGGCATTTGGTGACAGCACTGGGAGCAGATGGTCACGGAACAAGCCTATTGCGTAGGTACTTGTCCAGTTTATCGTTGAGCATACGCTGACTGGTGATAGAACCACTGTCGAAAAGGATAACTTGGGCCGTGAGCACATGAAACTGAGTTTCCACGTGAGTTTGCAACCCTATTCAAGATGGAATATGTTCTAACGTTGCTGGCTGCAGGTCGAAGGACCGTTGAACTCCGGTATCGTGCACGTGCATATGCTTAAACCGCAGGGCAGCTACGAGTGGGAATACTTGTTGCTTGCCTTGGATGTTAAAGGTACGTTATGCGATCTGGCATACGCGGACAGCATGTTAACGTTTATTAGGCCATACCCGTATTGTTCTCGAAAGACATACGGAGAAGAACCCATTGAGCTTACTTGGCATTCGGTGGCGATGAATGACCACTGCTACATACATCTTAAGACGACTCTCATATCTGTTGACAGATTATGAGTGACTTGTGACGAAGCTCCCGTAAGACTAGAAGTCGTGTTGCGGGACATTTGAGTCGGAGTAGGTCCGGCTAGAGATTCGGCTTCACGATATTCTGTGTATTATATCTGGCAATTATTAAGCCAAAAATTTGAGCATTCGGGCTCAGCCAGGTGAAGGCTTGGTATCATGATCAGTTGGACGTGTTTCCAGCTCATTATCTGTATTATAGCGGAACGAAGTTCATCGTCACTATCGACGATGAAAAGAAATGCAATATCAACAAGTTCACTCTATGGACAATCAAATTTACTCAAATAACCCTAGGTCCCTCCAAAATCACTTTCGCATCCTCAGACCTCCACCATCCCTTGGTCTCTCCCGGAAACGAAAACAAATCCATACTCTCCGCCTTCATTTCAACACTATATCCGGGCTCCATAGGCGTAACATAATACCCGTCCTGCACGCGACTTGGATGCACAAAATGCTCATGCAAATGATCCACGTACTCCAACACACTCGTCTTCCCGCTAACAACCACATAATCGATCGTGCTCAGGTGCTGCGTGTACTCCGGTAACCCGACACCACCCGAATGCGGCACGATAGGAACTCCGAACTTGCGAGCCAGAAGCAGGATGGCCAGGACTTCGTTGACTCCACCCACGCGACAGGCGTCCGGTTGGAGAACGGTCAGGGCATTGGCTTGCAGAAGTTGTTTGAAGATAACCCGATTCTGACACATTTCACCCGTCGCAACACCAATGGGGATATCAGCGAGAGCCCTGCGAATAGCCGCATGGCCCAGAATATCATCCGGCGACGTTGGCTCCTCGATAAACCAGGGTTTGAACTCAGCAAGCTCCTGCATCCACGTAATCGCCTCAGGAACGGACCAGATCTGGTTCGCGTCGACCATGAGGACATTCCCCTTATCATACCCAATCGCCTCCCTGGTAATCCGCAACCGCCGCTTATCCTCCTCCAGATCCCCGCCAACTTTCATCTTGAAATGCCGGTATCCCAGCGCCACACTCTCCTTCAGTAGCGCCTTCATCTTCTCCTCCCCGTACCCCAACCACCCGGCGCTAGTTGTGTAAGCCGGCACCGCGCGGCTTTCCTCTGTCTCCTTGATCCTCTCCGCCTTACCACCCTCAACCTCTTTGAGTAGTGCAACCGCCTCCTCCGGCGTCAATGCATCCGTAATATATCGAAAATCAATACACCTCACAACCTCTTCAGGCGTCATATCCGCAATAACCCTCCAAACAGGCTTCCCCAGAGTCTTCGCCCAGAGATCCCACAGCGCATTAACCAGGGCGCCTAGTGCGAGATGCATAACGCCTTTTTCGGGCCCGATCCAGCGCAGTTGGCTGTCGGAGACGAGGTAGCGCCATGTTTGGCCCCAGTTTGCAGTAAGGGAATCTAGGTCTTTGTTGATTATGAGGGGGGTTAGGAGGGAGATGGCGGAGCAGACTAGCTCGTTGCCGCGGCCAATTGTGAAGGTCTGTTCATTATAAGTATCTGGGATTGCGCGGTATAGATGGGTAGATGGTTGGGTGGGGAGGTACCATTCCGTGTCCGGTGTACTCTGAATCCGTGGTGAGGATGCAGTATGCAGAGGAATAGTCGCCTGCGGCATTCATGGCATCTGAGCCGGTTTTGTCGAGAGAGGTCTTCACATATTAATGGATCAATGGCATACATGGATGGTGGTGTATCTTACCGGAAACCTCACATCGCGGGTTGTGAACCCAGTTATTTTAACCATGATATCTTCGGAGCGCAATTGTAGATAGATTCAGGTACAATATGTACAATGGCAATGAATTGTTTCAGTACCGTGGAAGGAAGATGGTTAATGCTCGAGGACTGGGGTAACAGAATATGACGCAACCCCACCTAAGTTCAACGTCAATTGCTCAACCTAAGACAAATACTAATAATTAATTATTCTCAACAGAGGAAACACTACGATTTATATAACTACGGCAGCCTGGAGAAGATATCTCCCCCTCGGCCTGAGAAAGAGAGATGTCGCGCTGATTGGCGGGTGAATGGTTACTTGAGGGTCAGCATCGGAGCGACTCCGGGGTATACAACAAATACCGATGTCACGGCTAAATTCTGGAATGGATAATAAGATGACCCATGGAACGGTTGAATTCGAGATAGTGTTCCGTATCCGCGGTATTTATCAGCTACAAGTAATAACGTGCCAAAAGAGACGGATATCGAATGCAGTAGGTAGAAACATGAATCCAGCACCAGATAATCCATTTGATACAGCTTTATGTGGATAGACCTCTCTTCTCGCTCTCGGAGAAGAAAATCACCATACGCCATAATTTCCGGACAAGCACTTCTGCTTCTTCGTCGAGGGCCTGGAACATTGTTAGAGAACAGTAATGATAACAGGAGGTAATTGATGAGGCTCACCTCTTCCAATTGCTCTACCAACTCCTGAGGAGGTCCACGCTTGCGAATATGCTCTTCCACCACATCGACCAGCATTTGCTCCTGCACTCCCAGATACTCGACGATCTTCTTTTCAACAAACGGCTTGAGCTGATCGGTGAGAACAGTCTCGTCCACAAACTCCCACTTGACGTCCCATTTCCATAATCCTTCCTTGTCCGCTGGGATATCTGCAGCGAGTTGTCGCACCGCCTGGGCGCGTTCTTCCTCTGTGAGCCCTGCAGCTTCGGCGGCACTGTCGAACTTTATGGGGATAAGAGGGCGCCGTGCAGTTGCCTCGGGCTCTTCTTCGTCTTCCAGCAAGCCTTCCACTTCCGCGACTGTCCGCCGGCTGGTTGCCGCCTGAGCCTTCTGAGCAGCAGCACCAAGTGAAAGCTTGAAGCGCTGTGGTTCCCGGGGTGCCTGACGAGTTTCCAGTTCCTCTGCCTGGCGAGCGAGGAAGTCGTCTGCCATACCACGGGCCTGCTCCTGCTGCTGGATGGACCGAGCCCGTTCTCGCTCTTCAGCAGAACGGTCTGCGTCATCCATGTTGACTTCACGGGATCGATAAGCTGCCCGACTTCTGAGCCATGCACCCCGATCAGCGTAGTAGTCATCCACTTTTCTGCTAGCTTCCACGTCGTCGTTCCACTCCCGTAGCCGTCTATCCGCATCGTCACGCGCATCTTGGACTTTAAGTTCTTCTTCCTTGTCACGTTTCTTCTCACGCTCCAGAGCCGCTGTCCTACTGCGTTCACGGTTCAACCAGCGACGCTCTTGATCTAGATATTGCTTTTCAAGTTCTGACTCTTCCTTCTCTTGGCGGCGGCGTTCCAGTTCTTCATCACTGACATTGGGGTCGTCATCTTCTCCATTGACAAAAGACACACCATTTTGGTAGTCCCTAGGAATCTGTACGCCGAAGCCCTTCGGCCCCGAGGGAGGAGGTGCAGCTGAACGGTTATCCCGAGGTCCAAGCGGCACGCCATTGACTCCACCTGCAGGCCCACTAGGGGCAGCAAGTGGAGGAGACGACAATCTGCTGGCGCGCGCTCCGGCATTCCTTGCCCTTTCCATAGATTCAATCTCCTCTTCCCGCTTCAAACGTTCAATGTCTCTGCGATTGCTCCGCTCACGAAATGCCGAAATTTCCTTGGCGACGGTCTCCCGCATCTCAGCGGGGATGTCGGAAAGCTCATCTTCGACGGTGATGGGGATCGTAACGACTTCGGCAGACGCGCCATCCTGGCCCTCAGCATCCTTCATCGATGTATCTCCTTCCCGATCAATAGCAGAAGCCTCTTCTTTTTGAGTAGGCGATGTAGGCTTGAATAGTTCGGAAAGGATACCAGAGAGGGCATTACGCGCTGCTTCGATGCGAGAATCACGCTCCGCAGGGTCTTGTTCGCCTTTGCTGGCTTCGTATTGCTCCAAATATTTCACAGAGCTCTCGTCCACGAGGACCTGCAGTAAGCTCACGTCAGCAATGTTCAGCTATGCGTATCTTTTGCGACACGTACCAATAGTGTGCTCTTTTCCACCTCTTTGTCCTCAGCCCCCTCGGACGGTGTCTGTCGTTTCACAGGTACTTCCACGTCCTTTAGCACTTCCACAGCAGTACCTAAGCTTTCAGGGTCTTCGTACTCGGCGAATCCAAACTTGCATGGCTTCTCATCTGCATCCGTGGCGCGAATCCACCGTCTGAGATTTCCCGCAGTTGCTAGGATCCTCTCAATGCCCTCATCGCCCCCAATACCCTCAGTAATTCCTCCGATGAAGATTGTCCTGACAATCTCCTCCTTCGTCGGCGGCTGTAGCTGCATCATCGCATCCCGAATGTTCTGACGCTGGTTGTCCGGACCCGTAGAACCCAGCCCGGCACGTCTACCCTGTGCTTCACCTCCGCGTTGGTTGGTTGTCTCGGGGGCAACTGGTTTCGCAGGACCGGAGGTTCCTAGACGAATGACGGGAGCTGTAAAGTTGATGTTTGGCATGTTGGGGGGCGGTTGGAAGTTCGGAGGAAAGCCTGGGGCTCGGCCGGGTTGCGCGGCGTTCGCTTGCTGCATCCCCGGAGGAGCAGCAATACCGGGAGGGGGTGCCATGCCCGGAGGGGCCATTCCGGGAGGGGGAGCTACTTTATTAGTATCGAATCGAGGATGTAGGGAACGAGAGACCAAGAACTTACCCATGCCAGGTGGCGCACCGTAACCCCCGAAATCCGGTCTGCCATAGAGGCCGGGAGCTAGTCAAAATTAGCCCAGTTACCTCGAGTTTTAAGAGGGAAGGAGCACATACGTTGATAAGGATTGTACATGGTGACTTTGCAGCTCTAGGACTTTGCAACCGGCGCGGTCAAGCTCGGTAAAGCTGCACTTGGTGTGGAAATTGATCGCTTCAAATTCAACAAGTGTTAATAAAGAGCATGCAATGTGCTTTAGGGCTGAGATAAATGTCAAGACGCCCAGAGATGGAATGGCGCGGCGCTGGATAGAGCAGTCTGGAATAATTCTTCTGCTGTCGCGACGGAGATAGTTTGATGTGGTCCGTGCATAGGGCTTGGCACTGTTCATCTTTAGATGGGTTCCCAATCGGGTAAGGTCATGTGAGAGTATCATGTGACATCATTCGTGATAGCTCCGGGTCTAGAAACAGTCCACATTATGAATGCTTTTACCTGATCCTCCGATATAGCAGTGCTAGTCTAGCCTTTTCTAGAAGTGAAGAATTGAACGCTTCCGTTGCCGACAGTAGAGGATGTATTATCCGCGTCAATTCCCGCTCACGGAAAAGCATACAATTCCGGCAGTCTTCTATGGCAATGGCAATAATATAGCATTGAGCTTAATGGAAAACTGTCCTTGCAGCTGTACTAAGTAGAAATCCCTTTCGTACACATGACCTTTTGTATACAAACCTGCAGCCGGTGAATACAGCCCCACGTGCCCCTCCACGGAGCGCAACACGCCGATTGACGCCATACGTAATGACGGCTGTTGTCGCTTTGCCTCAGTTCTCCGTGTCTTCCGATCTTTTCTCTTCTCCTTCTTATTCTTCCTTGTTTCTTCCATTGCACTGTCCTCATAGCTTATAACTCCCTCACTTCTTCCTTAAGTAAGTCCAGCATTGCTACGTTATCTGATCAAGGTCCCCGCATTCAGCTACTCTAACACAACCGCTATACAGAATAACACCGTCATCATGCCTGGTTTCTCGCAGGCCACCGAGCTTCCCGCCTGGAAGACCCTCCAGGACCACCACAACTCGCTGGGTCGCAACATTGTTCTCAAGGACTACTTCGAGAAGGACCCTCAGCGCTTCGAGAAGTTCAGCCGCACTTTCAACAACACCGTCGACAACTCGGAGATCCTCTTCGACTTCTCCAAGAACTTCTTGACTGAGGAGACCCTTTCGCTTCTGGTCAAGCTGGCCAAGGAGGCCAACGTTGAGCAGCTGCGTGATGACATGTTCAAGGGCGAGCACATCAACTTCACCGAGGACCGTGCTGTCTACCACGCTGCTCTCCGCAATGTCACCAATGAGCCCATGCAAGTCGATGGCCAGAGCGTCGTTGAGGACGTCAACTCGGTCCTCGAGCACATGAAGGAGTTCTCTGAGCAGGTGAGAAGCGGCGAGTGGAAGGGTTACTCTGGCAAGAAGATTGACACCATCATCAACATTGGTATCGGTGGTTCCGATCTGTAGGCTCCCGCATATCTTCAGTATACCATATGAGATGAGGGCTAACTAACTTGACAAATAGCGGTCCCGTTATGGTCACTGAGGCCCTCAAGCCTTACGGTGACCCCAACATGAAGCTACACTTTGTCTCCAACATTGACGGCACCCATATTGCTGAAGCCCTCAAGAACTCGAACCCCGAGACCACCCTCTTCTTGATCGCCTCCAAGACCTTCACCACCGCCGAGACTACCACCAACGCCAACTCCGCCAAGAAGTGGTTCCTCGAAACCGCCAAGGATGAGTCTTACATCGCTAAGCACTTCGTCGCTCTCTCGACCAACGAGACCGAAGTCACCAAGTTCGGCATTGACAGCAAGAACATGTTCGGTTTCGAGTCGTGGGTGGGTGGCCGTTACTCCGTCTGGAGTGCCATTGGTCTCTCCGTCGCTCTCTACATCGGTTACGACAACTTCCACCAGTTCCTGGCCGGTGCCAACGCCATGGACAAGCACTTCCGTGAGACTCCCTTGGAGCAGAACATCCCCGTCCTTGGTGGTCTGCTGAGCGTCTGGTACAGCGACTTCTTCGGTGCCCAGACTCACCTTGTTGCTCCTTTCGACCAGTACCTCCACCGCTTCCCCGCCTACCTCCAGCAGCTCTCCATGGAAAGCAACGGCAAGGCCATTACGCGCGCCGGCGAGTACGTCAAGTACACCACCGGCCCCATCCTCTTCGGCGAACCGGCCACCAACGCCCAGCACAGCTTCTTCCAGCTGCTGCACCAGGGTACCAAGCTCATTCCCTCGGACTTCATCATGGCCGCCGAGTCGCACAACCCCGTCGAGAACGGCAAGCACCAGCGCATGCTGGCCTCCAACTTCCTTGCTCAGTCTGAGGCCCTGATGGTCGGTAAGACCCCCGAGCAGGTCAAGGCCGAAAACGCTCCCGAGGGCCTGGTGCCCCACAAGACCTTCCTTGGAAACCGTCCCACCACCTCCATCCTCGCCCAGAAGATCACCCCCTCCACCCTGGGTGCCCTGATCGCCTACTACGAGCACCTCACCTTCACCGAGGGCGCCGTCTGGAACATCAACTCCTTCGACCAGTGGGGTGTCGAGCTGGGCAAGGTCCTGGCCAAGAACATCCAGAAGGAGTTGGAGACTGATGGTGCCGGTGCTGAGCACGACGCTTCGACCAGCGGACTGCTGCTTGCTTTCAAGAAGAAGGCCAACCTGGCATAAAATGGTTAATAATAATAAAAAAGCAAGGAATCTGCAATTCACAAAGCATGTATTTATGATGAGGAACGATTGACATTTTTAAATATGTTCTCAATTTTCTCGTTCTTAGACAGCGAAAAATGAAGAGTAATATGTTCAACTTACCAGTATCCAGATACACAAGTAGCCTTAGTCCTAATGTACTATATTCCATGTTAAGGAGACCGAGGTCAGGAGTAACTACCTTGTGGAGCGGAAGCGCTGTGGCGTTCGGAGCAGATCCGTATCTCCAGCATCAACCCACTGTTTATTCTCCTGTCTTGACATCTACCATTCCTCATTGCACCGGCCTCCGCGAGCCTATCCGCCTGGCAGGCGGCTTCAATTCGTCAATATGGGCTTATCCCGAGGATTATCTCAATACTTTGTCTATATTTATAGCTTCATCTCGTGCTTGTTGTTGCAAGGAGCAGCTGCGGGAAAGAATAGTGCTGCTGGTGACCTTAGGAGTGGAAAGGCGGGTTATGTTTATGGACAGCCTATGCCAGTTACTTGCTTGAATCGGACGATGTGAGTGATACCATTAGGCTAGAGTTGGAAGAAGTCGGACGTGTCTTGTTTGTGCTAACCGTATTTTTGTACAGTGACTCCGGCGAACATGTACGCCCACGTTCTCCCCAACGCCAGCAACACAGTAACGAGTCAGCTAACAAGAATGATAGATAACAGACAGCCTTGGAAAACTCCAATACATCCCCTTCCCAACATGCAATGAAACCTTCCTCCCCCTCGCCCTGCGCTACGGCGTCCCAGAAACAGTCAACTGCACCATCGACTCCCTCCCCGATGAACTCTACCACCTCCTTGAATACTATGTGCACTCGGATGTGCCGATGACATGCCGCGTGCCGACTGCTCCTCTTACACCCTCTGCGCTGTTTTCGGAAGAAGATGCCAAAGATAAAGAGAATGGAGAAGGGACGGATTTGGATACTGGGGAGCCGTCGTATACTCCGTTGACGTTTGCGCTGCAGGGGACTCTGCAGCGCAGTCATTTGCATATCTGGACGGATATGAATGTGCTCGTGCACAATATCCCATCGACTCCTGGGTCGTCGGTGAATAAGAAGAACAAGAAGAACGCGCAGAAGGCGGCGCCGGGGTATCCCGTTGCAGGAACGGCGTATTCGATTCCCGAGTTCCATTCTGATCTTGAGAACCAGAAGTCTTCTTCCTCTTCAGGAAAAGATAAAGAGAAGGAAACCGCTGTTGCAATCTCAGAAGCTGCGCGCGACCCCTGGACCGCAGGCCACGGCACAAAAGTGATCCGTGGTGAACCTCTCACCTTCACCTTTCACGTTCACTGGGTCGAAGGCGGGAAAGGGATCGGGTGGCCGTCCGGATCAACGTCGTTGATTCCGTCGTTAGCATCCGCTGAAAAATCGTCCGGTTGGGGTGCTCTCTTCTCTAGATTGTTCTTCTTCGGCCTGGCTGGTTCTGTTGGCGCTATGGCCGCATTGTACTGGGAGCGGAATGGTGGCCGTCGACGCAGTTGGAGAGGTGATGGGATCTTAGGTGCCCCGCCTCCATCTTCCCGTGGTAAGGGTCCTGCCGGGATCATTTATGGGAATAGTGGACGGAAGAATGGATACGGAGGGTTTTCTGCTGCTGGTGGTTCTTCTGGGGCCGGGGGTACCGGGTATGGGGGGTTCTCGACTGGGAAGAGAGATTGAGTCTACTCTGTATATGGCAGGCGTGCTTGTACATGTATTGAAAAGCAGGCTGTTCGTATATTTTGATTCATACATATACCATGGGAGACAATAAAAGTGATTCCAGTGCAATGTCTTATTTTTATCCTAACCCAAAGAAACCCGAATACAGAACATTGAAAGCACATTCACAATAGTAATACATGACAAGCCGGAGCCTCATTTCATCGAGACATGGAGAAAAGGAAGCCCTAGACCATTCATACAACTTTATCCTCACCTTGTATATACATCACACATCATAAACCCCCGAAAAGCTAGGGAAGATTACCAACCCTGGGACCTCATCTTCTGAATCTTCGTAACAGTATTCACAAACGAAAATTTGAACAACTTCCTCCACCTCTCCATCCTCAAATTCTTCCTCATCTGTCCCCTCCGCACATGAAACTTCTGTCTCCGCTGCGTCTGCAGAATCTTATTCTGGAAACACGCCGCATTCAGCGTCCGCAGCGCCGCCTCAAGATCATACCCCTTCTCCGGCTCAACATGCACCTGACGACCCAGGCTAGGCCCGAGCTTGAGTTCCACCCGACGGACCGGTTGCCGGTAGTTGTCTGTTTTGGCGGAGGCGCCGACGTCGCGGGATAGCGAGGAGGCAGCGTCTGGGTTTTCGGAGTTGGTAGGGGTTTGTTTGCGATTAAAGTTGAGCTTGTTGAGGACGGTTTCGAAGTCCCCGTGGTCTGCGGGTTGGCGGGATGCTGTGGTGGTGAATCTGGGAGTTTTGCTGAACGGGTTTGTGGGTGCGGAGGGGGTTTGGGAGGGAGGAGAAGAGGGTGTGGACGTTGCGGGCTGGTTTGGACTTTGTTCGTTGCCCGAGGGGTTGCTGGGTCCGTTGTCTGATGACGAATAGCGGAGGAATTGGCCTCGTTGCAGGATCGAGGGCTGCTTGGTGTAGAGTTGCGAGATGGCCGGCCTCGGACGGAGGCTTCTGGTCAGGGAGCGCATTTCCATCGTGACACGCGGAATTGGAAACTTGACTCCAATTGCGATGGATATTTCAATCGAAGTATACCCCTGAAACTGTAACACGCTATAATCGCGAGGTGGTGGAGGGGAACTTGCTGTCCGTCGGTGGTTTGCGCGCTGTGAATCTTCGCCGACTTTTGCTCCAGCTCACGTGACCCTCCCGGCCTAAATAAGCGCCCGCATTTCCCTTTGCGCTTCTCCTCATCTCACTCTAACCATCTATATTTCGCTATCTTCAAGTCCCTTTGAAAGCCTGGGACTTACGATCCTTGTTTCGTTGCTGGCAACTCAACAGTCACTCCTTTTCTATCTTTATTTTCGTTATTTTTCTCCCACCCAAGTCCGTTCCTTCAACGAGAACTATAGCTACAACTATGTCTTCGATTAACATCGCAACTCTTCCCCGAATGAGCCGGGATGCTCTATCCGCGCTGCTCCTGTCCACCAGCACCCCCAGTAAACTAGCTATCGTCGACGTCCGCGATTCAGGTAAGCCTTCCAAACCCACCTCTTATATTTCCATGCGATTCCATCTAACAAACCTCCCCAGACCACATCGGCGGCCACATTTGCGGCTCCACCTGGGTCCCCAGCTCCACGCTCGAGCTACGCATCCCCGAACTCGTGCGCACCCTCAAGGACAAAGAAACTGTCGTCTTTCATTGCGCCCTCAGCCAGCAGCGCGGCCCGTCTGCTGCGCTGCGCTATGCGCGGGCGCGCGAGGGCGCTGTTGGAGCGGAGGAGAGCCATAACCAGAAGGTTTATGTTTTGGAGGGTGGATTTGTACAGTGGCAGGAGAAGTTTGGAAATGATAAGAGGTTGACGGAAGCTTATGTGGAGGATATTTGGAGGGAGTATTGATTTCTGAATGGGATCGGTCGTACTTTGCATGCTGTGCATGCCAGTATGATATGACCAGTGCAATTACAATGATACCACTTGAATATTGATGAAATGAAATTGAATTATTTTTGATTGTCTATTGCTTTGTCCAGTTTCTCAGCTGAGTATCAGCATGATATGCATGCGCCCTTATCAAGGTATCTCATCAAACATGCATTCCATCCCAACTATGTTGACTCAAGAAAAATCCTCCTTCCCCATAGGCTTCTCTCCCGCCTTCTTTACATTCTCCCTCTTCTTCTCCATCGACTCTCTAGGATCATTCTTAACCTGCGCATCCGTGGTTGTTTGCTCCTCCCCCTCCTGCGCCTCACTCGGGAGTCCGCGTCTCGCCGAAATGGGCGATTGCATGTTACTCGACGGTGGCGCGTCGGTGTATCTGGTCTCCTTGCCGCGCGAGACGTTTATACCGTCTACTTCGGGGTTGCTGGCGGGGGAGGGTTTGGCGCTGGTCGCTTGTTCGGCGGTGGTTGAGGCGGATAGGCGTTGGACTCCAGGGGTGGGGGCTTTTAATGTTAGTGAGATTAGCTTATTGAGAGCTATGTTGCTATTATTTTTCTTTTTCCTTTGGGGTTAATTACCCTGGAAGACGAGAGGGAGACGGTTCGAGAGGAAGCGTCTGGTGTAGAATGCGGGAGAAGCCATTATTGTTAATACAAACGATGACACTCGATAATATTATTATTAGCAATCGAAGTTAATTTAGTCGAATCAAGACAGCTGTAGCGATCAAAGTAGCAGCTGTATCGTTATAGGGCATGTGAGTTTTGATATACTGATGGATGAGGTCATCCTGACAGACCCTCACATTCTTGTATCGCACTAAACATCAATTGGCCGTCACGATGATGTTAAATATTTTCCTATCAATACAAGCTAACAAGCTAAGACTCTATCGACTCAGATTGTCCGAATATCTCATCATTCACTGTGGATACCTATTGGATGTATATATATCGGTCTATCGCAACCATGAACCAACATCCCAAGTACTACAACCATACCAATCCTATACCACAACAATGCCGCACAAATCACATTCCAAACACAACGAAACCAAATCGCCCAAGAACTCCAACCACTTCAATGAACACCACCCAAACCCTCCTTCCGACATCGACTTCGACATAACCGTCGCAAACTGCCCTCCCACAAAACGAGTCCCTGCCATCCACGCCGACGAATACATCCAGAAACCCGGAATTGCAAGAGGAAACCTCGCAGCATCAACAGATAGCCCGCACGGAGATGAAGAATATTCCAAGAAACACCGGAACTTCGTGAGTCCTTCTCCCTCCCTTTAGTCCATTACATTGCAGAGGAATTGACCGCGCAGACCCCATTACAACAACACGTCCTCTTCTGGGACCGCGATGCAGACGGCCAGATATACCCCTGGGACACATACATCGGTTTCCGCGAGCTGGGGTTTAATATCCTCTTCTCGTTTGTCGCTGTGTTGATTATCAATATCAATTTCTCGTATCCCACGAGGCTGGCGCATTCGTATATACCGGATCCGTGGTTTAGGGTTTATGTGGATAGTATTCATAAGGCTAAGGTGCGACCCTACTTGCAGCATGTCATACATGGTTGATTGGGACAGTGCTGACAACGAACAGCATGGCTCTGATAGCAGCACGTACGATCCAGAAGGCCGTTTAGTGCCGCAGAGTTTCGAGAATATGTTCAGTAAATACAACAAGAATGAAGACGGGACGTTGACGTTCGGTGAATTGTTCACCATGATTAAAGGGCATCGGTGTGCTGCTGATCCATTTGGTGTATGTCTCTTTTCTTACCCGGGGTTTTGAGAGCTGCTTACTGACTGGCTTAACAGTGGGGAGCTGCATTCTTTGAATGGGGATCAACATGGCTTCTTATTCAGAGGGATGGGAAGATATATAAGGAGGATGTTCGTGCTGTTATGGATGTGAGTGATCCGATAGGTCTGATTTGAGGATACATGCTAATGGTTTGTTAGGGCTCGATATTCTGGAGGATCCGCGAAGAACGACAGAAGACGAGGCAAGGATGGAATAAAGGATGGGGAATTGGGGGTGATGGATTTGTGGGATCGCAAAAAGTGCACATTTAAACAAGCCTGTACAAAGGCAATATTGCCAGAGCTGGATGTATGTTCTATAATATACTTCTGTATAAACAAGCATTTACAATAGCATTGCAATCAAATCGACCCTCCAAACCCAACAGGCCTCCGCTTCCCATCATTCTCCGGAAGAATAGCCATAACCTTATAAATCTTCCCCATACCTCCACCCCCCTTCTCAACCAACCGCTGCCACGCAGTCTCCAAATTCTTCCTCTTCCCCTCGTCCTGAATCCCCTTGAGCAACTGCTGCATCCGCTCTGCGATCCCCATAGCACGCAGGAAATCGCCCTGTTCCATGGGTCCGTGGACTTCAACGCCCTCGCTCGCTTCGATCGCGGACTCAGCGAGAGCAGTGAAGTCGACGTCCGCGCTGACGTCGACCTGGCCCGGAGATGAAAGGGGAGGGACGTTTTGGTGGTTTTGGATGCCGCGAAGGGAGTTGATGGGGATCGTGTTGAGGGTTCCGTAGTCCATGATTAGGGCTGCGCCGGAGGGGTTTTTCTTGAAGTTGGCTGGAGTAGAGGATGGGCCTTGTCTTTCCTGGAGCGTGAGCTGAGATGACCCTCCAATGCGGCGCGCAAAGTCAGCTGCGTAGATGCGGCTTTCAGGGCTGATTTCGATAGTTGAGCCAGGTTGGGATTTGAGCGCGCGGTATCGCTGTGAGATCTCCGGGATTACAAGCGAGGACGGAGTAGATGCCTTGGCCATAGTCAAGTTGAATTCCGGCTCGTCTGGGATATTCTCGTCCACGGCTTTGGGGTTGAGCGTGACCAGGATCTCGCGCCATTGCGATGTGTTGGCGGGTTTGGGGGGGTTCTCGATCGTGATAGGGCCGGTGGGGGTCATGATCTCCTTCACGGGGGGTTGCTCATTTTCGGGTGCTGGGGCAATGGATTCGAACGCATGGACTGGGAGGGCGTCGAAGAATTCGTGGGCAAAGATGAATGGCGTTTTGTCCTCTTCTGTAAATCGGTTATCATATGGTCCGTTTAGTAATGGCGGAGAAGCTTACCTTGAGGCAACAACCGGATGTCCTCAACCCAGACTACCGGAACATCGAAGTACTTGCAGGTACTTTTGTGCCCGATATCCGTCTCTTCCATAGCTGCCGCATCACCGCAAAGGAGCTTCCTCTGCACTTCTCGTAGGGTCGCGCTCGCCTCCACGAGATAAATTGCCTCGATACTTGAAGTAAACGTCTTGAAATTCCGGAACGCCTATCCCCAGTATGTCAGCAGACAAACACGTGCCCAGCGATATAATTTTGTCCCTGCACACTCACCCGCAGCATATCATCCATCAACGTCCCCTTCCCCGGCCCAACTTCCATCAGCTGCACCCCACTGCGCTTGCGCCCCTGCGCAATCCACTCCGCAATCGTCCATATCCCAACCAACTCGCCAAACACCTGCGAGATCTCCGGGGATGTGACAAAGTCTCCCTTCTGTCCGAATACCTCCCCGCCGCCGTCCGGTCGTGTTGTGTAGTAGCCGCCTTCCGGGGATGTGAGGACCTGGCGCATGAACGCGGCGATGGGGATTGGGCCTGTCACCTGAGTAGAGGAATTGTGTTAGCGTACTATATGGGCGATTCAATGGTGGTTGAGCGATCGGGAGAATACCCTCATTGCGCTGGCCAGGGTCCGGGCGAGAGGTGTAGACCATTCTCTTTTATCAAATGTTGAGCTCCATCGGGTCCAGCGTCGTGGCCCTAGTCCGAGTGCCTCATGTTGGTATCGTTTGATTGACTGCGTCAAGGCGCGCTTCATAGCGCGGTTCATCTTGCTTTTCGCCGGAGCTTTTTGGCGGGGCTCAAGTTCAGTTCTCTCTTGTATGTATGTTCATAGAAGGGCAATTGGAATCAAAGAAGAGCAAGCATGGGGTATAACTATATCGTCTAATCAATAACTCTACCTCAAGGACACAACGCAGGAGAATACAGCAAAAGCAGTCAACGGCTCTCCGGAGCTCTCCAACTTCTCCGCAAAAAAGTTACAATGCACGTGATTCTATCGTTATCATATCGCCGAAGACAAAGCAAGAATTAATATTTGTACAGACCATAACACCAACTAGAGATTGCTATGCAAAGAAGATTAAATCGTATACTGGCACGTCTCATTTTGTTTTTGTCGCGCCCTGAAAGCAAGTATACAAAGTCCTCCAGTCTATCGGTGTCGTCTCCCACGGGGTTGAGTCGGAGCATCAACCATCATTTGGTCGCTGTAGAGTCCATGGTCCTGAAATCCATGTGTTCCATCCTGTATCGCGGGGTTCGCGTGGCGATTACGGCGTTGTCGGTCGGCCTGTTCACGGAAATCATTGAAAGATGATGCTTGAGGGTTGTAATCTGACGCTGCTCCAGCTGGCTTCCAGCGCATGGAAAGAACCCTACCATCGGCCTTTGTAGTTTCCTATTAGCCCAATACTTAGCATATAATTAATGAGTGCGAAGTACCTTCTGGTTGTGAAAGTTAGCGACGGTATTCTCTGCAGACCACTTCTCCGCAAAAGTAATCTCAGCAGTCACAGCTGGGTACTGTGAAACAATCCAACAATTCATCACCGAGCCGCAAACCGGTTCTAAGGCTGATTGAATGTCTGCCGCAGTGGTACCAGGTGCAAAATTGCTTCCAATGACAACGAACGGCCCGGAGCTCGCCCCCTTGATGCTCATCCCCCCGGTGTAATCCCGGATTACCGACTGCCCGTTCGCAGGGTTGAGAGCTGAAATCAAGCGATCTTCATCTAGACGGCGCTTGTTCGCGGACTTGGATCGCGGGGCTTTCGAGGGTGCAGGAGGCGCTGCGGACACAGCCGGTTTGCTGTTCTTGGGTTTCGGTTTCGGTTTTGGTTTAGAGCTGGTAGATGCAGAAGGCTAGGTCCGTAAGCAACACTGATTGGAATGGATAATCTTTGCGACGCCCACGAGTCACAAGGGTAAAAATTACTGGCGATGGTGTTGTTACCTTTGTGACACCAATCCTGCTTGCTAGGCTCCTAGGTGTCGCATTCTGATTCTGAGCTTTCTTCCCAACAGCGCCGGAGCCTGGCGCGCTGGCTCTCCTGTTCTTCCCTAAGATCTGACTTGCTAGCTCTTCATTCTTCTTCTTTTGGCGACCTGGAATAAGTGCGTAAAAAACGAGTTAGAATAGTTCTTTGGCCGCAAATGGTGCTTATTATGATGGGAGGGATGCGATACCGGCTCGGATAATATCGTCGAAAGAGGTCGCTGCTTTACCGGCAGCCATGATTATGGAAGAAAGAGAGACGAATTACTGGCCAGGGTTAAAAATAAATCACAGGAAAAAAAAAAAAAGGGTTACACCAGCGCTGTAGAAGTAAGGGAAGAATTGGCAACAACAGTAGATGAGTTGGAGGGAAGATGCTCGGAGACAGTCAAGGGCCGACTTTTTCCCACTGCAGCTGTCCGACACTGCGCAACAATCACCTCTGCAACTGTCTCTGGGCAGTCTCAATTTCCAGGCTTAATTGAAGGCAGTACGTATATACGAAACTATTTGAATTACTATTGCGATCCTGACTGACTGCAAAAGGAATACTCGTGCTGTGTCCATATGGCGGCGCATATGGCGGCGACTGCCGAATTCAGCCCTGTGCCATTGTTGGTTCTTTCCATTTTGTCCAACATGAGAGAAAAAGAAAAGCAATATTGCAGTGCAGGAGCGCCGGTCGCTTTTCACTAGCCATGAGGTCCGATAATTATTCTTCGCGTGGCCTGCTTTCTTTCTTCTCTTACCGTTGTGTCTCATGATACCTGGTACTCCTTTTCTGCCCAGGAGTCTACCCTTTATATGTATCTTCTTGTCTTTACTTGGTTTCCTTAACCTGTGCTGCATTTCACTTACCAGGGTTTATCAACTACATTGGACATCTTCCTGACACAATGGATACGATGAAGACGATGGCTTCGAACGACCGGGTCAACCAGCGTCGCCAGGGACTGTCATGGTCTCTTAGCTTTCGGTCTTCCACAAGGAAAAGACCAGGGTAAGGCTTCTGTAATCGCTCCTTAGGAGGTATAATGCTGACCGGCTACAGCAAGATTGTGAGACCCCCTACTCCTCCACCGACCTGCGAGGAAAGAGTCCATTATCCGGTCTTCAACCCGCACGATCCCCGACATAACCCTACGGCTATTCCTCCTTCTTGGATCCGCGGCAGCTACAGCCTGTCCGAAGACTCATCTAGCACACAAAATACAGGCCGTTGGCATAGCCTATCCAAGAGGTCCCTTCGAAAGGCACGGTCTGGACTTGACGCGATCAGGTCGGGAATGCACAGGCGTCCATCCGTTGATCAGCTAGGGCCTCGTCGAGATATCCCAGGACTATGGATGTCAACCGACTCGCGTGCAAGCTCTATCGATCGTCCAGATAGTTCTTTCCCTTCGACTATATCGGAAGCCAGCACTGATGACGAATTCGAATTCGGAACCGATCTTTATCGGACGCGGCCCAACGGCTCTTCCACGTGGAACCTTGAGATTGTCAACAAGTACTTGAGCGAGGTAGGATCGTCCCACGCGCTCCCGCCTGACATCTACACTGATGTGGACATTGGTCCCGCTGGTTCGCGACTAGAAGGAGAGACCCTGAACAATCCCAGCGAGGCGGACTCCGAGGTGACGAGACTACCGTCCAAGACGCAGACAATTACATGGGATGATCGCATCCAACCCGGACGGAGGCCTTCCACCTCAGATTCAAGTTCCATCATCTCGAGCAGGGTATCGACTAGCTCTGATGAATCAACCCTTTCTCAGCTTGTCAATGCTACCCAGGCTTTCGAGGCATTGTGCTCAGTTGACGAGCCCGCAAAGGACATGCTTAGCAGCCCGGGCATTGGACGCGATGACGATGATTCCTTGCCTGCCACATCTCGAAATAGCACCGGATCCCTTTCAGGAGGCGTTGCAAGTCAGAACAACGAGTCTACCAGGGCTAACTCGGAGGAAGCTGACAACCAGTTAAGCAGCGTGAGTCCAAGCTCTCATATCGAACGTATCCCACTGACTTATTTACTAGAATGGCGGAGAAACATTTGCAGAGAAACCGTCGCGAAAAACCAGTCGTGCTGGTTCCATGAACGCGTCTGGTAGCAATAACTCCTTTACTGGCCAGGGCAACCAACCTAGATATTTGAATTGTCAAAGCGATAGCACAGCACCTACATCGCGTGATCAATCTAGTTGTTGGACTCATAGCGAAGGGAATGTTAGCACGCCACCTACATCGTACACTCAATCTAGGCGTTCAACTACTCAAAGCGAAGGCAGCTCTAGCGCGGCGCGTGCATCATGGTCAAACATGTCATCCCCAATTGAGCACGATGACATACTTTCTCTGCCGTCCACGGGTCCCGGAGATGAACACTCCGACGTCGATGGAAAATCAAATGGCTTTAGCCCGGATCAAGGCACTGCCATCAAATCGGATTTAGCGATCATTCACGAAGGAAACATTGACGGCACCATCGGCCTTGGAATCCACCAGAGTGCTTCAGTTAGCGCGCACACTGATTTCCAGATGGACAGCCCATTGTACACTCATGAATTGGATCGTCAACCAAGTGTCCAATCCAGAGAATCGAGAAAATCAGTTGACTCGAATGACGATTGCTTTCTTACGTACGCCATGTTTCAGAAACAGTATTCTTCGTGATACTTGATGTCTGGCCATTAGATTACTTTCTGGATCTGATTGTCATTCGTTCTTACATGTTTTGCTTCTTTCTAACGAGGCCATGCGGTTATGCCACTGTCTTACGGTGTATTGTTATTTGAGATCGTATATCTACCCACGTTCATGTTTTCTTGTACTGTCATTGGAAATGGTCTTATCAGGTTAACTTTGGAGATGATGTTATGTTTTCTAGATCGTTCGTTTGTTGTCAATACAACCCCTCTTTAATTACTTTGATGAATATCCTGGTTGTAGTTTAAATGGCATATATGACACTTAAAGCCAAACATAGGTCTAAAACGCCGTCGTATACAAAGATAAATTAACCGAAACGAAGAGTAAACCCGGCACCTGCTTCACCCGTGTCACCACCAGGAGCACCTCCAAACACTCCCGCAAAGTCCAACTGAGGAGCCTCCTGACCACGTTTAGGGGCCTCGGGCGTCGCACGACGTCTCCGCTTCTCCATCCCCGCTTTGGAGGGGAAAGTCGGGAACATCTCCTTCGGCTTGGGGCGCGGATCCTCACGGAAGTATGGATGCGACAGACATTCCTGAGTCGAAGGGCGCGAGCTTGGGTTTAGTGCAAGGAGAGAGGATAGAAGGTGTAGACCCGCATTGGTTAGGAAGGGGAATTTGGTGCGGGGGAGCAATGGTGGGATCCCCGATGACGCAGACGAGGTAGATGGAAGTTTGAGGGATTTGGCGTTGGGGAGGGAGCGGAAGCCAGGCCAGGTTTGTTGGGTTGGGGGGCCTGTTAGGGCGAAGATCTAGTTTGCCGTTAGTAGATGGCTCTGTGTTGGGATGGATTGCGTGTCCGTACCTTGGAGACCTGATCGACTTCATTCTTTCCTTGCAGCAAGGGCTCCTTGGTGAGGAGTTCTCCGAATATACAGCCAATGCTCCACATGTCGACCTCAGTGCCATATTTCTCGGCACCCAGTAGTAGCTCAGGAGAGCGATACCACAGCGTAACGACGAGCTGGGTCAGCTGCGGTGGCGGATCGCCGTAGTATCTCGCCATGCCAAAATCGGCGATCTTGATCTCTCCGCGGTTGTTCAAGAGCAAGTTCGAGCTCTTCAAATCGCGGTGCATGATCCATTGCGAATGAAGGAAGTCCAGACCGGAAAGTATTTGCGAGAGGAGCGTTTTGATTTCCGATGGGAGGAAGGGTTCGCGCATGTCGTCGAGTAAGGTTTTCAAATCATGTTCGAGGAAGTCCATAACGAGGAATACACTGTTCATAGGGTAACAAAGGGAAAAGGGTAATCACAAAGTCCCCGGAAATGGTTAATTTTCTCCTCGATGCATCTCGAACTTTTCAGGGAAGTCAAAAAAGAAAAGGGGAAAGGGTATAGCTCACTCGTCCACTTTGTTTCCGATGACAACTTCACGGAGATAAACAACGTTCTGATGGCGGGCTTCCAGGAGGGTCTGGATCTCACGCAGGCCAGTGACGGGGAATCCATCGGGGGAGTTCTCCATCTTGAGCTTCTTGAGAGCAACCACCTCGCCAGATGTGATATCCTTGGCCCTGCTCACCCAGCCATACGAACCTTCTTCGATATGGTTCAAGCGTTCGAAGTTGTCCACATGTCGACACGGGCCCCATTCGCGCATCGGGAAGCGAAGCAATTCGGATCGTTTCTGCTGCTGTTCAGCTTCAGCGGGAGTTGCTGTCGTCGCAGCAGTGGACTGATCGTTGGACAATCGGCGTCGTTTCGCGGGTGGCTGTTGTTGTTGTTGTTGTTGTTGTTGTTGTTGTTGTTGTTGTTGTTGCTCTTGTCCATCGAGCGCGTCATCCTGCTGTTTCTGGGCTTCTGCTGCTTTGCTAGCTTCAGCTTCTTCTTCCAGCTTGCGTTGTCTCTCTGCTTTGGCGCGTTTCTTGGCCTCCTTTTCTCGTTTCTGTTGCGCGACAAGGGCTTCCGTTTCGGGGTCTTCGTCAGCCCATCGTGATTTTCCGGGTGCAGACATGGTATATATTATTCCAGTATCGTCCTATCCAGTATCTGGGATGTCAAGCGCAGCTTCAAGTGATTGTAGATAGCAGACGGAAGGTAGTGGCGCGTCGGGGTGGAAGGAAAACAAAGAAGAATTGGCAGATCGGATTCGGAAGTGACGCTATCGGCCAAGGCCGGCGATCCCCGCTCTGTCCCGCCAATTTCGAGAAAATGCTATGGATTTATAAGACAGCCATCCGGAGTTATTTTTCTACAATATTTTGTTGTTTATCTGTTTTCATATTCTCGTTATACCCAGTTCTATTTGCTTTTATATCCATCATGATTGAACCGTTCCAGGTCCGTCCCTTAGAGTATGGCAGGGAAACTCTGGCGCTGACACTCTATAGACGACCTTCGCGGTCCCAATGACCTGCGACGGCTGCGTGAAAGATATCTCCGGCTCTCTTAACAAGGTTGAAGGAATCAACAAAGTCGATGCCGACCTGAAGGAGCAGCTAGTTTTCATCGAGGGCACTGCACCACCCAGCAAGATCGTCTCTGCTATCCAAGACACTGGTCGTGATGCGATTCTCCGTGGAAGCGGCACATCCAACAGTACGACTCTTTGTTCCCTGCTCCTTCCTCGAACCCATACTGAGATGTAAGCTACATAAACAGGTTCCGCCGTCTGCATTCTCGAAACACACTCGAATAGCGTCTCGAATAAGATTCGCGGACTTGCGCGCATGGTCCAGGTTTCCTCCAACATGACCCTTGTTGACTTGACCATCAACGGACTCTCGCCAGGCCGCTACTGGGCTACCGTGCGGCAAGCTGGAGATATTTCACAGGGAGCGGCCTCGACGGGTGGAATCTGGGAGGCATTGAAGTCGACTGTTCTTGGTTCGGAGACCCCCAAGGAGCCCCGGGGTGTGTTCGGGACGGTGGATGTTGATGCAAAGGGTCGTGGAAACGTTTTTATGGACCGTCCCATCGCGATCTGGGAAATGATTGGCCGGAGTATGGTGCTTTCGAGGTCGAAGGAGGGCCCGTTTAAGCGGGAGGACCCGGATACGTTGGTTGGTGTTATTGCTCGCAGTGCTGGTGTCTGGGATAACGACAAAATGGTCTGCTCATGCTCCGGAAAAAATGTCTGGCAGGAGCGTCAGGAGCAGGTCTCTCAAGGCATGGTTTGATTTGGTTTGGCTTAGTCCCTTAAAAAGAGAAAGCGTTATAGAGTTCGTTGCATTCACTGTTTATGATACCTATGAGAGATGATATGTATTTTTCGTCGGGATTTTCCTTTCTTATTTTTATTTTGTTCAACCTTCCGTATGGACCTGGCTGCTACCATGGATGCGATTGTCCTGCCTACGATGTGTCTGGCTGTATTGCTGCCTCAGCCGACGGTGTTTGTCTTCAGCAGCAGCAAATGATTTTGTCCCTATCTTTCAAGAAGTTCTTTCTTCCTCCATCTATTTTCCATTTCTCATTCAACTGTCGTTGCTATTACCTCTCCAATATGACCAGCAACCAAAGAGCAGAGAGGTTTATGCTCATCGCAGGCGTACTAGGAGCGCACAGGAACCCCCTTGCACCGCTATGAATATGCTTGGAAAATTCTGTGTGAGATCCTACCAAGCGGTACCAAGTATGCAAGCAGCCACATAATCTCCTCCAACAGATGGCTAGGGTCCATTCACCGTGTGCTGAGACACCGTGTGCTGAGACACCGCGCTGTCGAATACCTTGAATCCAGACCAGGTAGAGATTCTCGTTTCTATTATGGCGTTGCATGGGTTGATCGCGAGTTACTACCGAGATGAGATGAGCCCTGAAAGTGGTAGGGACATGCTTTTGGACAAGATAAAGTGCATTACCAATCCCTTGAACCAAATTCACGAAACCTATGAGTATCTGGCCGCTATGGAAATTGTTTCCAGAAGCTGCTTAGGTTACTATATCGACAAGGAATACCGCCCGGATGCAGCCCAATCTGCCAGATTTATAATCGCCTAGGGCCACTTATTGCAGGTCGACTTATTTGACATAATGCCCTGATTTTCCGAGGCTTCGGAGGTTTGACAATTGCCCTTTTGAAGATTTGCTGGATGGAATCCGAGTGTTGAACCGCGTCGCAGACGCAGTCGAGTGTAAATATATCTCTTCGCTCTTCTGGTCCAAGTACAGACGTTACTATAGTTAAACGATTTAGAATCGCACAGGTATTACCTTCCAAGAAGGGCAATGCTATCATGAGTGAAAGCGAAGTCATTGCCCACGGAAACCGACTCGTGACAACCCCAAGAAACCCGGGGCATGCTGTGTACCCCAAAGCCCAAGCGTCGGGGCTACCAAGCGATACCCACGGTCGAGATCAACTAGGACTGAGCATGGTGCAGACTGCGTGTGCATGGCAAATGATGTCTTTTTTTTTTTTTTTTCTACAGAAGCGACAGGGTCAGACTTTCGTTTGGCGTATGTCAGTGAGAAACAGCGTTGGCCATGTTTCGTTCAAGTCTAGGGCTGTTTGTGCCACCAAGTTCATTGATTAGTAAGGGCGATTTGGGTCGCCCCGGGGGTAGTCATTAGCTCTAAGCCTGACCGAAATTCATTCTCTTGCCGGCATAGAACCAGACCAGTTCGCAAGTTGCATAGAAGTACACCAAGGCAGTGGAATGATAGAATTTCGGTCAGTCACGTTAGCAAACAGGTGGCAGCGATATCGCCATGATTCGGTGATTGTTGATTCCAAGCGCCGCGGCGGGTCTACAGATTATCAGAAAGCCACCACGGCACCGCTATTCGCCAAAAAGGCCAGAAAGTTCTGTCGCCTATAGGATATGGAGAATAAAGTCTCGGGCAAAGTGCTATCCCCACGGAGCACGAATACCGTTTTCAAGAAGCAATTACGGACAATGGCCCGATGCTGCCCATCTTTTGATGCTCGGACCCGGGCTATTTTTATCGAGCGGCTTGAAGAATCTGGAGGATAGGAGTCCCATAAGATGCAGTAAACGCAGGTCTATCCCTGCATCGGTCAATCGGATCCAGCATCACTAGTGACCAGCCCCATTTTTCACTGTGACAGCCAACCACCATTGCCGAAGCCCTGCTGCTAAATGTGTGACAGCGCTTGGGGGAACTCGCTCTCGTCGAATGAAGCGGCTGGGCAGCGAGGACTGCCATATTCTCGCACGCTCCTGGCGGTTAGGTCGGAGGGTTGGGATTTTATTGCATGCCTGCCTCGAGGCCCGACTCCGACTGTATCGCATCGCAGTTTAAGCAATCAAGCCATCTCAACCTCCTTCCGAGCCACATATTATTTTTCTTCTCCTTCCTCACATCTTTTCCCCTTGTCAATGAAACAATAAGTAGATCCGCAATCAATTACTAGTCCCTTTGTACCCTATACTTTTCTCCCTTCCGCGGGCGCTTCTACAATCTCGGTCGGATTTTGTTCAACTCTCCTGTTGTTCCTTGCGGCATCACCACCTGCAAGCCCTTTTATTTTATTTTATTTTTCCCTTTTCTTGCGTCACCTTATCTAATTTCTACGAGAACGCGCTCGCGTTGCTCTAATAATACCTCCGACGTGTCTGCAGACTAACAGCCTTGGTTTTTGCTGGGCTGCTGGGCATTGTCTCATTGTTCGGAGATTGATACCCTCCTGCCATCGGAACCAAGCCACCTCTTATCTCTCTCCTGGGAAGGCCAATTTATTTATATTTGTATCGGACATATACCCTGGCTCACCGACCAACTCGCTCTAGATTGGCTCGTGGTGTATAAACACGCGCAACAATTGCGGCCTGACTTTCGGACCAAGTCATCTATATAACCTCAGACCACTCCAGGTGTCCTTCCACAGGCGAACTGTTTGTTCAAACACGATGTCCTTGAAGCAGGTAGGCCACAATTCTAACCGGATCGCTTTACCAACATAGACACCCATTCTAATGAAGACGTATAGGAAATCGAAACTTGGGTGCTGGCCCTTGAATATTACGACAACCAGCAATATGAGGAGGCTATCCAAGTCTTTGATGGTATCGCGGATACGTCTAAGATTCTCTTCAACTGCGGTGTTATTTGCGCTACTTTGGGAGAGCATGAACGAGCGGTATGTTGATCGATTGCTCTGTTAGCGGAAATGGCCTGCTGATGTATGGCATTAGGTCGAGTGCTACCAACGCGCTGTCGGTTTAGACCAATACCTCGCTATCGCCTATTTCCAGGAAGGCGTTTCGAACTTCCTGCTGGGCGATTTCGAGGAGGCCTTGGCTAACTTCAACGATACTCTGCTTTATCTCCGAGGTAATACGTCTATTGATTATGAGCAGCTGGGTCTCAAGTTTCGTCTCTTCTCTTGCGAGGTGCTCTTCAACCGGGGTCTATGTTACATCTACCTTCAGCAGATGGGACTGGGCCTCCAGGATCTTGAGTTCGCATCGAAAGAAAAGGTTACGCAAGACCACGATGTAATCAACGACGCAATTCGTGAAAGGGCGGAGGTATGTTCTTACTGACTGGCAAAATGAGCCATATGTTGACTTTAGACATAGGGCTACACCGTCTTCTCTATTCCCGTCGGGGTAGTCTACCGACCAAACGAAGCCAAAGTGAAGAACCTCAAGACCAAAGACTACCTAGGAAAGGCAAGATTAATTGCTGCCTCCGAGAGAAGCAACACCCACATGGCACCTAGCCGTCAGCATTCCGAGCCACCCTTAAATCGCAGTCTCTTCCCGCCAACACCCCCACCAGACACAGACAAGTCTAGCACGCACAGCTCGAATAATAGCCAAGGAGGAACGATAACAACAGGTCGATCCGCTTCTGTTCGCGCAGCACGTCCTCCACGATTGGATCTGGATCGGCCCGGTGCCAACCTTGGTGGCCGACAAAACGGCCCTGAAGCGGGCGAAAAGCCACGAATTGGAACTACGCGCACAGCATCCGAGACAAGAGGGCAATTTGCTCGCCAAGAACAGCAACCTCGCGGATTATACATCCAGAACATGGGCCGACAGCCAGGACATTGGGAGCCATCAGGGCACAAGCGAGGAATGAGTGATACGGGGTATATGCCACCGATTGAAGACGGATACGCAGAGGAACCCTACGGAAACTACGCACCAGCCCGTCGATCTCTAGTCATGAGCACCGGCGGCCAATCTCGAAAAATGATGCCACGCCAACAGATCCAACAATACATCGATGAAGAAGAGGAATACGCCAGCGACGCTTGCGACGAGGAGGACGCTGCCTTCGATAACGAAGAGTTTGAAATAGTAGGTGCGTCACGACAACGCGGACACGCACCAGGCACCCGAGTCTCGCGGCGGAGCTACACACGACGACTTGAGATCAACAAATTCCGCATCAAGGTCCACGCACTGGAAGATAAGAGGTATATCATGGTCGGACCGACGATTCAGGTTGCGGAGTTTGAGAAGAGGATCCGTGATAAATTCGGGTTCCAGTCACCGTTGAAGCTGAAGATGCGGGATGATGGGGATATGGTTTCGATGGTGGATCAGGAGGATTTGGATTTGCTTCTCATGTCGGCGAAGGAATTTGCTCGACGGGAGGGGAGTGAGATCGGAAAGACGGAGGTAAGTCATTCTTTGTTCTCCCTTGAGATAAGATGATCATGGTGGCTAACGGTGCTTCTAGATCTGGGTAGAGGTGTTACCTATGTTCTGATTTGGCTGATTTCTTTTCCACGTATATACCCTTGATGATTAAATGTCTTTACTAGCATATACCCTATAGTCGATTCCTTGACATAATATTCTTTGCCTAATTCTATGAGTTATGCCCAGGGCTTCGATTTGCTATCCAGTCGTTATACCCAGGGCTCTACCGGCTCTTATCCCAACCAGGTTGTCATGCATTATCACAGAGACCACCCAAATGGCACTCGTAGTACAGAATAACCATGACCAAGACCCTCAAAGATAGAAAGCTACTAGTTATAGACTCAACCGTTGTTCAAAGTACGTCCCTCAAAAGACACCGGGAGAGGCCTCTGAAGGCTACAAGAGCATCACATCCTCGCTGAGAGTCATCAAGATATCCCTTTTTACCTCCACTGCCACGAATAGCCAGTCACCAGCTGTGCTAGAGGTGTGTTCATTACTTTACTCCAAGAGAGCAGTGATGGATCCTTATGGTACTTACTGACTCTCGTGCTATTGGAGAGAGGCTCCAGGAGTGCAAAGACGACAAAAATTGAAACCCTGGAGAGCAGAGTGTATATTGAGATATTAAGGACTGTCATAGAGTTTGAATGGATTTTGCAACTGATATGTTCACACAGATGGTAAACAATAGCTTCTGCTGTGGTGACCAGTTCAGCAGGTTAGGATGTTAGCAAAAAAGGCTCTGGGACCCAACAAAGCTTCCTCAGGGTATTGAGAGCTGGCGGTCGTGCCTTCTTGAGTCCCTGAGCTTCTCCCAGTCTGATCTTGTGCAGATATTGCAATCACCAGCAAATCCTAGGTATTATATCCCGTACATAGTAGTATGCTTTTCCCTTTTACGAGACAGTTTATAATGCTTCACTTGCGTAGTGGTGAGGAATAGTGTCTGGCTGATTAGGCGTCTGCAGACGATCAGACGCGAATGAAGCAGGGACACATTCACTGACGCCTAGGCCATGCAGGAAAAAGCCAATTTAATACCTGCATTAAATATATGGAGCTATATGAGCTGAAATTGGGCAAACAAGACCAGTTGCTCCATGACAGCTGCGATGTGTGTGCTAAGGCCAAGAAAGTGAAGAACCAGAGCCGTGCACCAGTTTCCAGAGCTACAAAGCCACTCCGATGCGTGTACACGGATTTCTGGATGTGACGGTCTCGTTCAATATGTATCTATTGGTAGACTATCTCGCAAATACTAGCATGAGGAAGAAAAAGAAAGTACACTGGGCCTGCAAAGACTGGACTATTAAATGTGTGAGGATGTTTCTCCCTAAAGCGGGATAAAAGAATCAACGCAAAGGAATCAACCCTGCTACGCACTGAGCAAGTGCTCACGCTCTGTGGCACTGGGGCTCAAGTCACGATGGTATGGGACTTGAAAGATATTATCTGTCATTGTATTCATAAATCTTCATCAAGGCAGACTGAAGAACTACTCGTGTGACGTTCTCCACACGTTCCTTGTCGGCCCACTCCCTCTCGTCCGGATTTTTAGCCTTAGGAAACCTGACTATGGGAGATCGTTGACACCCTGCCAATAATTGGACTTGTAGGGCAAGCTCCTAAATAACCTGAGTGACAGAGGCACCAGTGCCCATTATTGCTACCCTCTTATCCTTCCAGTCGATATTGGACTTTGGCCATTCCGCCATGTGATAGATTTCCCCCTTGGATTGATCCAAATTTGTACCACCTGGGAGAGGCTGAAGTAAAGCAAACCCACGACACATACCAACCATCTCATCAGATGCGCTTGCCTATCGGAGAGGAAAGCATTTCACTGGTGAGACAGGATATCCCAAAAGGCACCAGTGACGAAAGTTGAGAAAGTATAGTGCTGGCTGATCTTCCATAGGCTGTCAACATATTCGAAGTACGAAAAAATATCGGTTTGCAGAGGGAAATATTCACTCTATGTCCATCTATCGATCAGGCTGTCGTCGAAGAATTGATAGTACGATTGTGGGCTGTCTGGCTGTGCTCCGGGATACCGATTCGAATACCAGGCTCCCCTGAGCTGGGGGAATTTCTCGATTCTATGCACTCGGAAGCCCAGCTTGCGAAGCCTGGAAATGTTAATAGTTTTGTAACCATGTGTCGAGGGATGTGGGGTCTTCGCCCTATAGACCTGGGACGTCTGAGTCGAATCCACATCGATATTCAATTGATCTCGGAGTTGAATGTTGCGAATGTTGCATTATGACTGACAGTACAATTGCTGGAAAAGCTGACCGAACTAGCGAGAACATTATTCGAGTCAAGGTTTGATCAACCAAGAAATTAGGGTTGGAGATGCATGCATGATATTTTTCAAGACGTAGGCGGTGTGTCTAGTAGGGTTACGATTTGGCGATTATGTATGTATACCCCTCATTTTACAGGTTGATGAACTCTCCCTCGGAGCATCCATTACTTTGAGATATTTCACATTGCTCTCTTGATACGGGTTCGTTCTCTCTCTCAAAGTCGAGTCGTCACAAGTTAGTATGGGATTACTCCCTTGGACAAAACTGCCCCAAGCTTTTCCAACGCTCGAAACGTTGACAGTTGTGGTATGTCTACCTAGGGAAACGAGTCGGTCTAATTTCACTCACATTCTGCGACCAGATCTCTCTCGGACTCTGTTCTTACTTGATCATCGGGTTGTTTTACCGTTTGTATCTTCATCCTTTGGCCAAATTTCCCGGCCCCAAATTGGCAGCAGCAACATTTCTCTACGAGTTTCACTTCAACCGTCAAGGAACCTTCATCTGGCAGCTTGAGAAGCTTCACGAACAATATGGTGAATGTCTAGTCTTTTTTTTTTTTTTTTTTTTAATTCTCATACTGACTTTCAAAGGACCAATCATCCGCATTATCCCTGATGAACTGCATATCAAAGATTCTTCGTTCTACGACGAAATCTACGCCGGAGGCCTTCGTGTTCGCAACAAAGACGAGAGTTTTGTCAAAATGTTCGGGACACCTCGCGCTCTAGTGGCCATTGCGGATCACGCCCACCACCGCATGCGCCGAGGCTTGCTAGGAGAATTCTTCTCTAAGCGGTCTATCGTCAATATGGAGCCCATTATCAACAATGCCATTGACAAGCTCTCTCAGAGGCTATGCGATGCTTGCAAGACAGGGGTGGTAATCAATATGGATGCTGCGTTCGCCGCCATGACAGCCGATGTGATCACACGCCATGGGTGGGGCCAGAGTGGAAACTATCTGGAGCATGGCAATTTTAACAAGCAATGGAAAGATGCGGTAATTGGTACTATGGGCAGTCGTGTCTTGTTCCGCCATTTTCCATTTATGCTTAATGTCCTCACGGCCATGCCATTGCCTCTGCTCCTGTGGATTGACCCAGACGTGGCAGATATTCTGAAGATTGAGGATCTGGTTCGACAGCTTTCACTTGAGAATGTCAGCAGAGGTGCGGCCCAAAAACAAGAGAACAAGACCATTTTTGATGCACTCAACAACCCCGATCTACCACCGGATCAGCGCACTGCTGAGAACTTGGTCGACGAAGGTCATATTCTCCTCTTGGCTGGCACGGAAACAACTGCTAAAGCACTCACCACCGGACTCTGCTATCTGTTGTTACCAGAGAATAAAAACGTGCTCATAGCCCTGCAGACAGAGCTGCGACAAGCGTATCCAGATGTTTCCACTTGGCCGACATGGAACGAAGTTCAGAAACTTCCATACCTAGTAAATAAAACCAGTCCTTTTCCCCTTCAATGTAATGCTCATGTGGTACCCTAACAGACGGGTGTTATCAATGAGTGTCTTCGCCTGTCACATGGTCTGAGTTGTCGCCTGCCCCGAGCTGCACCGAAGGAGACTTTGCAGTACCAGCAGTGGCAAATACCACCGGGAGTAAGTTCTTGCGTGGCGGTATAGTCTGGATTATGTGATTGAAAACTGCTATTCAGACTCCCGTCAGTCAGACCGCATACTTTGTCCACATGGATGAATCTCTCTTCCCCGATCCTGAAAGATTCGAACCTGACCGCTGGATCCGGGCTTTGGAAGAAGGCTAGCGCCTCGAGAAATACATTGTCTCTTTTTCTAAAGGAAGCCAGCAATGTATTGGAATCAAGTATGTGCGGTTCTGATCCCTTATTTAATGCAAATGGTTGCTAACAACACTCAGCATGGCCTACGTCGAAATGTATCTCACACTAACCCACATCATGCGGCGCTTTGACTTTGTGCTACACAACACTTCTGTCGATGATGTCCGTCTCTTCCGGGACTTTTTCTTCGGCGCGGCGCAGGATGGCTCGGTAGGAGTTCGGGCGGTTGTTGTGGATGTCAAGAGCTGAAAGAATATGACGAGCCTAGGACTTCTGTAGCTCTTGGGAGCGATACTATCTGGTACAGCATGATTGTAGGCCAAATTTGAGCGGCGAAGTTGGATCCCAGCAGCTATTTGCAAACTGAATATACTTGAAATCGCCAAACCAAATTATCTCAAAATCAAGTATCACTGCAATTCACCATATAGAGGGCCCGCTTCCCGTCAACATAGGGAGGCAGTGATTTGTAGTAGTCTGATGAACAGACATAAGGTGCTGTTTCAAAAAAAAAAAAAAAAAAATACTAGATAGGGATCAGAGTTGACTTGGTAGAGGTTATTCAGCACGGCCACATGATATTGGTCTTGACACAGTGGGCTTACCCAAATAGGCACACGAGCTGCCCTCTTGACACCAGACTGTCATCGGCAGTATGTATATTCCTATGTACAAGTATCTATATACGTCTACACCTTCCGCTTCAGCAGCCCCCTAAAGAAGTCGAAGCTATTACTATCACTCTGCAACTGCCACACCCGCCCCGTCGGCCGATCATTCCACCCAAGCTCCTCCGCCAACAACAACCCATAATCCCTTGTAATGCCCTTGATCCGCGCCTTCGCACCACCCTCTTCCTCGAGAGTTACCACCTGGTGCATGTGTAGCCAGTCGTCGTAGTACATCTCTTCGAAGGTCTTATCGAAGCCGGTCCGGAGGAATCGCGCATACAACTCTTCGTACGTGGTGACGATTCGCGCGAGGAGTTTTTCTAGCGTGATCGGAGCGGCGTTTTTAGGGAGGAACTTGGCGACAAGTGCGTTGAGAGATGTTGTTGGTGAGGAATTTGTGGCGTTGATGCCGATACCGACCACGGAGACGTATTCATTGGCCGAGAAATGTGAGTTTACTAGAATTCCGCAGATCTTGGCATATTGTTGTTTTTCGGGCTTGTCTGGGTCCAGGGCGTAGACGTCGTTGGGCCACTTCATTTTCACGGGTAATTCCTCGTAGCCTTGGTCGTAACTCTTGATTCCCTTTACAACTGCCATGGCAGCCAGGTATTGAATGAATACTATCGGGGACGATTGAATCTTCTCGACCGGATGACGCAGAACAGTTGAGAAAATAAGAGCACCCGCTGGGGAAACCCAGACGTTTGAACCACGGCCTCTACCGGCGACTTGAGTGGTTGCTGTCGCAGTGAATCCATTCGGTAGACTCCGGAGAAGTTGGGGGTTTCTAACGAGAATCAGACATATACCGGAGAGCAAGGAATATTGAGGCGACTCACTTCTCCAGTATGGTATTGGTACTGGTAATAACCTCCGCGTACATCAAATTCGAACCAAACTCGGCTGCTCCCTCCTTCATATTGGACTGGTAGTGGCGAAGATTGGAGTAGAAGGCATAGTGATTGAAATATGGTGTAACCTTTGTGGACGGCAGTTCGCCGTGAATGACAAGGCGTTTGAGAACCGCATTGTAGTCCACAATGCCTTGGCTTGTATTTTGACTCTCCGACTCTGCTGGAAGAGACTCTTCCAGATTACCCATGTTCCACACTCCAGATTTCTCCAAACGGAACGTATCATTTGAATCTTTGAAGTACTCCTCATCTCCTTCTTTGGTAATACCATCCTGCAGCGATGATATGATCTTGGACGTGTCTTCCGGGTCCAGCGCCGACAGATGTAACGACGAGAGGGATGGGACTGTGGTGGTCTCATCCGTAACCTGCAACCCCAACTTAGACAGGCATGCCTTCAGGAAGTCTGTCCGCGACTTGTCATCCGCGGCCAGGGCGTCCACCACCTTAGTATACTCTGGTCCGGCAGCGTTCCGATCGAGGTTCGCGGCGGCGAATCTAGATTGTCAGTACTTGGTTAGGCAATGGAAAGAATGGTAGACTGACTCTGGATGCGGCCCTGTCAATACCGCCGCCCCGTCGCCAATTTTGCAGTAAACCACAGCGGCCGCTTCGTCGCCAGGGTCAACATTGAGCTCCTCCGTGAAGCTCGCGAGCACTTCCACCCCTCTATCAGCGTACTTTGGCGCATCGACAAACACCCCTCCGCCGTTGTAATATGACCGAAAGACCTCAGGCACCGTCCCCGTCGCCAACGACTCTTTCGAGACCTTCAATTCAGCGGCCCGCGCTCCGGCCTCACTATGGTAAACGAACCCAGGAAAAGCCCCTCCACGACAGATTCCGGGGTAAAAGGCCAATTCGCGCTCCCCGATAACCTGCATTGTCTTATCACCCATCTCGAATTCACACCGTTTGCAGCCATAGTAGCCCCCCGCACAGAAGCCCAGGTATGCCCCTCCTCTGCGAACAAACTGCTCGATCCGTCGGTTCCCTGCGCCATTGAGTGTCCGGCAATACCCCAGGTCTCCTCCACCTGGCATGACCAGCATAGCGCATGTGAGGGTCCATGGTTCTTTGATTAGCATGTCGCCCGTGACCGGGATCACAGCATAGTGAGGGGCTAGAAGTCGGCGGAGGGTGTAGAGGCAGTGACGGACGGAATCAACGGTGGTGCCATTTCCTGTAGACAAATAAGAAAAGTATTAGCATTTCTGCTGGATTTTCATGCGAATGTTTGGAACGCACCGGAGTAAACCAAGACGTTGACTTTCTTGCCCGTCATATTAGCCGTCATCGTGGTGGCGGAACGAACTGCTCTGGAAAACGACGAACTCCGAACAAGAGCTATCAATCGACAATATCCCGAGTTAATCACGATTTCCGTTCAAAATGTCAAATAACAAGGACAAAGTACTGCCAGAGGTGGAGGACGACGAGCCGGATGACTGGTAGGGTGTTTTCTGCGGTTACTTCGCTTTTGAGGTTGAGGACTGACGCCGGAGTCGGATGTAGGGACAAGCGGATCTTCAGCACTGGCTGCGCAAGTAAGCACTGCAGTAGCTATACAAACAGAGAGTTGCTGATTGCCTCTAGTCGAGCAGGATAAATTGAACGATTGCTTTTTCAATAGGAAAGATTGGCGGAAGTGCCAGAAGCAGGTGAGTCACCTGGACTCTGCTTACTTTGTTTATCTTTTTTTTAATATCTTTATTTCTGCTTCCCCCTCTTCCGTTTATTCCTTTTATTTCCCGGCTTGTATACATGATACTCAATTGCAAGAGCCTGACTGACAGCTCCAGATGGCGGCCTTCCGTGAGTGCTGGAAGCGCGAGGGCAACGACCAGCGCACGCAGACAAGGGATTCTTAATCATTATTCACTGTCACTGTCTTATCCCAGTCTCTCACCCTCTTTCTCTCTCCTCTCCTCTCTGTATCATAACAATGTACCATAGTGCTTTGTGCAGTTGCAAACAAATGATATCACGTGATACTATACAGAAATACGCCGCCAGCCTCAGTGTCATGACTTCATAGCAACCACGCCTTCTCTCCTCAACGCTCACACCATGCCGGTTTCCCAGATCACTCGCTCCCTGCGGGCATCAGGAACCCTGAGATCGCTCAGACACACCCAAACTCTCGCCTGGAGTTCTCGTACCGTGTACCCAACCAGCTACGCGCCGCCGATCACCCTCACCCGCACGATAACCACCTCCTCACCTCTCAAACAACAATCCGCTACACCCCCTTCTACCTCCTCTACCTCAGGGATCCCCGCCTCCAAATCTACCACATCCTCAGGATCGACCTCAGGAACCCCAGCAGACCGCGCCTCCCGCGTCATCGCCCCAACACCCAACCAGCAAACTACGCCTAACATCTCCAAAACTGGTCTCTCAGACAAACCACTGGAGCTGGAAACTACGCCCGAGGAAAAGATTGACTGGACGCGCTCGTTCCACGGGCTGAGTGCAGCCCCGTTCCCCAAAGAAGCGGCGGATGTTTTGCTCGCGCCTACGGACCCCGAGGAGGTTGAGATCAAGCCTGATGGAATTTTGTATCTGCCGGAGATTAAGTACAGACGGATTTTAAATAAGGCGTTTGGACCTGGTGGATGGGGGCTGGTTCCTAGAAGTGAGAGCATTGTTACGCCCAAGACGGTGACGAGGGAGTATGCTTTGGTTTGTAATGGACGGTATGATTTTAAGTCATGTTTTTCAGGTTGATGGTTGCTAATGTTAGCAGTCTCGTCTCTGTCGCCCGTGGTGAACAGGATTACTTCTCGCCCGACGGAATTCCCACCGCGACAGAGGGATGCCGCTCGAACGCGCTGGTGCGGTGCTGCAAGGATCTGGGAATTGCGAGCGAACTCTGGGACCCCCGCTGGATTCGCAAGTTCAAGGCGGCGCACAGCAGGGAAGTGTGGGTGGAGCATGTGGTGAACAAGAGGAAGTCAAAGATCTGGACTCGCAAGGATGACCCAGTGGGGTATCCGTGGAAGGAAACTAAATAAACTCTTTAAGGGGATCTGCTTTGCTACAGGGCTGGCTTAAGTACGATATGATTGCTATGAGGTAAAAATGGTTGATGATTGTATTATAGTAATAGATGGTTCTTAACTCCTATGAATGAATGTATCCTCCGGGTATCCGTCGTTATCTAGTTTACAGTATCCATCACAAATCGCCTCATAAATAAACCAAAATAAAAGAACAATCACCGCGGCCCTCGGGGCTTCCCAATACCCTGCTCCACAGAACCAGCCCGAGACCCATTCGAGTTTCCAGCCGGCGAAGGAGGCAACGGTGAAACTGGTTCAAACTCATGTCCAGACTCGTTATTTGAATAGTCCAGCCCAGCTGGCAACTCAAGCAGCTCTTCTAATTGCCGCCCTTGTTCCTGTTGGTGACTGCACCCTTTTTGTCCCTGGGCGGGTCCGCCGAAAACTTCATAGTACGCCGGGGCACCACTGTCACCTTGGCCGTTCTCCCGATACGACTGGTACCGCATTTCCGGGTGCGAGTAGGGATAGTAATGACTTCTTCCCTGCAAAGCTGGTCCTGAATGCTCAGGCGGCATCGGCACCAAACCAACTTGCATTCCTTCAACACCCGCACCAGGATACGCCTGATAACTAAACGGCCGGTACCTGCCCTGATACGGCGACTTCTCCTCATTCTCATTACCATTCTCCTCACTCGGACCCGTACTCCTACTCGACGACCTCCTTAACACAACCCCCTGCACAGGCGTCCTAGTACCATCTCGCATGCCCGCATCCATTCCCGCACCCCCATGGCGCATCCGCTCTGGCGACGTAGCAGGCGTCTGATACAAATCATCGTGAAACTCAGAAACATTCCCCGGCGTCGTCGTCACCGGTCTCCTGCCTGTGTTTGCGCTCGATGTATTCTGGCGCGAGGGTAGGCTGCGGCGGTGGAAGAGGCCTGAGGATGCGATGGAGTTTGTGGATATGGGAGATTGTTCCCTATCCCTATCATATCCAGTTGTTCTTGCTCCCGTTGGGGGGTTGGCGCTGTGGGGCACCATGAGGTGCGCTGTAGACTGGCCTTGTTCTTGCGTTGCGCGGATTTGGGCGTTTGTGCTGGTGTCTGAGGCGCGTTTGTTGGCTTTTTCGGTGTCGTTGTCATCGTTGGTGGGTGGGAGAGGTTGTTGGTCGTCTCCTGGGTAAATTGTGGCATCATCACCGGGGCCGCGGATGTGGAGTTTTTTCATAGCCAGAACCAGAGCGCACATGAACTTTGAGCGTCGCGAAGCGCGGACACTCTCGTTGGCCCAGTTTGATTTATGCCGAATGTCAACTCGCAATTGCAGTCTGTCTGTATCATCACCGACACCCAGGACTTCAAGCTCAACATCAGGCTGGAAGTCTCGACAGTTATCCTTGCTCCAGACGAAAGCCTCCATTTCGCCTCGCAAGGACTGGATGTCATTGAAGGTAGTGTTAAAGTTAACACTAATGGTAAGTTGCTCGTGCATAGCGTCTGCGCGGGTGATATTATCGATCCAGAGGGTGTTTAGGGTTGCGTTTGATGTCTGTGTGATACGGTGGTCTGAGATGCAGTGGAAAACCGTAAAAAGCAAGGAAATTCGTTCGACCATGTACGGCCGACCGTTGATATCGACCCGATCACCGATATCAAAGGGGTGCTTGACGAATAGGAAGATACATGAGCCTAGGACTTCCTGGGCGGTCGTTGAGAAGACGAAACTAAGTGATAGGAGCGAGGTTGCTCCTGCTGCAATAACCGTTCCGAAGCCAGATGTCACGAAGGAGACAAAGACGAGAACACCCACTATCCCAGCGACAGTGAGGAGTAGGTTATCCAGAACCTGAATAGCCTGATCGACATCATGCAGACTATGATGCAGAGCTCTCCGCATCCGCCCTATCTCTGTAACACCCAGGATAATCTCATCAAGGCTGATATCCCCATTCTCATCACGGTCCAGTAACTGAAACGCCTCTTCGGCTTCGCCTTCCCGTTCAGACCCAAGTACCTCGGCGATATCTTCAGGGAACAGAGCCTCCCGCCCTTCAATAACAAACGACATCCAAATCCGTCTTCCAAGGGCCTCAGAAGACCTTTTCCTCTCCAAAGCTTGTGTCACAATCGAATGCGCTGCCGTGGGATTGAACACATGCTTCCCCGTAATTTCCTGCGCAAAATTTCCAAACGCCTCGGTAACCTGGTCAGCAAACCGGTTGACATTCTGGCCCACGTTCCGGATGACACCAGCTCTCCCTCGCAGAAACGAACTATTCGAGGACGCAGTGCCCCCAGCAGCTGCAAGCATAGAATCACAGATTAACACGTCCTCATCGTAAAACTCCTTGCAGTACATCGGGAACATAGTCCGCGAAGCTTCGTACAGAGTACTTAGCAGTCGGACATGTTGTTTAGACTTTCTGATCCTGCTGTCGAATTGTTTCCGGTGATAGTTTATCGAGATAAGCAAAATCATCGTCTTCTCCGCTAGGAAGATGAGACTGCAAACAAAAAGCGCTAAGAGGATATTCTTCACCGACTTCTCCCAGGATTTAGGGTTTGTATCGCCATGCGCTATTCGCTCAGGGTTATGCGCCATTATCTGTCAAATCAGTCAGCCTCCACCAACCCCTATACTTATTGAAAACATACCGGGAAAAAAGTAACCAGCGAAACCCCCGTCCACCCCACCAACGAAATCGGAATCTCTAAAGCCCTGAGCACAAGCCCATATCTCCTACCCCCGGGACTAACAACCCCCCACAAACTCTGAAAAATGTATGGCAGCCCCCTCGCCAATATCTTACACACCCACAAACTCAACCAGATAACCTCAATCCACGCAAAAAACCAATACAATGTGACACCACCGATAGTCGCGTAGCGAGCTGCCGTTGCACCGACGATGATGGGTATTGCGATTAGGATCGCGAGCGGTGTTATGTAGGCGATGTAGCGTGTTATGATGGAGGAGTTTATGAGAAATTTGTAGAGGCGACGGAGGCGGGTTAGACTTTTGTTTCCGTCTGGAGGGTGTTCTGTGCGGTTGTCGCTAGGTTTGTAGTTGTAGTTGGGGTTGGGCTTGTTGGTGTGGGTGCTGTGTGTTCTGTGGGATTTGGATTTCCGGCGTCGGCCTGTTGAGGATGCGTCGCAGTCTGGGACGAGGTGTGTTTTTTCACTGCCTTCTTCGTTGTGTATTGCGCTGTTGTATCTGAAAAATGAGAGAGAGTCGCTTTTGCTGTGTGCGTCTGTTCTATCTTGGTCATGGTTCTGCTGGTCCTCATTTTGCTGATTATGCTGGTTGTGTTGGTGAAGTCCATGTCCATGTCCATGTTGATCGTGATCGTGATCGTGATCGTGTTCATGTTCGTGAACATCCTCCTCGTCCAGTGGAATATTAATAGTAACATCATTGGCTATCATCGATTCATCCTCCGCTGGCGTCTCGGGAATCTGGTGGAAGCGATGCGAGATGAGGCGCTTCTGTGCGAGGCCGGGACGGGTCATGTTCGTAGCATAAGATCGCTGTATAGGCATATGGGATGTATTGTTTTACTCTTGTCGGGGTATTTTTAGGAAGAAGGGACATGGGAGTGGGAAAGTCGTTATTATGAAGGGGTGTTTGGGGTATGTTACCGCGCGACGGGGAATGCTAATGCTGCATTCCAGAGCTTATATTGACGCTGTGGTTGGGATAAGTAACAACGTCAGTCATTCTGCAGTAATTCCCTTTTCCCTTTCAGGTGGAAAGGGATGACAGGTGATGTCGCATGTTCGTTTTATTCGAAAATTCCCTTCCGCTGGCTAGCCCTAAATCAATCACATAGACACTACTTAGAATCCTCCTTCATCTTCAACAATTCCTTAACCACATCCTCCCCAGTCCACCCTCCCTCCAACCCTCTGATCACAATATCCTGCTCACTCTCCGGCGCCATTCCACTCGGTGCAGGCGGCCTCTTATCTAAATTCGTCGGAAATGGATACGCCTCCGCAATCGCCTTGACCAACAACCTCAGCTCCTCATCTACCCCTCCAGCCTCTTTAAACTTCTTCGTCAGACCCTCCCAGCAACTCCGTATAACAGGGACCGTTTCAACGGTCTCCATCGGCTTCCCAAATGCAGAGCTAACCTGCAACAGATTCGCCTTGCGGTGGAACGCACTCTCAGCAGGTAACTCATTCGCACCTGCTGCATGGAATAAGCCAGGATTGAAGAAAACACCGTCACCTAGTGCAAGCGGTAACGCAACATATTTCTCCTGGAAAAACTCCCGAAACTCCTCCTTCCTCCACGCAAGATACCCAATTTCGTATCCCTGGCTAAATGGCAAGAACCTCGTCGGCCCACTCTCAACGGGCATATCGCTATGCGCAACTGCACCCTGCAGCGTCAAGTACTGACTTGCCAAATGCAAGCCCCTCGGAAACCGCTCGCAAGCACCTAGATCCTGGAAACCGAGATGATAGTCCCGGTGACTATCCTGTGCTTTCCCACCTGGTTTCACGATATTGCATTGCGCTGTGACGCGGTACCCGGGACCGAGCCATGCCTCGCTGACAGATTCTAGCCAGGGATTCGCATAGTAGTGAAGGAACGAGTCAGGATCGTCCAGGGCATGCTTCCCGAATGAGTTCCAAATGCGATCATTTTTCCCCGATGCCGCGAAATGATCGCCTTTGGGCTTGGTGGGGTCGTTGTTCTCATGGGTTATTATGCGCTTGAACGATTCATTCGTTGCGGTGAGGGTTTGTTCGTATTTGGCTGGATCGTACATGCCCTTCAAGACAAAGACGCCCGGGCCCGTGGAGAGGATATCGTACCATTCATCCTGGAGGGCGGATGTGGTTGATGGGTTTGCTGGGTCGAATTTGGTAATCTCATAGATGGGGATGCGATGCGTGATGGAGGATGCCAGTGGATAATCTGCTGGGTCGGTGGTGCGGGAGCAGACTTGCTGGAAGTCGGATAGTTTTGATGACTCTGTGTTGAAGAGTCTGGTGTTCTTGGTGGCACGTTTGGTTCCGTTCGTGTTGGTCATGTTGTCTGATTTTTTTTTTTTTTTTTTGGTGGAAGGTAGGTGAAGGCGACAGGGTTGACGGAATATATATACCGTGGGCCAAAGTAAAAAGAATTCCGACTTAACCGGAAACCTATATCCGAGTGTGTTGGAGAAGAAAGTCAGGTAACTTTTCGCACAATGTATACCGAGGATTTTCATATGTTCATCCGAGATTGCTTGCTGGTATTCACTTGGTGATGTTTGATAGTGCGGAGTACTCCTGCACCGGGGTGTAAAAACTAGAAACGCGTCTCTCAGTGTCATGTCTCCACCACGCATAACTTCTTCATCTGACAGTGTTGAGACTTGACTACGAGATACTGCTGCCACATATAAATGCATTTTATAAGCGAAGAACCAGGAGGGTTCTACGTTGTGGTGATATTTGCATTCCGGCGTACGGGCAAGTCGAAAGTCGCGAATAGAAGCTGCTAGTACATGTCGCATACTGGAATGATTCTGCGTATGATAGTGCTCTGTATGGTCTAGCAAGCAAGCAGTGATGACTACAAAGCACGAAGAATGTCAACCTGTCCACAGTCCAAACGACCAAGTCTATTAACTATACTAATCATTACACTATACAAGTCCATGTATCCATCGTAAAGAACGACAAACCGTACCCAAACCGTAATAACACTAACCAGGAAAAGAATCATGCATTCATAACAACAGAAGGATCGGAAATCAAAGCCGGATCATCTGCCAAAAGCGTCGGATCAACTCGATTCGACTCGGTGAGGATGTGCAGGTTTTCCGACAGAGTTTCCACCAGTGAGCTCGGCCGTCCGGCCACAGTAAACAGCACTTTGAGTAAGACTCGCTGACCGTGTTTCTCATCAGGAATCTTCACCGTCTCGTGTCGCGTATGTGTCAAAAGAACTCGTACCAGAGACCGAATGTAGACATCAGTCGAATCATCCTGAAGCACGTCCAGACCATCAATCACGCAAACCAAAAGTGGAGGCGCAAGAGACAACAGGCAGTCAATCAGAGATAACACCTCCTTCCAGCATCCGAGGGTGTCATTCAGGAACCGGAATCGCTCGCAGTTGAGATGACAAGCTACATTGCTGTCCACCACCGGCGGTAAGCAATCGACCAGCTGACGGATCAGACTGTAAGCGAGGGCGAGCAAGCCTTGTTCGAACGGCATCACATTTTGTCGGGTCTCAAGTGGTAAGGTGCAAAAGTGCGAAATCAGCGGTAGTTTTTCCTCACGGGCATAAAAGACGTAGCAGGCGGAAATCAAAGCAACAGGACTGGGAAAGGCGGTAGTCGGGGAGCCTCCTATGGCCAGCACTTGCGAATTGGAGCCCGCACCCCACTGGCTCAAAGATGACAAGACGTTGGCTTCCGTCACGACTTGGACATCGGGTTCGAAGTGGGCGATCTGGTCGTCATTATCAAAGTAATTCTGCAAATGTGCGGATGCGTATTGGAATTCGACTCGAGTGTATTTGCGCCGGGAACCGTAGGACCAATCGAATCGAGATGTAGCTGGTAAATTAGCAGGTCAATTCTTCAAGGACGTAGCAAAACATACCTAGGTCTTGTGAAGGGGTAGTAGTCAAACAAGCAATGCCACTTTTCTGTTCACAGACTGGATGCAACTGACCGTTGGCCGCACCGAGCCACTTGCACAGGAGAAACTCTCGATCCTCTCTCATGCGGCTCCGTTGAGCGTCATCGTCCTGCAAATCCCAAATCAAATGACGAATGATGGTGTTCTGAGCGGCGACGTGACGGTCCTTTCCCTGCAGGCCGACCTGGCGGATGCGAGCTTCCTCCCATAGATACGAGGCATTAGCTTGCATGGTTCGACGTTTCTTTGCACATCCCCGGTCCTCCAGGCTCAATCCATCGGTGAATTCACGCATAATATCAAGTCCCCGGGAGCGAACGGTGCAGACGAGATTTTCGAGATGGGCGTAGGGCTCGTGATTGGGGCTTTTCAGCAAGCGGCACTTGGCCCGTCGCACATACCAATCCATAAACTCGGCCAGCAGAAAGAAAACGAGAGAGTAGAATCGGACGACTCGGGATGTCATATTTTCGACGGCATCGGAGGGGTTCTTTCCGGGTAGACAGATGGATTCATTGACCTTGACCAGGGCTTTCAACAGACCGTCGATGACCTTGGGATAGTTTGCAGATGCCTTGACGGTTTAGCAAAGTGAGCGGTGCGCCTGAGTCAGGTTACCCACCTTGAAGACCGACTGCAAAACACCGTAAAAGAGAGACGCATAGCATTCGTGATCGGGGAGGACGGTGAGCAGGGCGGAATGAGAGTCCATGGTAGCCAGGAACCGGTCACAGAGCTTCATGGCAGTGCTGAAGAAGTGTTTCTGGGGACTGGCAATCCAAGTGGATTGGATGCTACGGACACGGGCAATGACATCGCGGGGATTCTGAGGGTGCGGGAAGAAGTCGGTCTGGTCGTGGGGCGCCGCGAGATTGTCCTGAAACGCCTTCCAGGAGAGGATGAGTTCATTGTATTCGATGTCCAAGTCAGCGGTAGCTGGGCTGATGATAATTGCTTGGTTAATCCCGGTCATGGTGGTGGTCATTGGCTGCAGAAACGCGATCTGACAGACTGACTTACCGGACTGGTTTCGAATCAAACCGCTTACCCCAGACGGCTCGATCTCTCTCGTCTAGAGCGCGCCTATGAGCAGATAAGGCGGACGAGGGAGAGACCATCTTTATATATTTTTTATTTTTTTAGTGGGCGATGGTGTTATGGAGAATCAAAATGGCAGTGAATATGGTGAAGCGAGTGATGAGGAGTGAACGAGGGAATTGCCATGCCGGTGACTCTAGACAAGGAAAGAGAGACCATCACTGACTGCCCATATTCTGTATGTTGTTTTCGTAGTTCCTCGTTCCTCCCTATTGCACTCCTTTCATATCACGGATTGTTCCTTCTGGTCTTCTCTGTTGTATTCTCTGTTCAATTCTTTTCCAATTTTCTTCCCCCCTCAGAGCCTCGGCCTTGCCCGCGGTAAACTCTCCGCAGTTTTCGGCCCAATCAACGGCCCGGTTACGGCGGAGCCCTGGACCGATGGATGGTCGAGACCCCGGTTGAGGGCGGGGATTTGGCTTGTTATTGGTCGAGCAAGCGAGAAGCAACCAATTAGGAAAGCCATATATTTAGCCACGGCGTCGGCAGATTTATTCACCGGTTGAGTTATAGACGGGTATAGGGTGCAGAATAGACTGCTGTATGCATGGCAGAGTACTTCGTCAGAGTACTTTGTACAAATGTTGATATCAAACCGTACCACACCGTTGACGCACGCCCAATCCTGGAACGCGGGATTACACCGACGCGTCACCGGTTACAGGCCCTTTCTTACGGAGTACAGAGTAATACTACTCGTGATATTAGACTAAAGGAAGTCAATTGCCGATTTACAGCGTATGTACCCCGTACTGGATGATATGATATCACTGGCAAAACAGGTTGTCAATGTTCCACCCCGCCTGCCAAGCCGTGAGATTCCGGGGTTATGCGCATAATCCGATTTTACTAGAGGGATACCGATTGAACTCTGCACAGTACAGGGTACTGTTTACACTGCAAGGATATACTTTTTTTATGCTTCTTTCCATGTCATAGAGTCTGACTACTTTGTATAAGTAGTCTTTACATACAGTCTTCATCCGCAAATGGAAAATGCAGATAAGGATGATCCCTCCGGAATCGGATCGAGCGGAGGAGGCCCGAGTCAGATGTCCTTGTATCACTTACTGTCTCGTGTTGTTACTCTATGGAGGCTATAAGTCAAAGTACAAGTACAAGTAAATTAGTCTGCTTATGCTCTGTACAGAGCAAGTACAGAGTACATAGGGTACACTTAGGATACAAGTACAAGTACATGAAGCACAGAGTATCCGAACTGGATCTCCGCAATGATCAGCGCTGACTAAACCAAATGAACTCTCCCAACCCCCCTCAACTTTTCCCATTCTCTTTCTTCGTTTGACTTTTTATCTTCCCTTATTCTTGTGTCATCCGGGGTCATTCGCCATCTCCTTTTTGTCCCCGATTGTTGATATAACGCTTCATGGGGCTGGCTCCCATTTACCTTTCATCCAGTCTCTCCGCCGCTGCCGCCGCCCTACGGTCGCCTCGGATTCCCTCGGTTCATCTCACGAGTCTCCCTGGCCTTGTACTTCTCGCAGCAATTGAACTCTCGTGAACTCATCTTGGGCCTTGATAAGCCACAACCGCTGACCGCAGCATCCACGTCAACCCGATTCGGACGGCCCAATTCATTCGCCCGTATCCGATTCTGCGTTGTTAGATGTCAGACGTGCCGGTCGCATCCATCCACCTATAGCAGCATCGGCTTTCGCTCTGCTGTCGGTTACTATACAACTACTTATATATTGCCGCTGCGGATATCGACGTGCTGGGCGCGTACGCATTTATATAGTTGAATCTTCCTTCGCGCGGTCTCTATATTTGACATCGGTCTTCCGGAAGTGCCATGATGAATTCTCCACCTATTGGTAGCTCTAGTGATGGGGGGGATCAAAGTGATTCATCGGGCGGGAGTCCCAATACGGGTTGGTGCAGTCTTGGACACAAACAGAATCAATATGTTAACCCATGATAGCGATGATCATTCTATATAGTATCACCGGTATCATCACCGTCCTCTTCCTCGCCATCATCATTACTGGTGCCATCCGTGCTCATCGTCATCCCGAACGATATGGCCCCAGATACGCCATCGGACGAAGGAGTCGTCAAAGTCGGGCACGAGGTATAGCCAGGGCCATGTTGGAGACCATACCCATCGTTAAGTTTGGCGACGAACTTCAAGACAAACCCGATCCGGCCAAAGATGATGTGGAGATGGGAATTCCGGAGTCTGGAGCAGAAACCCCTGCCGATGGGCAAAACAAGGAGACAACCCCGGCTCGTGACACCGTCCAACCTGCGTCACCCGATGAAGTTCCGTCGAAAGATGAGAAACGATCGAGTGCGACGCCGTCCACCCCTGACGCCGGTAACTTTTCATGTCCAATCTGTACGGATGACTTTGTCAAGGGGCAGGATTTGCGGGTTCTTCCCTGCAACCACAAGTTCCATCCCGAGTGTATCGATCCATGGTTGGTGAATGTGTCTGGAACGTGTCCATTGTGGTATGTCTCTTCTATTATAGGACGTATATGAAATGTGTAGCTAACGACCGTAGTCGCATTGACCTCAACCCTCCCAAAGAAGAACAGGAGGAGGAGGAGGAGCAGCAGCAGCAGCAGCAGCAAGGCAACGACAGTCACCCTCCGACACGCGATCCAACACTGGAACGCCAAAGCCGTCAACGACGTCTCACCGGCTACTTCTCAAGCACGTTGAACGCACGCCGCATGCGGGAGGCAACGGTGGAGGAACGGCTGGCTGCCCTTCGGACCGTACGCGAAGAGGCCAGGACCAACGGGGAGACTGAAGATGCCGACGAGCAACGACACCAGAATCGACTGTCGACCCGACTCCGCGAGCGCTTCCGGATAAGGACTCGTCCGCACGGTGACGCACAGCCTGAGCCTCTACAGTGATGGATATGTATGTATATTGCATGATTTCTGGTATATGATTAATGATGGATTGTATGATTGATTGGTTTTGGCGTTGCCTGGCGTCCTGGACGAAAACGCTTGTATATATCATGTTGGAATACGACTATGACATTTACGTATCCTGCAAACCCATCTTCTATAAATAGGCTAATGCCTTCTTGGCTCATTTGGTCTCTGGTGCGCCGGGGCATCAAACCAAGCTGTCCTAGTCCAGTATATATCTGCCGCCGTTAACTTCGTACTACAGTTGACTCCCGCATGGCCTGCGAAGGGGGTGGCATCGGGAACCCAGCGTCAAGCGGGAGTGGGATACTCGTTTCAAGTTCCCGGATCTCCTCGGGCGTCAACCTAATAATAGGCACCGTCACACTGGACTGCAAATGATTAATGATCAACCCTCCGCTGTCCAACAAGCGGAAAGACACGACGCTTTATGCAAGAGATACGACAGACACTACACCACCATTAGTTAGCGCCAAAAACAAAACCCGGTAGGTTCCTGCGGGCTTACATCCACCCTCCAAGCCATCGTTCAGATAATCATTGGTAATTATTCGCCCTATCTAGTAAGTCTATCCCATATCCATATCCACCGTCACGATGCAACTCACGTAAAATCTCCCCCAAGCGCAGCATGCCTATCCAAACAAACGCCTCATCCTTGGCGCCATCACCCCCCGACACAGGGCGAGGCTTTGCCAGACAATGGGCGATAGCAGCCGGCTAGGCTTAGCCGAGGGATGTTATCGGGTCAGGTCAGGGACAATCAGGTACAGTGTAGTATGTAGAATGATATTGTCGATTATTTTTGGGTTGTAATCTACATTTATACAGTACATCGACACTCACATTCTTGTGCTGTACTGTGCATGTACATAGCCAGTGTATGCACGTGCTTTTGATGGAGCGTTCTCGACGCGAGGAGACCAAGACGGTCGGATAAAGTCCGTGGCAAATTGACAAAAGACCGGTTTCTGTTGGCCAACAAAATGCGGGATTTATGCGGAGATATTGGAGTAGATAATGCGGAGTATAAGGCAGAGAATGGAGTATCGATACCCAGGGGTAGAATGGCAGAAATTATAGGAGAGGATAGGAATACAGCAGCAGTATTATGGAATCATAAGATACAGGGAAGGACATGTGAACCGACATCCTCGGTCCTGGCCCTGGTCCTGACTAACACATATAAATACTTAATATCGCGATGCCTGTAACATGGAACATGCCATTCACCACTGTATAAAATCGTGTAATATATTCCATCGGTGAACTCTTTGAGGCAATTCCCGTCGTGTGACTCCTCATTAACATTCCCCCATACATATATCAGTCACCATGCCGTCCACCTTTCCAACTTCCGCCGCTCCATCCGCCGCTCCATCCTCCTCTACTCGGTCTACTCCCTCCCAACGACTCGCTAATCTCTCCTCACACATCATGGCTCCTTCAACTCCGTCTGTGTTCTCTTCGTCACTCATCGCTGCTGCTCCGCCTGACCCGCTCTTCGGTCTGGCGCAGGATTTCAAGCGCGATCCGTCCGATAAAAAGGTCGACCTGGTTATCGGTGCCTACAGAGATGACGATGCGAAGCCGTGGGTTTTGCCTTCTGTGCAGAAGGTACTCCTCCAATAGCCTGGTTTTGAGAATTTAGATGACATACTAATGCGAAAAAAATAAAAAGGTCCGCAACGACATCCACGAAATCCCCACCCTCAACGAATACCTCCCCATTAAAGGCCTCGCCCCTCTCACCACCGCCGCCGCATCCCTCCTCATGGGTCCCTCCTCCCCAGCAATCACCCAGTCCCGCGTCAGCACTGTGCAAACCATTTCCGGCACCGGCGCCGTCCACCTAGGCGGTCTCTTCCTTTCCCGTTTCCACCCCTCCAACCCGAAACCAGCCATCTACCTCTCCAACCCGACCTGGGCGAACCACCACCAGATCTTCTCGAATGTCGGGCTTTCGCTGGCTCAGTACCCGTATTTCTCGGCGAAGACAAAGGGATTGGACTTTGAGGGGATGGTGGATGCGTTGAGGGCGGCGCCAGCGGGGTCGATTGTGTTGTTGCATCCGTGTGCGCATAACCCCACAGGTGTTGATCCGACGCAGGAGCAGTGGAAGCAGATTGCGCTTTTGATGCGTGAGAAAAATCACTTCCCGTTCTTTGACTGTGCGTACCAGGGCTTCGCGTCGGGGGATCTTGTCCGTGACTCGTGGGCGATTCGGTACTTTATCGAGCACGGCTTCGAGCTGTGCATTGCGCAGTCGTTTGCGAAGAACTTTGGTCTGTATGGTCAGCGTACCGGTGCTTTCCATTTCGTCTCCGCGCCGGGCCCCGATGCTGCTAAGGCTACTGAGAACATCGCCACCCAGCTCGCCGTTCTGCAGCGCTCGGAGATCTCGAACCCGCCTGCGTACGGTGCGCAAATCGCCAGTCGCATCCTGAACGATCCTCAGCTATTCGCTTCGTGGGAGGAGGATTTGCGCACGATGAGCGGTCGTATCCAAGCGATGCGAACGGGCCTGCGCGATCGTCTCGAGGCCAAGGGTACACCCGGGTCGTGGGAGCATATCACGAACCAGATCGGGATGTTCAGTTTCACCGGTCTGAGCGAGCAGCAGGTTAAGCTGTTGCGCGAAAAGTATCATATTTACATGGTAAGTTTTCCTCTTTTTGACTTATTGCATGGCTCCACTGTTACTTGCATGATCTGCATGACAACTGTACTACGGCTAACCATTTATCCAGACTAAAAACGGCCGTATCTCCATGGCGGGTCTGAACTCGCATAACCTGGATTACTTTGCCGATTCGGTTGATGCTGTAGTACGAGAGACTTCATAGCTTCCCTTTCCTGCGTTCTTGTTCTTTTCAGTTAAGCATTAGGATGACTAGTCTACCGGACAATAATCATAATGACCGTAATCACCTCCACTTGAATATCCTCACCCATCCTCATCCTAGACAACCAGTCTAGAAAATTAAATCCCAAACAACCAACCACGTACACAACCCCACTGTCCCCCAAAACACCGCCTGCGCCGTACTTCGCTGCTCAGTCGCACGCTTCAACTCCTTATTTCCCTCCCCGATATTCGTCGTTGTATTACTCGCGTCCGTAATAAGCTGGCCAATGTAGTCTTCTTGCGTGGCCAAATGCCCGACGAGGGTTTGTTGCAGGGAAGCGATTTCGAGGAGGGATTTCTCCGCATTTCTACCCGTCCGCATTGATTAGTACCTGTAGATCCGACGAGTTGAGGAATTTATGGGGAGTGAGTGAGGGGGAGGGGAAAGGAAACGCACTGCACTTTATCAAGCGTATCCTCATAATACCGTAACATGGTATCATTCTCCTCCGCGAACAACTGCAGCTGTTCGGGGGATAGTTCCGCTTCGATCGCAGCGACTTCGTTCTCGCTAATCGCAGCCGAATCATGCGTATCCAAAGCAACACCACCACCAAACTCCCCAATTGCACCCTCCCCCCTCGTCTGCGCCTTCACCGGCGTCCCCGTCCCCGCACCTCCAACAGCAGCTTTATAAAGCACACTCTTCTCCCTCTCCCTAACCCTCTCAATCCTCCGTTCAACCATACCCCTCTGCACGACTACAACATCCTCCAACCCTCTCCTCAGAAACCACAGTACACCCTCCCTAACAACACGCACATATCTCACAACCTCCTCTTCCCGCCGCTGTTCAACAGACTTGTCTTCTTCATTCTTATCACCGCCACTCGCCCATCGGAAGAGGATGTTTGTAGAACCGTATTTCTTGCGCAGTAGTGTAGACTCTGTTTCCTGGCGGAGCGACTCGGCGGAGGACAGGTTTGTTATAGAGGATGAGAGGTCGCGAAGGAGGAGCGAGGTTGAGGTGTCGATTTCGTCGCGTTGGGGATCTGTTAGGGTTCCTTGTGCTTGTTTTTCTTGTCCGTTTTGTTGTAGTTGGGATTGGGAGTGTTTCGAGACGGAGGAGGTGCGGCGGAGTTGTTGGCGCTGCGATGGTGGCGGCGCACTCGTTGTTGTTAGGTAGGAGTGGCGGATCGATTGGAGATAGCGGAGAAGGGAGGCGATATGAGAGTTCTATTGCTTGTTAGCTTTGCTGTTATCGTAGCTCCGTTTGGTTTGAGGGGACGGACGATGCGGTATGCTTCCTTGAGGAATTCATCGGCGGTTTCGAGGGATGGGGGGCGGGATGTTGATTGTGGGATGGTCTTGGATGAGTTTCTTTCCGTTAGCAGGGTATTTATGGTTGGTGTGAGGTCAGTCATGGTGGTCAATGTATGGTCAATGGAGGTTGGTGGTGATGTAGATGTGTTGCTGTCAACATCGGAACGTCCGTCATGCGCGGTGGGTCTACCTCGGCTGCCGAACTTTTGGTGCCCTACCATATTCCGACTACGAAAGAACAGCATAAACATGTTGAGGTGCAGACATATGTTCTTCAGCCATAATATATACAAATAGACTACATTTTACTATGCCGCGGCACAAGAGCAAAACAGTCAAGTTCAGCTAAATAGATGACATGGTCCAACAGGAATGTCGGCTCTAGATCCTTCTGACCTGCAATTGCATGGTCGGTAACTCGGTATGTACTCTCGTTTATTGAAGCCCTCGGCAGCATGACTTAAAATTGCTCAAAGTCAAAGGCGCGCCCTTTCTATCAATCCAAGACTCTGGGTATTCCTGCGGCAAATGATGGACACTGCAATCGCAGACTCATTGTTGCTGTCGGAGAGACCACCGTCATCCGATGGTATTGTACCTTGATTCTTGCAATATTGACTTGCTGCGGTAGGGATAATCCAGACAGATAAACTAGCAAAGTTATTATTTATCGTCTGAAGTTAGGTATGTATACTGGCTTGTGTTTCAATCCTGGATGGCCGTGCTTTCTACCACAATAATGAAAATGACGACAACAGCTCTATTAACTACAATTCCTGCTATCACATTCTGGATCTGAGCCACATTCTTCAAAAAGTGTGCAAGAGCATCTCGGGCTCTACAGCCATGGCCGATTGGGACTCGGGGGTTACCTTCGGAGTGCTTGCTGTGGAGTATCTGTGAAATGGAGAAACAAGCCAGCAACAGCATCTTCCAACCATCTCACTGATATTGAGATAGGTACCTTGTTCTCCAAACGTTTTTGTATCGCAATGCTGGTGGCAGCATTTGCCGGGACATGGAGAATCGTGCTCGGTGTCAGAAGATAAAACAACATCGTCAAACGCCCAGGATAGCGGTATATGGTGACTTTTGCTCAGAAGGACCAGTGGTATGGAGGCCATGGATACAGAGGAAGGAGAGGATGAGGATAGAACGATTGGGTATGCTGCATGCTACTGAAGCCTGAAGTGCGATCAGAAATGTCTTTAAAGAAGAGAGAAGGATACGAAAGGATGTATAGACGATGGTCCAGATGCGTTGAGTGAAAAAGAAAAAAAGACGATAAATAGAGAAAGAAGAAAGGAACGGAAAGGATGCCAGGAAACCATCCGCATATAGAGGAGAAACTAGCACTCTACAGTGACAGAAACAGAACACTTCTAATTGGTTCCATCAAACCGGCCATTCGAAGGAAGCTGTAGTCGTGTTGGTCAACAATATGTAGTATTATAGTACTGTAAAAAAGAATTGCAATAAGTTACTAGAAGCATCCTACGGAATTGGGAGTGGTAACATACTATAAGCTACAGAGGACCAGAGACAGTGGTTGTCTTGTATGATGCTACAGGACTATCAGAGAAACGAACAATCAGTAAGCCACCATAGACACCCCTTTTACTCCCTTTAATTAGATGTTCTTCGTTCCTCGATTATCGTTGCTTCATTTCAACTTGGTCTTACCATCACCTCTCCTCTCACTCAAGTAGATCAAGCTCATTCAAGGAGATCAACCCCAGATATACGCTCCATCAAGCCGGTCCTCGTATTGTGACCTGGAAAAAAGATCATCAGATTTATAGGGATAACCTTCCTCTTCACTATTTTGCGAAGTAACATCCCTACCAGTGCGCCTCTGCATATGAGCACAACAACTACATATACCAGTGCAATGACCTCGGTTCCATTGACGGTTTGTCTCGGGCTTTCCCACAGTATCTCTACGAATTGGTCCACAGCAGCCTTCTCGCTGAGCACAGTCATCACGCCACTATTGACAAAGATACTAGTCTGGATCCGCTCTCCATGACTTGGCGGCTTTGTTGAGAGTTCCTGCTGGTATTGCACTTTCACGTTGCCTGATACAGCGGTTAACACTCCAGTATTTATTGCTTAGGTCCTAGAGTTCCTTTTCGTATGCAGTGAGCCGGGATGTCTTTGTGGCTCTCATTCGTACTGTCCCCAAGCAGTGTTAGCGACTTCTGTAAGGCCTTCATCCCCCCTGGGCATATATTTCGCGTTGGGCAACCCGGTGCCTTCCAATATCGAACACAGTAATCTACTGGCCCATTCAAGTCTCTTTTCTGGCTGGAATCAAACCCGTTGCTAAATATGAGCCAGCGCACGAGTTGCGCAAGCTGAGCGTACATCGGGTCTTCCAGTCGGGACTCCAATAGCTTCATGCCAACATCGTTGCAAAAGGCCATTTTCGGCACCAAGAGGAGAATTTTGACCTTGTCGGTGGAGGATGACCAGTCTGAGAATAGGAAGCTGGTCAACTCGAGAGGATCCTTGATGTGTTTAATTCCCTTGAGCCAGCCTTCGAACGTCCGCAGCGGCCGTTTATCATTCTTTGTTGGACACCGGAACATAGTGAGCAGATCTTCCAGCGTTGATAGTGTCTGGGTTTGTTTTCTTCTGAGGCACTGGAACATCGTTATTCTGGGTCTATGTCGAGTGGGTTTGTGCTGAGAATTAGAGATGAATTTATTCTGACTAATACATATTAGGCATCGCTTCCGACCCTCGTTGTCTTCTATGTCTACAATTCTGGTAGTATGCGAGTAATGAGTCGTATTAGGTTGAGTGACATTGCAGGCTGCGATTTTCAAGTGCGTGATGTCTAATTTGATTCGGTATTTATTGTTGTTTTCGCTATGTACTTTCCAACGTGCTCTGTAAAGGGACATACACACTCAATCATAGCTGGTAAGTAAAGCAGAGATGCTTTACTCGCGTTCGTGTGAAAACCTCGAGATCTTGTCGTCCTCAATGAGTCTTTGGCCTTTTTTAGGCTGAATTGAACAACTTATCTCTTTGTCCGCGATGACTTCGGATTGCATATAGTAGAGTCTCTAACAAACTGTCGGAACAAGTTGATAGGTAGCTATCTATAGAGGCAAACATAACAACAATATAAGCTCGATGAGATTACGACTAGAAAGTGAATGGCCCTGGCTTTTCTCCGAACTTGAACCTTGTCAGTGAATCACAGCGATGTGGTATTTGACTAGTTTGCTGTGCTTCTGCGGTATAAATTCTGCTAGCGTTCTATAGTCATACCATCGTGTTCGTATAGTTGGTTGGCACGGAATGCCAAGGAGGCTTATCCTCGCCCTACAGGGCTGAAGATCTACAGACTTGTATTCTGTAGAATATTCAACGGTGTTCACACCCATGACTGCTCCATAGAATGTACTCTGTAAATAAACACACCACGTTTACGGCCAACAATAGTCCAAAGGTAAATGCTCTAAAAATACACGACGAGTGAGACACCGCCTCGGCTGTCCACGATAACCGTTACGGAAATCCTCATCTCCAGGCGGGTCACGCGTCCAGGCAACATTATTAGCCAGCCTGATACCCCTTTGGGCTTAGATCTGCGTGTCTCCTGGAATCTATTAAAGCTTCGCTTTCTCTTCGTTTTCTTCTTTTTCATTCATCCCAAACTTCTTCTCTTGACTACTCTTCCATACCAATCTCAGCAAAATGTTCAACTTCTCTCTCTTCAAGTCCTCCAAGGAGGAAACCCCCGCCGCCACGTGGAACCCCAACACTCTTACCATGGAACAGCCCTCGAGTCCCGAGGCTCCTCATGCCCAGCAGCAGCAGGTTGTTACTGAGCAGCCGGTATGTCCCTTTGCTTAGGATATATATGCGTGACAGTACTAATAAACAACAGTCTACTCAGGAACCGATGCAGATGGGCCTCCGCGGTGGTAACGGTGGTGGTATCTGCTGCGGAATGTACGCTCCCTTTCTTCCTTTTATTGATTCTAATATGCTAATTATATGTAGCTGCGCCGGTCTTGCTTGCTTCGAGTGCTGCGAAATCTGCTGCTAAACACGTCGGTTCGTCCCGATAATGGAATAATGGATAATGGATATGAGAGCGGGACAAATGGTTGGCGGGAATCGCTGAATCGGTTCGCGTCGCATACTACTACGGAGGAGGGAATACGTTGTATTATACCCCGGTCTATTGTGATAGATCTATTACGATAATAATGGACTCTTAAGGATGTTATTGATTGCGGTCGTAATCTCGTATGCGATTTAGTGTATTCCTGCAGTGGCAGTGCTACGAAGTAATACTAAGCAGACCTAGAATATCCTGTCGAGTCAGTATAAATATACCTTGGGCGTGAAGCCGGTGGCATCCGGACAGAGTGCTTGATGGAGTGCAAAGTACGGGTAGGATACTGCAAGCATCGCCAAGACATGCCGGTCCGCCAGTCCAGGCTCTGTACAGTCACCGTGATTACATCTGTCACACCCCGGGTCCAACAACATCTGCAACACCCCGCTTGTTTGTGCCCCAGTACCACCCTCATCGATCGCAGGTATCGCATCCACCGCGCGATCCAGGCCCCAATCCATCCACCCGCCCATCCTGCAAGTAACGATCGGGATAATAAAGGATATGCATCGCTGATCCGGTTATGTTGAGAATAGACCGTCATCGTTGACGTGCATTGTCTAAAGCAGGTTTGTCGGCACGGAGAACGCCATAAGTGCAGCGTTTGATCGACACGTCGACAAGTAAGCAACGGATATCTCCGAATGGAGGCTCTAGATGGTCATGGTCACCGGTGTGTATCAGCGTCGACGGGTCCCATTTGGTTGCTTCTTTGGTGGTGTTCTGCTTTTGGCGTGTAGTTTTACGTGCGGTTTGCGTGCAAACAGAAAACGGTGGCTCCGTGTGGTTACATACAATGGAGGTTGGTGATTCCGACAGGCTTGTCAATAAAATCTGTAGCTGGATTAACCATTTCTTTTCTTTTTCTATCATTCTCACCCAGGCGGTTGGTACTGGTACGACATGCCGATGGTAGTCATTCTTTCTGATGCCTTCACTCTCACAAGGTATGAAAAGGATAGTATGGAGTACAAGTAGTACTTCGTAGAGATCTCTTGAAACAGATGAGCCCCATATATTGCCCCCACGGCGTGCGAGAACTTCTCTGGCTGGGCAATGCAAATAAACAGACAGCCGAAGCGGGTGAGACCTGGTACCGTGACTGGTCCGTGCATGTGAAGCATGAACTCTACCGAGATTAGTGATCAGGGCATAAATTATGCAGACTGTAATTGTAGCTGTATTGCCGAACAAATACAAGTACAGTGTGTTGTCAAATACAGAATGCTGCATTGGTTGATAGTAGAGAGTAATGTAAGGTCATTGTACAGTGACATCTGATATCATTGTGCACTGTATTTGCCCGGTACTCTGCACAGGCATAACCTGCCTGCACAACTGCATAACTCAGTCATCGGTCACTCCGAGAAGATCAAACAGACCATTCACGCCTCGGGCGATTCGGAGTCAGTCATTATCATTGGTAGATACTATGTGTTTTATTCTCCTCCAGGCACAATGATGTCGTTCTCCACTCTGATTCCCTCGGTCTCCTCGGCCCATGCATATCAATATAAATACTTGCTTCCTGCCCCTTTCTTCTCATGATACCATTCCACTGGGTTAGGCATTCAGTCATGTCTACCGTTATTCTACCTATTGCAGTCGCTGCGCTTGTCCTACGGCTACTCTACTCCCTCGTCCAATCCATCCACCATGCCTACAAGGCTCGTCAACTGGGCTGCGGCCCCGTCCCTCACTACCCCAGCAAAGATCCGCTAGGGATCTACAACCTCTTCGACACCATTGAAGCCGACAAGCAGAAGCTCGTGCCCGTTCTGACAGAGCGTCGACTTGAAGCTGTCTGCGATCGTGAACACCGCTATGTGAAAACCTTCCGGTTCCGCCAAATGGGCCGGGAAACCATCACCACCATTGACCCCGAGAACATCAAGGCCGTGCTGGCGACACAGTTCAAGGATTTTGAACTGGGCGTACCACGTCAGAGGAGCCTGCATCCATTGCTCGGAACCGGGATTGTGAGTTTATACGCGGCAAGGTGCTTATGTTTAGACACTGACCGATGAAACAGTTTACGGCTGACGGGGAAGCTTGGACGAGATCGAGAGGTTTGCTGCGACCCCAGTTTACGCGGGATCAGATTAGTCAACTGGATTTGGAGGAAAGTCATGTTCAGAATGCGATGAAGGCTCTTACGGTTGATGAGGAGAGTGGCTGGACTCGCGACACTGATATCCAGACCATCTTCTTCCGTCTTACTATCGACTCGGCCACGGAATTCCTGTTTGGTGAGAGTGTCGACAGCCAGATGGCAGCTGTGATGAACAATGTGGATGACCAGTTTGCGTACTACTTCGACAAGTCGCAGTGGTTCTGTGCGCAGCGGGCCCGGTTTGAGAAATTGCACTTCCTGGTCGACAACAAAGAATCCAAGCGCGCAGCCCAGCAAGTCCACGCCTTTGTCGACCGTTTCGTCCATTCTGCTCTGGATATCGTGCAGCGCGAAAAGAATGGCGGTCTCGACGAAGAAAAGAATGGCAGCTCCTACGTCTTCCTGCACGCTCTAGCCTCGACCACTCAGGACCCTATCGAACTCCGCTCCCAACTCCTCAACATCCTCCTCGCCGGCCGTGACACTACCGCCTCCCTCCTCAGCTGGTGCACCCTCCTTCTGGCCCGTCACCCATCCGTATTCAAGAAACTCCGCCAAACCATTATCGACACCTTCGGCACCTACAACTGCCCGCAACCCATCACCTTCTCCGGCCTCAAATCCTGCCAGTACCTCCAACACTTCCTCAACGAAACCCTCCGTCTCTACCCCGTCGTCCCCTTAAACCGTCGCACCGCTGTCCGCGACACCACCATCCCCCGCGGCGGCGGTCCCGACGGCATGCAACCTGTGTACGTGCGCAAGGGCGAGGCTGTCGGCTACAACGTGCACCTTCTGCACCGACGAAAGGACATTTGGGGCCCTGATGCAGAGGAGTTCCGGCCTGAGCGATGGTTGGAGAAGAAGCCCGGTTGGGACTATGTTCCGTTCAACGGTGGACCAAGAATCTGCATCGGACAGCAGTTTGCATTGACGGAGGCTGGGTATGTGATTGTGAGGTTGTTGCAGAGGTTCGATGCGATTGAGGATGTTTATCCTCAGAAGGGGGTGAGGTATGGGTTGACGTTGACGAGTTGCCCGGCTGATCCGGTTACGGTACGGTTGCATGAGGCTGCATGATTTGTTTGTCAATTACATTCACATGAGTATGAATTATGATATATCAAAATTGTATAGCAACAAAATCAGAATCAACGAGGACACTTGAGCATGGTGATCTCGTCGCGAATAGACATTGACACGGGACAGTTTATAAGACAGCCCGGGGTTTACATCAATTAAACGACCATGCAATTTTAGAGATCTAATATCATAGCCACGACATACCATTTACGGTTAAGACGGAGCATGGACCAACCATCCACCCGACTCGATAAGAACAACCCACTCAACTCAACAACACCATCAACCACAACCACCACCATCTTCTTTCCCACAATAGTATTCGAGAATAGAATCTCACCTTCTACTCTGTACTCAAATAAATAGCTTTCCAACCCAGATTTAGCTATTCTCCACCCTGAGCGGGACGCTGAAACCCGACGTTGTTTCATCTTAATCGACCACTTTATACCCGTGTTTGCTCTTTGCTTTCCAGCTATTTGGATGAGACTGCGATGATGACAGGATCGTTCTCTGTTCACGATTGATTACTTTTGGCTCACAAGGCAGCCGTGTCTTAACTCTACCCTGGTTATTCAGTAAGGAGTACTTTTGGAACTACGATGGCCTGATTATAGCACCGCCGGGAGCTGTGCGGACGCAGCAAGTGACAGCGCAGGATAACATGGTAATCCATGTTCTCGAGCTATGACAGCTCTCTCTTCGAAGAACAACAAGTCCCTGAATCACCTCCCGATACCCAGAGATCGGCACTGGAGATGAAGAGGGTCCGGCCTGGTTTGATCTATATCAGGGTCCAGGGATATATAAAGATGGTATCCATCGCTTGCAATCTGGCTCTGCTCTCCATCAACCACGAGACTGGCTCTCGTTTACATTCTCTTCTTCCTTTCGTCCAACTTGTCTAAATACATTCTTTTGTCTCCATCACCATGAGATTCACCAGCTTGATGATGGCCGCTAGTGCCGCGGGCCTGGTGCACGCAGCCGCCAAGCGCGATGCTTCTGCTAAGAAATCGGGCTTTACCTGTACCCTCCCCTCCCCATACCACCTTTTCAAACACACAATACTAATAAAAGCAAACAGGGGTCGGAGTCAGCGAATCCGGTGCCGAGTTTGGCGAGGACAACATTCCCGGTAAACTCGACAAAGACTACACCTTCCCTAACACAACCGCAATCCAAACCCTCCGCGACTCCGGTATGAACATCTTCCGCGTGCCGTTCCTGATGGAACGATTGGTGCCGGATGATATGACCGGTGATGTCAATGCGGCGTATATGAAGGACTTGAGGAAGACGATTCAGTTTATTACGGATAGTGGGGCGTATGCGGTTCTGGATCCGCATAATTATGGGAGATAGTGAGTTTCCCCTATTGGAACGAAGTGAGGGTTAGGGCTGATAATGCAGTTCCGGGAATATCATCACCAACACGGATAACTTCAAGGCATTCTGGAAGACCGTTGCTGGAGAATTTTCGTCGAATGAGAAGGTTATTTTCGATACGAGTATGTTCATCCACACACTCCATTGAAAACACATGCTAAACAACTGAAGACAACGAATACCATGACATGGACCAATCCCTCGTGTTGAATCTCAACCAAGCCGCCATCAACGGCATCCGCTCATCTGGCGCCAAAACCCAGTACATCTTCATAGAGGGCAACGCCTACACCGGCGCCTGGAAATGGACCGACAACAACGACAACCTCGCGTCCCTAACCGACCCCCAGGACAAACTCGTCTACCAAATGCACCAGTACCTTGACTCCGATGGCTCAGGTACATCTGAGACCTGCGTCAGCGAGACTATCGGCAAAGAACGACTGCAAAGCGCGACGCAGTGGTTGCAGAAGAATGATAAGAAGGGGTTTGTGGGTGAGTTCGCGGGTGGTGTGAATGAGCAGTGCGAGAAGGCTGTTGAGGGCATGTTGGACTATATGCAGGAGAACAGTGATGTGTGGATGGGCGCAGAGTGGTGGGCTGCTGGTCCTTGGTGGGGAGATTACATGTATAACTTGGAGCCGACGGATGGAGAGGCGTATAGCACTTATCTGCCGATTCTGAAGAAGTATTTCCCTTCTTCTGATGCAGGTTCGTCGTCGGCTTCGTCTTCGACATCGACCAAGGCTGTTCGCGTGCCCTTGATCCGTCCTTCTTCGGGCTCCGTCTCCGGATCTGCCTCTGCCTCTGCCTCTGCCTCTGCCTCCGCCTCCGGCAAACCAAGCGGTGGTGCTCTACCTCCTACCATCCCAGTCTCTGTGCCTACCACCTTTGCCACTGCTGCTTCCGCGACGCCTTCGTCGTCTCTTGCCGCGAGCAGCACTTCGAGCATTGTCCCCTCGGCTAGCAGCTCTGGAGGCGTTGCAAAGAAGTACGAGCAGTGTGGTGGAATCACCTGGACTGGACCGAAGGCTTGTGAGAGTGGGAGCTCGTGTGTTAAGCAGAATGCTTATTACTCGCAGTGCCAGTGATTGAGTAGGGGTAGGGGTATTGAATGTGTGAATGGTGGCGATTGAACAAGTGGGAAGGTATGTTATTTCGATGTGAAGGGATCTATTCTCAATAAAAAAAAAAAAAAATACATATATAGCCCACAAGCCATCTACATCGAAGGTATATTGTCCCAGCACCAGCTGCATAAAGTCGTCAATCATTACACTTCAATTCAAAAGTCAAGGATGAGTTAGAGCTCTCTCTCAACCATAAACTCAAACGACTGATCCCCCTCCCCAACCGGAATAGCATTCACATCATCATCATAAAGCGTACGCTCAAAATACCTCACTCTCCCGTCCTCCCTCACAAGAATCACCGTCTGCTTCTGCGTCCCATAAGCCCCCTGCATATAAGCCGGGTTCGCCGCATCCTTACTCGCAGCATCAACCCGTACCTTATCTTCCACACAAGCAGCAGCGACCTCATCAGCCGCTCTCTCATTCTTGCTTTCCGCCCCAATCGCGGGGATAAAAATACTCTTCCTCAGATTAGGGATATACGTCTCTGTCGACGACCCCTCCGGCAACCTCGGAAGCGTATCCGTGCTCAAAACACTCAGAAACCTCTCAATAAGCTTATCCTCATCTTCCCCATCCCCAGCCTCCACATGCGCCTCAATAGCCTCCTTCATCAACTCCTCCCCATCAAGTATCTTCGGCCACGACCGATCCCCAAAACTCGTATTACTCAACCCCAACGTCTGCCCCTTCTCTCCAGCAATCCAAGCGACCTCCTCCAGATTCGCAGACCGATTCGACACTATCGCCAACGGCTCATTCACATACCCGCAGACCATACTAAACCCGCCCACGTTCTTCGCTGCTATCCCCGTAATAGTGTCTTGTACGAAATCCTTCGTATTGCGCTTATCGTCTGGCGGTGCGGTGAGCCAGCTATTCACGATGACACCCCGGCTTTGCGCCGCGGCGGAGGCTTTTGCTGTGCTTGTTTCGCGGTAGTTTGTTAGGACGGCGAGTTTGCCGGTTTTTGTAACGCCCATCCAGGTTCCGTGTGGCGCGCGCGCGAGGTCTCGCGAGGAGAGGACGTTGTTGTTTGGTGGGGGCCACCAGGTTGGGGGTGAGGTTGGGCGGTTGAGGTATTCCTGATTTTGTTAGTGGGTTTTGGGTGGTTTGGATGGTTAAGAGGGTCTGCGTACATCTCGGTTGTCGATCACAATGAGGGAGTAGGAGGGATGAGCTGTGGAGATTAGTGCGATGCACATCTTGTCTCTTTTTTGGTAGGTAGGGCCTTCAATTCCCAGATATTTCTCTGAGTATTCTGTAGTAAATGGCTCTTGATTCGGGTAAGTTCATTCGAGCAAACGTTCAAGTGCGCGTTGCTGATCGTGACACTGGTGGATGGGCATATGATATCATGCCATATATCGGTGCTGTAATAGAAAAGAACGAAGGGCCAATCGTGCTGTCAATCTGTTATCCTGCAAATCATGTATGTATTCTGATCCATGGATGTTGAGGTCATCGTGAACCAGTATATTGCCGAGGTTCTGTTCCACCGCCTTTTTATTCCTCATCCCGCCTGTCATGCCCCTCCTGTTCTGATCTGCCGGAGCAGAGAATGAGTTCAAGTTCTCATAGCTGTTGCTTTCTGAGATGTTGGAGTTGTCTGCTGCAGCCTGCTTGCTGGCATTGTGCCATGTCTCCCTATGCAATGCCGTTCCCGACACTGTCCTGGAGTCGTGAACATCCGGCAGATTCCCCATTCCTGGTGTACTCTGCGCTTCGAACCAGGACTCTGAAGTGCCATAAACTATCTGACACTGGAGGTTACTGATTCAATACTAGCACAGATACCGGTCTACAGGGCTAAACACCAGAACCCTACGAACCAAGCACCAACGGTTCCAGAATGGCAGAACCGAATTCCGGCATGCGAATCTCCGATCCGAAACATTGAGGCGGTCTACTGAACCAATGAGATGCTGGTTATATTTAGATGTGCGGTTGATTGTTCCACATCTGTTCGCTAGGGTTCCGATACAGATCTCCATGAAGCAGTTTTGTTTGTTCGCGAATACGGAGTGTACTACAGAGTAGTAACTGAGATTTCTCTGCGAGGTCCCGGATCCATACATACTCAGTGGACACGGAATAGCGGTGTGGTATATTAAACATTAGGGTGTTTGAAACCAGGCTGTGGATTGGAGGTTCAGCGTGAGCTGAGGTTGCGGTCTCCATAAGCATGTGTCTGGGTTGGTGCTTTTGTACAGTCGGCTTGACGGTAAAAATGGTTGCCGTACAATTGTTCAATTGTAGTTACACTGTAGAGTACGGAATACTGAGTACAGAGTAGAATGAATAACATTGTTGAAAGCAGCATAAAGAAGCAACATGACATCAAGAAGCGAAGTGAATGTCACCATTTCAACTGCTCGATAAGGCAACCGTGTATCAGTCATCCATCATCTTTCCCCCGATCGGCTAATTTTTTCCTTTTCTTTCTTCTCCTTTTCCTCTCCTTTACTACGGAGTACCTCTCTTCTTTCACTCTTCTCTACAACTCGCATCTGTTGCTATCCTTCCTGTCACACTCAATTATCCTCCATCACCATATTCTTTGATCGCCGGCGCGGCTGTCCCGGATGGTCGCGTGAAGCTGTCGTTCCGCCCCGCCCTGCAGCTTCCCTGCGATAAGATACCACTTATATCTTGCTTCGATTTCTTCACATCCATTTAAACATTAGTGAGGCAGTCTACTGGGTTGTTTCATCATGTTCGGAATCTTTGCGGACTTGTTGTCGTGAGTACAGAGTGGAAAGAGTCACGTTGCTGTGCTGTCGCTAACGGTCGTTTCAATGCAGCTCCGTCGTTACGATCCTCTTCCCCATTTTCGCTTCCTGGAAGGCTCTCCGTTCGTCGAACCCCTCGGAACTGGCGCCATGGTTGATCTACTGGGTGGTTCTGTCAGTCATTTTGCTGGCTGAGTCGTGGACCGTGTTCATTCTGGGATGGTATGGCAAGGCCGTGTTATCTCGAGGCTGAGGCTGAAGCTAAATGACGTCCTATAGGCTCCCTTTCTACAGCTGGATCCGCCTCTTCTTCCTCTGCTACCTCGTCCTCCCCCAGACCCAGGGCGCGCGCTTGCTATACGTGCAATACGTCGATCCGTTCCTGGAGCAGCATGAAAAGGAGATTGAGGCATTCATTGCCAACAGCCACGAAAGGGCCAAGACTCTGGGTCTTCAGTACTTCTACCAGCTCATCGATTTGATCCGCGAAAAGGTTCTGGGTCTGCCCCCGCAAACTGGTGGTGCTTCCCCTCCTCCGCCCAGCGGCGCGGGTGCTTACGCTCAGTCGCTTCTGTCCCGGTTCAACATGCCCGCTGCCGGTGCCGGTGCTGGTGGAGCCCCAGCAGCTGGCAACGACTGGTTTTCTACCATTAGTTCTACCGTGTCCGCGATGGCGGCGACAGGCCAGGGCCAGAGCCAGGAAGCACGAGCGAGGGAGCTTCATGCCAGTGGTAACCTGCTGCCGCGCGAGATGGCATCGATGTCGCGGGAGGACAAGGCGAAGTACCTGTCCAACCAGCGCGATATCTTGGAGGTTATGCGGGCGGCATTGGCGCATGAGGAAAGCAACCTGGGTAACAGTGACGATGAGTCTGGTTCTTCGCTGCGCAAGAACCGCAGTGACAACTCATTTGACCATATCAACCCCGAGGATATCCGCGATCGCTCTCCTGCTGGCGCGGCGGCCGGATGGGCGTCGGGATGGTTGGGCGGACAGGGCGGACAGGCACGACCCCGGTGAACAGTGTTATTTTGGTGGTGTTGTGGTGCTGTAGCCGGTATTGTGGATTTGGTTAAGGGCAACTATTGCTACTTATTGTTCTATTTAAGGAAATCGGAACTAGACAAACAGAAGGGATGTGAAGAATTCAAACAGGGGTCGCCTGTTCTGGGATGCGTACTGACAATTCATCGTAGCTTCTGTACTATGTAAGGTCCATGCACGAAGTTTCGGTCTGTCCTTGCATCTGTAGATGTTCGTGCCTTAGGCATACATACTAGAAAGGAAGAGTCACTCGCCAAAACTAGCCAATCAGGTTGCTCCTTTAGTTCTCAATCAGGACGAACGAGAGATGGCTGATAGAATACCAGGCTGCAGCCTGGAGCGAACTTTGGGAATACGGTTAGCCAGCCCGATGGATTAGTAGCCATAAGGGTCAGGTTTAGCCTGTTATATGGACAGAGGAACGAGGATAGCAATGGCTTGGTATGCATAGAAAGGACTTCGTACCTCTATTCTGTACCCAGTAAAGACACCCAAGAGTACAGACAGATAGCCTAGCGGTTCAACTTGAGTCCAAACTCCTTACAAACCCACCGTGCAGTCTTTGTATGCAGACTCCAATACTGTTCATCCTCGACGCTATCCTCATCCTCGTCCTTCTCGTTCTCTTCTGAAGGATATAACCTCCCCAACGCCTCGAAAATCACCAACTGATCCCGCATATACCCATCCACACATGGCTGATGCCTCCTATCAAAGCAGTCATATTGGTCATAATTATGGTTCCAAAGCTCGTTCTCAAAATCCGCAACGCAGCTCTCGATTAGATTCTTCACGAGAGCATGCCGGTGGCTATCCTTGTCGTGCTTTTTGCTCTTTCCCTTAGACCGAGGATCTTTGGCATCTGCGAGGAGAAAGTCACGTCCGATGCGGAAGCCTGTTGTTGTGTGGCCGACGAGGAGGAGGTAGATGTGTGTTTGGTGGTTGGTGCGTTCGGAGGTGTGGACGTTGATAGGAACGGGAGATTGGGGGTCTTCTAGGTTGAGGATATGCGGCGGTAGGTCGTTGTTGCAGAGTGCTGTGATGGTTTCTTGTTCGATGAACTTGCGGGTTGTCGGATTGCCGTCGTTGCTGGGTTCAGTTGTTGGCCAGGATACTTCGTCGTCTGGAGCGAGTACTGTGATGTCGATCCTGGTGATTGCACCCCGTTTGTAATTGTTCAGATTTATCGATGGAAACCGACAATCGACACTTCCATCTGGCTTCGTAGTCAACGGCAACGGATCAATCAAACACCTCACAGTCCCCAACTCGAAAGGCCCCGTCATCCACCCTCTCTTCTGTACTTCAACCGACAATCCCGGAAACTCCAGAGCCTTCAAATTCGGCACCAAAACCTGCTGCACATAATCAAACGACGGCGAGAACGTCACATTCGTACCACCTGTGATATCAACACGAATCGGTCCCTCAATGCCTGCAAGCGCACCCGCACGTAGAAGATACGGATATAATGCCTGGAATACAAGAAACGCACTCCCCGGGGTATCAAGCTTGATACTATACTCCTGTTTTACGCGTGGGATTTCCGTGGGTGCAGGTGGGTAAAACGACAACGTTTCAGACCTTAGTGTCGCACCCTCAACGACACCATTGCTTATTTCAGTAAGCGACTGTACAGCCGCGAGATGCGATGCTTTAAGGCCCTTCTTCCCCGGCCGGGAGCCGCGGATGGAGTGTATTGACAAAGGTTGATTGGTTAGGGCTGCAAGGGCAATGGCAATGCGGAGGATCTGACCGCCGCCTTCGAGGGTTTGGCCGTCGAGGGTGATCATGTTGGTGTGTTGGTGTGATATTGGTGCATTCATACTTGGGGTAGTGCTTATATATGGTGGTTGCATGTAGCTTATTCGTGACTCACGTAAGATTACGAACAGTGTCAAAGGAGGCCAGGGATAGACCAGTCAGAAGGAGTCTCTTGCAGTAAGTTTTTTCTAGTGGTTTTCTATGGTGGTTCGTCTGGGGATTGACGTCGAGTCATCTCCAGTCATCCCATACAAGAACAGTAAAGGACAAACTGATAGAATGAATAAAATATTATTTGTAAATTCGATAATAAAGAAAAATAAAATAAAATGCTTCCAACCGACCAACTTACACTGTAACTGACTGTAGTGAATTTCTACGCACAAATTCTGCCTCTCTTCCGCCTGGCAGACCACCAAAATTAATTTTTCTCCCCTCTTCCTCTCCGTCTTCTTTTCTTCTCTCTCCGGGATTCTCTTTCCTATATTTCTCGTCCATATCCTCCATTTAGGATAAAAAACCATATTAAATCGACCTCGACTCGTTTAGTCTGGTCTTTTTTTTATTCCCTTATTTTATATCCCTTTGATGCGGTTCGCGTCTGTTCCGAACAGCGCCTGATTTGACATCACCTCCCATCATCGCCTCTTTTTTTTTCCCTCCTCTTTTTTCCCTCTTTCCTCTCCCCCCACACAAACGTCCTTTGACTCCGGTTTATCACATAGAACCAACCTGTCTAATGACCTCGATCCCTCCTCAGAAGCAAGGCCTTCAAGGACAGAGCGCTTCCTCTGACACCCCCGCGAACACTTCCTCTTCGTCGCCCACGCCGGCCAACCGGTCGTCCTACGCCAACGCCACCAGAAAGTCCGCGACGGACTCGACCGCCGCGCCCGTCACCGTGGGTGGCTCTTCGCAACATGGGCAGTCGACCTCAGCATCTTCTGTGAGCGGCAAACCCATGCAACAACAAACAAATACCCCCTCCTCTACCTCCTCCCCCGGCGTCACCATCGTCAATGGCGCTCCCGCTTCCCAGCAGCAGCAGCAGGGCGACCACTCTCGCAAACCCTCCGTGACCATCACCTCCGCCGGTACTTCGGGCTATATTCCCAACGGGGGCCCTCCTAGCCGTCCCAACAGCTTGCAGTTCGGTTTTGCAAACCAGCAGACTTCCCCCATGGGCAATCCTGCTGTTTTGGCCGGCCAGCCGCAGTCCGGGTTGGGTGTGTCGCCTTCCATGAACCCCCGCGTTACCTCGCCTCAGACCTCTCCATCGCCTATTCCCCAGCCGGCATCTAGCGGTGGTCGCCCTCCTCCGTCGTCTTACCAGTCGCAGGGAAATGTTCCGAACTTTGGCAGCTTTGGTGATGCCGGTGACGCAAACGTATGTATTATACTTCAGGCGCCAACAGTATTACTTTGTTTGGGCATTTTAAAAATTTCCCCTATATTTTGTTTTACGTTGACATGCCGAAATTTTACAATTACTAACAAAAAATTTTTTCTTCTGAATAGCGCCCGCAAGCACCCCTTGGTCCCGGTCCTCAGGCGACCCATCTCCGTCGCGAATCGTCCCAGTCTACGCATAGCGATATGAACAACCAGATTGGTGGCGCTCCTGCTGGTCCCGGTCGTGGTGGTTATGGTGGCCGCGGCCGTGGATACTCGCAGTCGGGCTATCAGGGTCAGATGCCCTACTCGCCGGGCCCGAACTTCCGCACGCCCAACCAGCCTCGCGGCGGACCCAACATGGGCCCACAATTCCACGGCAACCAAGGCCGTCCGCTTGCTCCGTTCCCCAATTCGCCACACCAGGCCAGCCGCAGCCCAGCTCTGGCCAACGCTCATCCCGCGACGACTCCCCAGATGAACCAGGTTCCCATGGCTCCTCCTCAGATGCCTCCTCAGCCGTTCGCCTACGGTCAGCACATGGCTCCCCAACCTGTGAGGCCCCACCCTCCTGCTTTTTATTCTTCGTCTTCTCCCAAAGTTCCCCGTTCTGGACCCATTTCCAGGAGAAGATCCCAAGGACCCCGTGTTTTTACTTCCTCCCATGCCCCCCCTGCAATTCCCTTAGCTATACCCAATTTGGCTCCAGAAAGTGGTCAGTTTCAACAGCTTGAAGAGTATCTAACGCGTGTGAAAAATCCCCAGGCCTATCCCCATGCCTACGATCCCAACTACGCCTACTACAACCCTGCCGCCTATGGCATGGGTCAGATGCAGTACATGACTCCTCCGTCGCCACAACCGCGCCCCGGTATGCCCTTTAACCCCCAGGCTCCGTACATGCAGAACCAGTACCCGCCGCAACCCCCCACCCAGGCGGCTCCTCTGTCCCGTACGCCATCGCAGGTGTCCAACAACGACCGTCCCAACTCGAGTCTCGGCCAGCCTCAGCCCCCGGCCGGTCCCCCAGGCGCCGGCCACGCTCACAATGCCAGCCGCTCGTCCAACAGCCCCGCCCCCAACAAGCCTCAATTCGTCCTTCCCTCGACAAAGAGGAGCCCCATCGTCATCAAGGACCCTGGCAGCGGTGCCGTCAAGACTTTCGACACCAAGGGTCCTGGCTCTCCCGCTCGTGCTACACCTTCGCCCGTGAAGATGGCCACTCCCACTTCCACCCCTCCTCCTCGTTCCAACAACGGCACCGAGCATCAGCGATCGGATAGCAAGGCGACCAAGACGGACGAAGAGAAGAAGAAGGAGCTGAGAGACGCCGTCCGCCAGAAGATTGAGCAGGATGAGGCCGAGCAGCGCCGCAAGGAGGACGAAGAGCGCAAGAAGAAGGACGACGAGGAAGCTGCCCAGAAGAAGGCTGAAGATGAGGAAGCGGCGAAGAAGAAGGCTGCCGATGATGAGGAAGCGGCTCGCAAGGCCATGGAAGACATGAGCCTGAAGGACAACAAGGACGAGAAGAAGGATGAGGCAGCAGCACCCAAGCCGGCTGAAGAGCCCAAGCAGGCCCCTGCACCGCCCGCTGACGACGATGACATTGACTACGATGCCATCGAACGGGAGATGGCAGAGATTGAGGCCAAGGAGGCTGCTGCGGAGGCCGACTACTACGCCAAGAAGCAGCGCGAGAAGGAAGAGAAGGAGCGCAAGGAGAAGGAAGACCTCGAAGCGTATGAGGCCAACATGAAGAGCGCCGAACGTGAGGCCGAGTCGCTCGAGGAGGAGCGTGAGAAGAAGCGCGAGGCCGCTGAGGGTAAGGATGGCCTTTCTTCGCTCAAGAAGGCTGCGACCGAGTCCAGCACTCCCGCCGAGAGTGGTGCCTCGACTCCCGCCTCCGATGTGTCCATGGGCCCGCCTGGCAAGCCGGCCAGTGCCGCCAAGAAGCCCGCTGCGCTCAAGCTCGAGACCAGCAAGGCTGTCGAGCCTCCTCAACCCAGCGCGGCTATGAAGTCTCTGCAGACCGCCCGCTTCGTGGCTGATCTCAGCAAGATCTCCTACCCTTCGTCGGTCGCCTCTCCCAACCCGGCTCTGAACGCCAGCGCGCCCACGGAACGCAAGTTCCATTACAACAAGGAATTCTTGCTGCAGTTCCAGGCCGTCTTCAAGGAGAAGCCCTCCGTCGACTGGGATTCTCGTGTGCGCGAGACCGTGGGCGACACTGACTCGTCGCGTCCCCAGTCCGCACGCACGCCTATGACCAGCCGCACTCCTTCTCGGACGGGAGGTATGCCTCAGCCGTTCCAGATGGGAACATTCGGCGCCCCGAACCGCCACAGCTTGCCTCCGAACACCGACCGCATTGCCATTGCCAACGCTGCCCGCACTGCTTCGATGAACAACCCATTCGGCCAGTTTGGTCGTCCCACTGGCATGGGCATGGGTCCCATTGGTGGACGCACCGGCTCCTCCGGCATGCCTGGCTCGCCTCGTGTGGGCTCCAACCGCAACAACACCCGCAACAACAGCAAGCGTGCTGATAAGCACCAGGCCAAAAAGGAAGAAGAAATGGCCAAGAGCATGCCGCTCACCGCCAGCATGGATGTCAAGCCCCTGCAGGCCTCCAGCAGCGGCTGGAAGCCTCGTAGTCTTGTACAGCCTGCCAGCGCTCAGGCTACCCCTGCCCACATGCCTCCGGACATGGTGCAGCGTAAGGTCAAGGCTGCTCTGAACAAAATGACCCCCGAGAACTTTGAGCGTATCGCCGGTCAAATTCTGGAGATTGTATCGCAGTCCAAGATGGAGAACGACGGCCGTACCCTGCGGCAAGTCATCCAGCTCACCTTCGAGAAGGCTACCGACGAAGCTCACTGGGCGTCCATCTACGCCAAGTTCTGCAAGCGTATGCTTGAGACCATGAGTCCCGAGATCCAGGATGAGAGCATCCGCGACAAGACCGGTGCCGTCGTCACCGGTGGCAGTCTCTTCCGCAAGTACCTCCTCAACCGTTGCCAGGAGGAATTCGAGCGTGGCTGGAAGGTCAACCTGCCGCCGAAGCCCGAGGGTCAGACCGAGGAGGTCGCCATGCTGTCCGACGAGTACTACGCTGCCGCCGCTGCCAAGCGTCGTGGTCTTGGTCTCGTCAAGTTCATTGGTGAACTGTACAAGCTAGGCATGTTGACGGAGCGTATTATGCACGAGTGTGTTAAGAAGCTGGTCGACTACGAGGGTATGCCTGACGAGGCTGAGGTCGAGAGTTTGACCAACCTCCTGCGTACCATTGGTGCTAGCTTGGATGTTTCCGAGAGGGGACACGCCTTGATGGATGTCTACTTCAGTCGCATCCAGATGATGATGGAGACTGAGGGTCTGCCTAGTCGTATCCGGTTTATGCTTATGGTAAGTTACTGTGCTGTACAACATGGAATACGCTTTTTTTCTGACTCGAACAGGATGTTATCGATCTGCGCAAATCCAACTGGATGTCCAAGGATTCCGACAAGGGTCCCAAGACCATCCAACAGATTCGCGAAGAAGCCGCCCGCGCTCAGCAGGCAGCAGAGATGGAGCGCATGCGCCAGCAGGCTTCTCGCGGTGGTGGTGGCGGTCGTCCCCAGATTGGCCGCGGAGATGCTCGCAACTTCTCGTACGGTCAGCAGGCTCCTCCTCCAGACTATGCTTCTAGCAAGGTCGGTAGCGACGATCTTCGTCGCCTGCGCACGGGCCGGACCGCCAACCAGCCCATGTCGTTCGGACCGTCCAGCATGCTGGGCTCGCGCAGCAACAGCCGTCGGAACCTAGGACCCGGTGGCAACCTGGTCCGTGGCAGTGAGGACAGCGCGGCCAGCAGCCGTACCGGCACTCCTCCGGCCGGCAAGAAGGAGGACAAGGAGGCTGCTTCTTCGATGAACGCTTTCAGGTATGTTCTCACCACTTTCGTATATAGCAACAGTATCTAACAAAAAGACAGTGCTCTCGCCAGCTTGGAAGACCGTGACAACTTGGCCACTTCTCCTCCATCGAACCCTACGTCACCTATGCTCACCAAGGCTCAACCCACAGCTGGCCAACCGGCAATCCCCCCGTCCAAGGACGGCGGAGCATCATAGATCTCTTTGACTTGGAATGTTGATGAAAAAAGTCGTTCTTTCTTGAATTATGACACCTTCCCCTTCTTTTCTTTCACCATTTATCTCTTGTTTTATTTAATCGACGTATGTACAATCATCCGTTCGACGTAACATGGGGGTTTCGAATTTCGAAGGGACCATTTGTTCGTTTGTTCGATTTGGTTTGGCAGGAGATATTTTCTCTTCATCTGTTGATGTTCCCTTTTTCCTTTTACCTTTTTTCTTTCTCTCTACTGCATTTCCAATACCCGGCAAACCAGAGGTTTCCTTTTTCTCCTTTACTCAATTCTGTTTGTTCGGAACTAGAGAAAACGAAGAGATGAAACTCCCGGCCAGCCACGACCTTGCTGATGTTATGCGAGAAATATTCTTCCTTTTTTTTTTTTTCAATAGCTATGTTTTGTCTGTCTGTCTGCATTTGCATGAACCTTGGTGGTGAACGAACGCCCTTGTAATGGTTTTCTATGTCTTCTTTTTTCTCTTGCTCATATTAGACAAAAACTGAATCGTGTTAGAAAAGTTACCACCTACTTTTTATTTACTTTTTATCTACCTGTGTCGAATAAATATTACTTTGGTTTAGATCTTTCTTTTGCTCTACCTAGGGTTGTAGTGAATGGAAGGCTGTATTTTAGAAATAATAGCTCAATCATTCTCATTCACTTTCAATCCTTAAACATATAGGTATCTGACTAAGAAATCGCACAGTCATTGTCTCGCTTTTGCTCTCAAGCCTTCCATCTTCATTATCACCTCCCCATCTCGTCGTCATAGAGAATACTATCCAGCACATCAGTCACGGAGCTTTACCATGATCCTCAAACAGTCAAGTCATTTCCGGCGAGCATAATTGGTCCATTACACTTCAGAGTACTGAACATATCCCACTGTGCGCTCTCCGGTATTATAATCACTCCATATTACCAAATGGGCCTCATATGACAAACCTCTTCGTGAAAGACCGGTTTCCAAAACCATTACAATGTGGACACCGGCATATGGTTCACATATGAGCGACGGAGTATATATATATGACAAAGGAAACGCAGAAACCAATTTTACGCGGAGTCCGGTATCCAGTAAACCTGGGAAGTGAAAACGCACGATCCTAAACACAGTACTTATGGAGGACTCTCAGGGACACCGATGATGTCCAGTGATTGTCGGGGGTATATTGTGCTACGGGAAGCCTATTTACAAAATAGACGAAGCATTACTGTTTCAGAGCTTCGACGGCTCCCTCATCAGTAACGAGTGCGTTTATACCGGCGACCATATACTGAGAATTCGCCTTCCTTCAAAGGCTGCTTTCTGTTACCCCAACATATCAGGGACTCGGAGTGCTGGGCGGGCTGGCAAAATGGGACCGGTGATTAGACTCTGGACGTGATCGAAACCGTGAGAATATGAAATAGGGTACACCGGTTACGTTATCCTGCCAATCTAGAGTCAAGCTTCAGCAACATTTCATGAACAGACTGCCGGAGGGTCTTTAGTCAACCACTAGCGTCGCGCACGCAGTTGTGCATCTTGCAGACAGATATATATGACAAACGAAAAGGATTAACGGGGCATGTGTTGGCGGCAAAGGAATACTCGAAACGAATGCACCCATAGCCAGCCCAGACGGGCATAGTTCGAAACAAGTTGTTGGCCAACTCCCCGCTGGGAAGGAAGGACTGGTTGAACTGGTCTCTGTCTTATCCTAAGGGGCCAGCGCAACATAATTCGGAAGGACATGGGTTTTGCTGACTCGATGCCATGACAAGCAAAGAGATATCTGCAGTACTCACCATACACGAGGGCAACTAATATTATTAGAGGCAATGGATCCTAGCAGTCATACTTCCATTACAAACCCGGGGCCAACTTAAATTCGAAGCCCTGTTTTACTTCGCGGTCATTACTGCGAATACATTACTGCTGTCGAGGTCGTTAAGCCAAAACACCTATGGCTCGTTCGTGGTAAAGATGCAAGTCGGTTTTCTAAATGCAGGCTGGAGGACATGAAATAAACATTTTATTGCAACGCATTCCTACCAGCAATTACACCACAATAGTCCAGTGTCTGGCAAAAGAAACCCATGTCGAAGAACATGTTAGCCCAAGAAATGGCGAAGGGACGGGCTCAGCTCTGATGTCTTTAAAAAAGATCTTGACGCCAGAACAGAAGTACAATATTTTGAGATATGCGAGTAAAAAATCAACGGACGCAGGCTCTGGCTTTCGGTTTTGTGGTGGTCTGATGGGTTCATACTGACCTATTGTGCGCGCTCGGAGCGCCTGCCGGGATGTATACCCAATATCCAATACTGAACGATGTCGGTGCTAGTTCACCTGTCTGGAACACAAGTTCCAGGTTGTCCCGTTGCCTCAGCAGATGACGGCAGAAGAATGGATGGACATGTTCTAACATTGTTCGGTCAGAGGGCCATGGTACCTCTAGGGGTCCATATTGGCGCGCCATCTTCAACGCCCGGGCACAGTGTGTTCTTATACTAGGAAATATTCTGCTTTGGCGCCGAATATTAATCATGGTCCGATATGGTTTTCCCGACAAGAGGAATAACCTTTTCTGCGTCAGCAAACGAGTACGAAAATGTACACCATCTACCACAGACCTTCTGGAAGCAATAATAATAAGTGCAAGTTTGGAAAGTGCGGTGGTTCTGAAGCTAGTCAAATGAGACCGGAGGAACCTGCGGTATATGCTACAGGACCGTGACAGATACCCCGGTTCTCAGAACCCAAGTCCTAGTGGTCTATTAAAAGTCATTGCAGGCTTCTTCCAGCCTTTTAGCGATAAGATGGGCTGCGATATGCAAGCTCTCGCTTGTTTCTCTGGATGATGAATTACATACCCCTATCTTGAGCCAAACAACTGTCTCTAGGGCTGCTCGATGACGGATAGTCGAATGCCAGCATTGTATCGGAAATCGACAATTTCGCACGATTTGAAACTCGTCCATGAAAACAAACCAGCAGAGAAATGTTCCTAAACATATTGCAAATCTAGCATTATGTATCGTCTCGTTATTATGAGACACATGCCTCTTTTCAAAAGACCGACATGATGGTCAGTGAGGCTGAATAGTCTTTTCATGGGCACGTTGAATAAATTGAACCGATACATTCGTTCAATGAGGCTATCCCGTACTGTCGTATATACGATACCCATTGGAACCCAAAAGATACACTGTTGCTGGTTAGCCTGAACAGTTGCATCATGATCTGATTACCATGGCCAATGGAGGCGAATGCAGAATTCAGTTTCATATTCAAGTATGTCGAAACTGTGGCTCTGTACTGTCACTTGAAAACGGAATGGCCTAGATCTAGATTTACTCGTTGGCCGTATTACGACTGCAAATGAATCTTAGCAGCCGTGATATCTCACCTGTTGAGAACCGGAAAAGCAAACCAAGGAAATTCCCCCGAGTAACATATTCGTGTCTATGATCCCCGAAGCCAAGTCCAGGCAGTCTTATCAAAACCGCCATAGCTTTCTTCTACCTTCGAACTGGAAATTTAACTGCAATTTGCAAGCTTTGGCGTGTTACTCCGAGCTTGTACTACCGACTCCTATCGAAACCAAACAACCTAGACGGTGATTCCGGGGCTTTTCGGCGGTAACACACAGTCGAATACTTGGCCAAACTCATACCATATAGTGTTGGTTGCGTGTTACCAAACGGAGATCTGTTAGGTTCCTGGTCTTATCATGAAAATTTATAACCGATAGTCTCGCTGAGATTTGCCGGAATCATGGCAGTCTCTTTGGAATAGTTACTATATGTCCTGTAGAAGCGGCCTTCCAGGATAAATTGTAAGGGGTTCAGCTATGAGGCCGAACCAGATGGACTTGAGTGCATAATCTTCCATAAAAATACTATAACGAACTACACGGTATTGAACACATGTATTGTGAGTATTAAAATGAACTTTTAACAGTAAAACCCAACCTAAACGTATCATACAACATACTTCTACATTAAAGTTCCTTAAAAACCTTATAAATCAGCGCTGGGCACAAACAATGGCATACTATCCTCCCAAATCGAATCCGTCAGCACCCTTTTGTTGCTTCCATCCGCATCCATAACCGCAATCTGCCCATATGGCTGAAACGTCTGATCATAAAGCGCACACTCATACTGGAATCCGAACATGCCCGTCGAGTAGATAATTTTCCCATCATGGGACCACACAGCATGTGCGTCGTTTGCGCCGCTGCTCGTCAACACCTTGATGTCGGTTCCATCAGGATTCATTGTGCAGACGTCGTAGTTTGTAGGGCTAGTTTTGCGGGTGAAGACGATGCGGCTCCCGTCGGGGGAGAAGAATGGGAGGTTGTCCCATTCGTTTGTTAGGGTGGTGATGTTACGGGTTTCGAGGTCGAGGAGGCGCAGGCCAAGTTGGTTGCGATCGCCGGCGGTGGAGTTTGCGCCCCAAACACGGTAGACGATTTTCTTGCCGTCGTGCGAGAAAGACGGGAATCCCGAGTTTATGGCGGAGGTATTACTGGTTAAGTCGCTGGTGGATTCGGTGAGGACCTCGTAGTTCGAGGAGCCATTAGTCGGGGCGCGGACGAGCCAGCCGCCACTTTCAGCACGGGTTTGGAACCAGAAGCCCACTCCCACAGTAATCCATTCGCCATCAGGGGACCAGGAAGGTTGGAAGGCACCTGCGAGGCCCTGGGAGACTTCAGAGGTGCTGATGAAGTCGGTGTTCATGTCATCGAGGATAAGGCGTGCGGTGGTGTTGTCCGGGTTTCTGGAGACAACGGAGGAGTTGCCTAGTTGCTTTTCGGTATAGGCGAGGACACTCTGGTTGGAGAGTTGGGGGAAGACATCTGTGAAGCGGTACTCCCAGTCGTTGTCCCAGGAGTATAGCTTCTTTTCCATGGGGCGGATGTTCCAGTCTGTCTTTTCGTAGACCATCTTCTTTCCGTCGGGAGACCACGCGGGAGAACGAATAGTCACGTCCGTCGTGTTGATGTACCGTCCATTCGTGTTGTAGAGACCCTCCTTGGTACCACCCTTGTAGAGATATCCAACGGTATTATTTGCATCAAGGAATTGCGGGAAAATCTTCACACCAGTCCCCGAAACCTCAACCCTGCGGTCCTTGCCCGTCGCAAAATCAACAGAAACAATCGTCGAGTTCGCAGATCCCACGGATTCCGGCCGGTGCGCATCCCAAGTTGTGTCGCGAGTCATCTCGTAGTAAATAATCCGCGATCCATCATGCGACCACTTCGGAGAACCCAACGAATACCCGCTCTTCGAGACAATCTGTCTGAAATCAGACCCATTGGGACGAACCGCATAAACAGATAATTCCTGCGTATGCTCCCATCCCGAAACACCAAGGAACACAGGATCCCCATGTCCATACCAGCCCGAGTTTCGATCCGACGAGAACGCAAGCCACTGTCCGTCGGGCGACCACGAGGGACGGAAGTATCCGTTGGGCAGGGACTCATTCGCAGCGGGGGTTAAGGGCGTATTGGTAATATTCCACTTCTTTCCAGACTGGATGTCAAGTACCCAAATGTTCGCTTTGTATCCGTTCGTGGTGGACACGTATGCGGCGAGCTTGCCGTTCGGTGAAAGTACGGCGCTATCCTCAATCGACGAGGTGGAGACAAGTTCCTGGAGGTCTGACCCATTGGTGCGCACACGGTAGATATCTGAATTGCCGTCGCCGTTGCGCTCACTCGTGAAGCTGATCCATTGACCGTCAGGCGAGAATTCACCGTGGTACTCGAAGACCGGGTTCGAAAGGAGAGGGCGTTCGTTGGTGCCGTCCGCGTTGGCGATGTAAAGCTGCGATGAACCAGGGCCAATCCGGTTCATCAAGAACACACCCTTTTTGCCTGCTAGTGCTGTAATGGCATCGCTGTCGCTGCTGCGTGCCGAGTGCACATGCGGATGACCTGACGGGATGTTGCTGGTATCCCGGGCCATCTGCTGAGCATACGGGCATGATCCCAGAGCTACCTGGGGAAGAGCCGCGAGACCCAGCAGGGCCATTGATTGGAGAGGTCGCATTGTTGATCTCTTTCCTTCTCAAGGACTGACTTCTGCACGAGAAAAAGGAAAGGAGACGCTCGGGTTTATGTACTCGTAGGTACAACCCTGGTGGTATCTCCGAGGTGCCGGGCATATTAATTAACTAATCACTGGTAAACTCTTTTCCATACGGCAACGTTTGAAACAAGCAGCCCGTTAGACAAGCAAAACATCTCCTGCCAAAGCCCCGTCCCGCTTATCTGATCAGTTTTTGATGCGGCGGGGCGGAGCGGATCCAGATTTGGCAGGCAGCCCTCGGACTTAATTGCCAGCCACAGCGTACAACCGGGACATTCCGATCAGATAAAGGTGGTCCCTCGGGGAGGTTATCTGCAGTAGGCAATGATCCGTCAGAGATAACTTTGGACGTCGGAAATTATACTACACTATTAATGTTTCGTTAGGATGCGAGGACTGCCATTGGTCAAATCCGTGGGGGGAATCAGGAACAATGGCCTGATGCGTTTACTATTAGCTGATAGGAAACACGTTATACGCAGTACGTCTCAGTGCATTGCCTATTACATTCCCGTCAGAATTATTGGAGTATCAGAATATGCTCATATGCGGCCGTCACCACTAACGTTAACACAAAAAGTAATATGCCATGCTACACACCTTCTAACACCATGCCGGCTGCACAGCGTCGTCAGCAGCATATGCGCCTTTACAAATAGAGAAACCAAATGACTTCGAAAACGCCATGAAGAAAACGCCAATCATATTCCGGGCAACAGAAAGCATCGCCTCATTCATCACTTTGTTTCAGTACCATCAGTGATGACCACCTGGATATTGCTTGGCTTGTCGGTCGTCTCTGACACCGGTCCAGAATCAACATCCGTAGTCGTAGGGGACAGGGCACTGCCTCGTTCGGTGAAGGCAGAAGTAGAATCACCATCAACTGGTGCGGTCTCATCATCTTCCAATTTTTGTGACTGCCGTGCATCTTCAAACTTCTCATGCCCTGAGCACTCCAAGCTCTCACCGCTAGAGCTTTTCATAGTCACCTCAAGCATGGGAGAGATCAGGTCATCCACGCTGCTCCTGCCAGAGGAAAGTGAACCCCGTGAATTCGCATATGCTGCCGGCAGCCCAAGAGCTTTGGCAACTGCTGCCTCCTCGTCTGGAAGCCTAGCCACGCTACTATCGGTGCTAGAGCTGGGATCGAAAATATGGCTGCCTCGACGCTCGCTTAATTCCAGGATATGGTTATAGCTGCGACGGGAAGGATCGGCCAATCGCTTCTTTTTCTTCTTCTCGCGTTTGGTTGATGGACGGACCACGATGACGGGGATCGGGGATTGCTGTAAACAGTACTTGGAGACCGAGCCAGGCAGCAGACTCTGCATGCCGCTGAGGTTTCGACCACGTGTACCGACGATAAGGACGGCAGGTTCATAGATTCGAATCTATCAACCGTAAGCATATTGGGGAATGAGTGGGGTGGGAATGAGCAAGACTCACCATGCGTTGGATGATATCCTGCACTTTCCCGACAGCCAATTCCAAGACCAGGCTGATGGCTTTTTCATCCTGACTGTTCTTCTGGATCACTTGTTCAAACAATTTCTCTGCTTCCTTTCGGTACCTACCAGGCTCCATGCCCGCATCACTTGCGTTCTCCACGGCTCGAAGACAAACAATTTCATCCCCATCGTCCACAAGTTCATCAATAAGCCACTCGAGTGCAAAGTCGGAGTATTCGTTTTGATCTGTCCCGCAGAGAAAGGTCCTACTCCGTCGAGTGCACTGGTAACCTTTGTGCTTGTAATTCAATGTCAACGAGAAATCCGCCGCATCGGGGTTATCAAACGTGTCAAATGAAACACCTCGTTCGTATGTACTATCATCGTCAGCCCCAGTCGTCCTCAATACAGCAGGCAACGACATACTTTGGCGGCGGAGGCGAAGGCCCACGACTAGCACTTGGCGGGATAACACTCTGCTTCTGCTCCCTCTCCCTCTCCTTCTCTCTCTCCCTATCCTGGAACTCAATATGCGAACGCTTCAAACTCTTCTCGCCCGGCCCCTTGTCACTCGACGACCGACGATGATGGCGATTCTCGAACCCTCCTCCAAAGCTGAACTGGATTGACTTTCTGCGCGGTGCTTCGTCGGCGTACGAGATGCGTTTGTTGGGCCGAGACGCGTCATTATCGGATTCGAATGATCCCCTTGGTGACGAGACCCTCGACATGGTGGAGTGAGGTGGAGCGTAGTTTATCGGTTCAGTCTGCTGTGACGCGTCTGCTCAGATGGATGTGATAGTATCAAAGATGTCTGATGTCTGATGATTGATGATCGCAACCTAATCAGCTACGCCGCTGTAAACGCTCGAGACCCAAGGATGATGCGATCCGCAAGACGCAGATCTCATTGTTTGCGCCAGACGTCTTCGTCGACGGATGTCAATACAGTGAGTAACTGACAGAGCAGGGTTAATACAGATAGAGATGGATGAATCGAAATGAGGAGACAGACAGACGGTGGAAGAGATATGATGCAAGAGGGGATGGAGATGATCGGTGGAGGAGGGGCAGCTACTAAGGCGGTGACGAGAGTCATGCTTTCCTGATTGGGTAGGTGTGCAGACCGCCGCGGAATTGTTTTTCCGTCAGGATATAGAATTGCTCAAGTTATGCGTGTGTGTGCATAATGTGATGCACTTTTTATTCCTGAATGGACTGCTAGGGCTAACACCATTATGGTATCTTGTTGTGACGGCCCAAACCTACGCAGGACGGACACAGTACTCAATCTGGTCTGCAACACGGCCTGACGGCTGTGATCCGTGGATCGGACGCTTCGGCATGAACGGCTCAATTATTAATGTCATCTCCGGACATAGGACCAAAGTCTTCCGTTCCGAGTTAAAGCCATTCAAGAATCCGAGAACCGAGGAAGTCACGGCTAGAAAATAAACAATTTATAGGATGTACCCGTGATGGACAGTACCCGGGTATCCGTGGTTTTCTGTGCTCAATATCAGACTGTGTCGACTTGTGCATAGTATACTCTGCACGGAGTACCAAGCACAGCACTGTGCATCAAATATGCTATGCTAAGCATGCCCGAGACTGTAGGGCAGAAGTGGACCTGTCAACAAGTTAATAACTTTAATGAGTCAGGAAGACTCATTTTTCCCTCTTCAGTCATTGGCCCTCTACTCGTACTCGCACACTTAACTCCGGAATCCGGACATTAACGATTGAGTCATTCAAGACCCTCCGAGCCCAACAAACCTACTCAGCCATAATAATAATAAAAAAAAAATTCTGCACGCCATACAGAAAATCGGCACATCGGCATTATACTTGCACATAACCTACTCCGCCTCAACGCTAATGTGCAAATTCTTCATCAGTGGAGAAGATCATCTTACCGTCCGTATTACCATACATACCTTACAAAACGATCAGAAAGTACCTCTTCACCGCCAACCCCAACCTAAGCTTATCGTTATCATATCATATCAAATCACATCATCAGCAAGTCCCCACATGCTCAGATCTCTGCCCATTAATCGTTTTTAAGCACTGGCAGGGCGAAACAAGTCGGGTTTACAAGGTTAAAATATGCACGATTTGTCGGTGTCCAGAATGGATGTGCGTTGTTCTAGACTTGACATGCGGTGGCTGTCTGCGTGTCGTGTCGCCCGGGAATAAAGATTGTGCGCCTGACACGTACAGGGCCATGTTATGGGCGGTGTGCTTTGGCCTACAGAGATCTTCGCGAGTCATCACAAGTGGGGGTTTCGTTGTTTGTACTCTGCACTCTGTGCGGAGTGGGAGGAAAGGGACACCGCAGTGCGAGGTGGGGATACGGGGGTTTGGTGGTAAAAAGAATGTGGGATAATGGGATTTGTTTGATTTATTTCGTTTTGTTTGCATTGGGATGTAGCCCTAATTGTGCTTGTATATTCAGTGAGTATGAGTTCTTAGCAACATTCAATTTCAAGCAAGATCGATAGATCGATAACGATAACGATAACAATAACAATAACCATGATAAGAAATCTCGTCAACATGATGTAACACGACCACCATACTCCTACGTCAACCAAAGTAACCCCAGAATATCAACGAACGAAAAGGCTTGCTTGGCCGAACAGTCCTGTTTTGCAACTCTCCCCATTCCTTAGACCGGCTGATAGCCCGCGCTCTAACGAACATAATGGAGATCGAATTTAAACAATCCCTCTGACGACGGGAAACCCAACCTTGTGGAGTTGCGGGAGGAATTCTCAGCTTGGTGATGTAGTTGAAGAAGAAGAACGAGGGATATCAAGGTAGGGGAATGGCCATATTGCCTGGGGAAGGGATCCGGAAGGGTATCGATGGAGTATTGTACGCCCGCCCTCTCCCGCGGCTAACGGCTATGACCACAGACTCACTGCAGCACCCACCGTGTAATCAGAACTATTGTTCAAGAAGTAGACTCCGTCTCTCATCCGCGGAACCAACCGGCCCCTCCTATCATCCCTACAATCCCCGATACCCGAGTCCAAAACACCGTCTATGGTCCCAGAGAACTGCGCGCACGTTATTCAACAGGAGCCGATCATCCGGATATACCATCTCCTGGGTCCGGAGTGCAGCGGGTTATGGGGAAGAGCACGGGCTTTTTCGGCGGCATGTGGATGGTGATCAGCAAGGTGATTCGGCAGATTCGGTAGACGGGAGAATCAAAGACGAGCGGGAATAGGCTTCTGATATGAGTTTGGTTAAAGCTTACAGTACTACGGGACCGAGAGTGTGCCGAGAATAAGGCGATCCGCTATATCCGGGCTACAAGGGAAAAGTATGTAGAGATGAGTCAATTTTTATTGAGGCAATAGTCAATATACTATATATCCAAGTCCAGACCATATGCAAAGCGCTAAAAACTAGGGTATCACGATCAAATGTACAACCATGCAAATCATAAATCATCAAATCCAAATGCAAACGCGTATATAAGTGGTAAATGGGAAGCTCAGTAAGCTTCGATAATCGCACCCTGCGACTGGGACGCAGCGTAGTATCTCTGATCGAACAGACCTTGGTCTGCGTCGAGAGGAATGGCAGACGACTGCGGATGCTTTTCGTCATCCGCGAATGTGTCGAGTGTTTGTTGAGGAGGAGAGGGCGGCATGGTATCGTCTTCAGACTCCTCATCGGAGTCTGAGGAGAGATCAGGTGGTGGTGATTGCCGCGACGGCGACCGTGTCAATGTGAGATGCTCCAGGTCCTCCGTGTCATCGTATTCGAATTCAGAGTCAGAGTCGGAGTACCCATCGTCATAGTCACCAGGGACTTCGCGTTCAGTCACGAAAGGAACGGGTGGTTGAGTCGGTCGCCGGATAGGCGTTGTAACCGCAAAGCGTTCCTCTGCGAAATCATCCTCGTCAAAATCGGAATCATCACTGAGATCCGAGTCCACGTCGGACAGATCCTCAGGATCCCAATCATCCTCCGGGTCCTCCACGATAGCATCTGCCCATTGAATGTGTCTTGTATCGGCGAGCGGCGACGACGGCGATGGCGACGACTTGGACACGCCATTGACTGTCTGATTGAACCAGCGTTCCTGTTCTTGTTCGGCATCGGCGAGATCCAACATCAATGAATCGAGGAGATTGGCGTGCCCAACGAGCAGTCGCAGGTCGTGGTCCGCCCGGGAAGCCTCACGAGTAAGCTTCCTACGGGCGGTGTGAGCGAGGTAGTATGTCTGAGTGATGCTCATTTTCTTCTGTTGGCGCCTTCGAGCAAGAGAAGAGAGGTAAGACGAAGCGTTAAATGAGCCGAGAGAGTCAAGAGACGAAGAGGAGGAAGAGGGAGAGAGCGAGGACATGGCGGGCATTGAGGTGCTTATGAGGTTATGAGCTCAAGTGGGATCGACCCAGCCAGGCGAAGGCGTGTTGGTGACTCAGGTTGCAGCGGCCAATCACAGGCAATAAGGTAGGGCGGTGAGTCAGTTGGTTGCGATAGACGTGATAGCTGGATGCAGCAAGGATGATGTTGGCAAGGTATGTATGCAGAGTACTTGTATGTTAATGTACGGAGGGAAAAGAAAAAAAGAAAGGGCGACCGCTTGTTTTAATATCCCAAATCTGATCCATAAGATTCCTCCCAAGATTATTACAAGATTATTACTAGGCTGAAAGTTTTTTTTTTTTATTATTTCCTCATTTCCTCTTGCAGGCATATCGGCGATCGGATCCCGACCGTATTCACCCGGTAATATTACTGTACACGGTCAACGGACCAACGGGCTGCCCAGCTGCCCGAGCCTCTTTCGCGCTCTCGGAGTGCAATTGGTCCGTTCACCGCCTCGCTGTGTGTATTACCAATACAGCAATTCTATACGCCAAGCCAGCCCTGCAGCTGATCCGCCGGATGTTCGGCTCACCGCTATCAGTACTATTGGTAATCTAGAGTCTACATTATTCTAGTACTCTGTAGAATTGTAAAGATGATATTCTGTAGAGAGTATAAAGATTAGAATACATCCTCATTTCATTTCGCAATATTATTAAAAATCAATCCGGCTTAGGAATCACCATTATAAATGCTAAATCTGTCAGCGCCAAGCCACCGCTAGCTGCCTGGCAAGTTTCCCCTTCGGGCACGAATGAACCCTCCGATCCCGATGCCGCGGAGATTTGCTACCTCCGCCCGGATCGGAAGTATGCACCCTACTCTGTTTGTATCCGTACGAGTACGAATCGTAGAATTAGACATTCTTCACTTAGACAGTCCTCCTGTCACGATACTTCTCCTTGTAAGGGCAAGCCAGCAAGGCAGACAGCAGATTACTCACAGCCAACGCGTTTTGCAGATTATCTATGCTTGGCTGGATCAACGCCAAGCACCCTTGATCTACTTGTTATGCACTTTATGCACAGGCTTATTCTTGGCCTTAGTCATTGTCATAACGTGCACCGCCCTGTGGCTTCGCTTAAATGACAGTTCCACCGGACTGGCTCTGGTTCTGATACAGACCCGTTCTCGGTTCCATCTGAATACTGCCAGACTGACAAGAAACGGCTGTGTATGATCTCATGAAATTGCCAAGGCAAAAAAATAATAATCACTGTAGAAACAGATAATGTTGCCTGGTATCAACCGTGTTTACTGCTGTGCTATGCATGCCAATCACTCCAAGCCACGTTTGTAGGCAGATGAATTGTTGTTGTCTATTCTGGACAGAGTATACGAGTACGGGTGGGGTGTAACTGTATATACATGCTGCATGAGCCGCACTGTCAGATTGACTCTTTCCAGGCTGTACAGTCGTCTGTGCTCATGACAAAAGTGCCGGCGATGCGCGGAGATATCTGTCTTTGTTATGCTTATCTCTTGTTCCATCCATGTGTGCGGTGTCATGTCCGACTTGAGATTTCATATGTCTAACCTTGAGTTTACTTCCACCTCGTACAAAGTGTACTGACCATAAGTACAGGTTTGATGCCGTGACGTCACGATCTGGGGAAGTTAGTCATGTGTGGTTACTGATGACTGGCACTTGATTCCTCGGCTGTTCGTCATGCTTGGCCGACGGCAATTAGTTTCTGGTTATTCATTGAGCTCATCAGGTTCACGGCGATAGTCGGAGCGACGGATGATGGCCGCCGTTCCCTGGCTGTCGACTGATATTGCCCTGTTGGGATGTACCTCGGCATGTTTCCAAATCCACCAACGACCAAACAATAGTATTATGTCAACCCAGAAGTGGCTCTCGTTCGTTCTCTTCTGTATCTGTAACTGACAAAAGGCTACTCAGATCTGACCTCCGTCGACGAATCCATCTCCTCCATCCTGATCCATCTCCTTCCTCGTCTTCATCCCCACCCTCGTCCTGGTGCAATTCATACGGCAACAGAACAGCATGATCCAGCGTATACGGAAGTCCCCGATGTCTTCCACGAACCTGCATAGCCAGAATCACCAGCTTTGAGACATCCCGAAACTGCGAGCATAGACTCGACTCTGTCCAGGCGTATCCCAGTGACAAACCCACGGTGCCGTACGCAGAGACCACTTCGAACAAAACCGAGAATAATGGGAAGCGATCACTTTCCGCAAGCGCAATAAGGAACATCCCCAAGGCAATATACCACAGATCAAAACTCAACTGTTTCTGGATATGATACCAGAGGTCGTTCCGTCTAGTTTGCGTTCCTTGATCGCTATCAGTCAAGACAGATTCCGCGTCAGAGTAGATAGCCAGGCTCTTCTCCTCGTAGGCATTTGTCTTGCGCATGGCGATTGTGGTTGGGAACGCGGAGATGTACATCATGACCACGAAGGAAATCTGTACTGCTGGATGGAGGTCTGCGAGTGAGCTTGTTGTAAATCCTGCTGTTCGTGTAGATGCGACCTGGAATAGCCCGTTGATGAGCCATATGTAGCCCTTGTCGTCGTGGAGGGTATAGGACGGTTGCTTCTAGTGGGTTAGGTCGTGGTCATGAGACCATTGGTACTGGGGACTTACATCCAGGAGAAGAAAGATAGCTAGGTCAACGGCGTTCAGCACCAATAGAACCCCTAACAGCCTCCATGTATCTGGGCCAGGGAACAAAAGCGTAAAGCATCTCCGGGGGTGTCTGAGAAGAAACTCCAACTCTTCGCGCCGTCGACTCGCCTCGTCGGTGATCTTCCCAAGCATCCAGATGATCAACCGCAACATGCACGGGAACCCCGTATTCCCGATAACAATCAGAAAGGTCATCACCAAAAGAAGATGTGGTACTTTATTGAACGACGCCATCGAGTTCGGTGTCAGTGTGAATCCTACATCATTAAAAGCGGAACTCGCCGTGAAAATCGACCACCAGGCCTTGGGGGCCCCGATGTCATCAACGACATGGCCATACTCAGGATGGTATAGAATCACAAATAGTAGCGAAACAGCCCCAAGAACGTGGAAGGTGACAAAGTATCCGAGCAGGATGAAAAATAACGTCTTCAAAGCCCGATACTCAGTCCCACCAAGTTCATCTTTCTGCGTCTCGTCCCAGTCCGAATAACTGGAAATGGATGGATGCCACATAAACGGCGGCAAAGAAGAAATGGCTTTCTGATGCAGCTGCTGTCGCTGAGATGCCGCGACATCGAAGGTAATACGCGGTCCTGCAGAGTTGGCGGCAATATGGTTGATCGGTTGGGGCTCACTTTCATCGCCACGTGCATACGTCTCTTGTATTGCATTCCTTCCGTCTGGAGTAGGACTCCTTGTCATCGTTCCGTGCCCTCTATACCGTTCCGTATCCCTCCCCCGGACAGCAGCCTTAGCCTCCCCAGCCACAGTCTTCAATCTCCCTCGAAACCACGACAACCGCACCAACACAATTAACGAGTTAACGAAAACCACATTCGTGACCATTGCCACCATCCATAATAACACCTGCTGGCAGGTACCTAGCCGGTTTAGATCAACCGGGTTCTGCCCGCTCTGCGTGGCTGCACCGGAGGCGAGAAGGAGGGCATCGGTGTAGGTTATCCCGCCAAAAAAGTAGAGAAGAATTGATGCTAGAAAAATCCAGGTAATTATATAGGTATAGTGAGCTTTTATGAATGTATGTTCGTGTCCCCTTTGCCAAAGGGGCATACTGAGGTATAGTACGTCGGGTTGAGGTTGGAGATGGAAAAGGAGCATACATGATGGGATTTATGAGATGTAGTGGTAGGAGGTATTTTTGGCGAATTATATTGAGGTTAGCTTTAGGTTGAGGTAACGGTTTCTTTATGTCAAGTTAGAATAGACTCATGCAGATTATCGAGGTTGGATCAGATAAATCCCTCATCGGGACAGGTCCCAGCAGTATCACTCCGCCACAATAGCAGTAGAGGATTTTATCTGAGCAACAAAAGCTACCGATTATCATTATGAGACTCCCAAATGAATGATATCTATTCTCCCAGATATTAACCATACCCCAGACAACCGTACCCCCACAAAAGTTATCTGTATTGATAGTATTCACCCATCGAACTCATCAAATCCAGCAGACCATAATCGTTTCAATCATATACTAGCCCCTGAAGCAAATACCTCTGTTGTCATACTCATTTGTTCATGTGATTATATTCACCTATGCCGATAAGTATGAGACGGAGAGGAAGGAGACAAGTAAGAGAATGGAGACTGCGGAGAATACGGGGGAGGTGTGCAAAGGGGAGAAAGGGAATAAGGATATGGAGGTTGATCCAGGAATGGCAGTTCCCTGGCACTAGGTCCTCCTAGATAGAGACTGAATTATAGACAAATTGAATCCAAATCAGCAAATATAGCAGATTATTCTGACGGAGAGACCACTCGTAACAGGATCAAATGAAGCCTAATCTGTTGGTATAGATATCCAGGGCATTAACCACTGTATAGTGCTCATTTATGACAGGGTTTGGGTATTCGCTCAGCAATTCTCTAGCTCTTTAAACACCTGTTGCTGACGGTCAGGATGCTTTCTGTAAAGTTAGAAGGACCAGCTGGGCATGTTGTTGTAAACCAGTCGAGGCATCAGTGTGCTATTTTGTGTTGTAATATTCGGGGATTGCTGTTTATTTCTTCAATTGGGCTTCCTCCAGCGGCGAGATTCGAGACGTCATGAATAGTGCTAGATAAAAGGCAACATACCTTAAGCTGCCCTCAATGGTGCCTGTCGGATAGTCTATAATCACACTCGCAGACACGTTCCTCTTTCTCTTTCATCTACCTGCAAGCATCTACACTTATCACATATCTATTTCAAATACATACTCATACTTTGTTTATCCGAAAGCAAATACAGAATGTTTACCTTCAATTGCTACACGAAATTCGCCGACAAAGTCATCACTACCGGAAACAAACGCTATATCGTCGAAGAGCAACTAAACGAAGTCATAAACCCGCAGCTCGCCCAATGCCATGCCCTAACTCTAGCGCACGATATAGAGACTTCAAATCCAATTATGATCAAGATTCGCTACGAGCAAGCCCCCCGTCTCCCTTCCCTGTGTGTTTTTAAAAATCACATTAATAACAAATATTAGCCTAAACCCTTCACCCATCTATATTCACGACCCCTCAAACCACAAAAATATAACCGACGAAGACTTCCTCGACGAAATCAAGGGTATCTGTTACCTTAGCTTACTTGGACATGGACCACGGTATATCACGCATGTTACTGTCAGTGCAGGAGCGGAGTCCCCGTATCCTGAGGGAAGGGTGTGTGTGCCGGTTACGGATAGGATTCCGGGGAGGGGGGGAAGAAATGTGGGTGAGATTCAGCGGGGGTTGTCGGATGGGCAGGTTGTGAGTATTAGGGTGCAGCTTGGGTATGTTCTTGACTATGTTGGTCTATTCCAGGGAGAGGGTTTTGGTGGGTGATGTTGTGTGTGTGGCTAACCAAGATGATAGGAAACTAGGACAGATGAACATCGTCTTGTATAATCAGGATTTGAATTGTCTGCGCTATGATGTCACGAATGACAAGCTGTGAGCACCCTCCCCTCCCATCCCTAACTTATCTGATCGAACTCCTACTGACATATTCAAGGTATTTCAATCAAGGTGCTTCACCGGCATATCCTACATGTGCTGCGGCCATCCCAAGGACACCAGTACCAAAAGGACCGACAAACTGTGGACTGTGTTCAATAACTGGCAGAACGGGCTGGTGAAACAAACCGAGCCCTGCGAGTTCGATGGCATCCAGAGATGGGCTATGGGCCAGGACAGGAAGGCGGGGGTGATGAAGTTGGAGGAACAGGGCCTTTTTTGTTATTGAGTAATGGCTTGATTGATCGGTTTTTATACATGGAATGCTTGTCTGTGCATGCGTGTCTTTTCTCTCTTGGTCTCTGCAGTTTGAGAGGAGATACAATTCTTCGGTTATAATACTTTGGTTTTATTACTACTGTAGAACTAGCAAGGCAAACTTAAGGCCTAGTAGGAGTAGGACGATAAAAGTTCGGCAAGAAGATCTTTTATTCAAAATCAAAAACTCGGTATCAACATTCTAAATGTGGTATGTACAAACAAATGGGTCCCTGCAACCTCCGGAAGCAAGACTTGCAAGAACTTCTGAATACAGAACAACCCACTCGCATCATGGTTCATATTCTCGTGCCTCATTAGAACCAACCAGATAAGGTCAGAAAAAGAAAAAGAAAAGAATCACATAAAAAACAACGAACGTCACTCAAATCAGTGGCATATCAACCATATTCACATAATCAATGTTGTCATCATTGCACTCAACTCGATCAGCACAAGTCCCGAAGATGCGATCCCAAAGCCTCGTCTGCTTGCCATAGTTATGGCTCTTCCTCCATCCTTTTCGGTGGTGAATATCGTGGTCCTCAATGACCAATTCGGCGTCGAAAAGCTTCAGGAACCACGAAAGTGTTGACGGCGGGATAGCATGTAGACGAAGACCACTGTGCCCAGCGAGCTCGGCAAACATGACATACATATGGCAGAACCACCACTCGTAGAAACCCATGGGCAGGCCCACGGCCTTGAGAGTGAAGTATGTCATCAGCGGGATACCGGCGATGTCGAAGAACTCCTGTTCGTGGTCTGCGTAGAGGGTGAGAAGCGGGTTGGGATGCTTGGTGAGGTGGTGCGTGCGGTGGTACTGCCAGAGGCCGTTCACGTCATGCATCAAGCGGTGGTACCAGTAGAACCAGAAGTCGAGGATGATGCCATAGAGGCCGATCTCGAGCGGGAGCCAGAACCAGCTGATAGTGTCTGGAGTCAGGCTGGTGCGGTAGCTGAGGAAGACAGACATCATGGGACGGAAGGTAGCCGTTGAGACGAGCGAATGCACAACCTTTGCCACGCCGACGTCCGGCACACCATCACGTTCATGCTTATCCCCATCCAGGAAGCCATAGATATGTCCCAGGCGGCGGAGCACTTGCATCTCGTGGATGGCGGTTAACTTGAACGCGAGCATGTAGAAGATAAACGCGGCGATCGGGCCCAGATTGTTGCCCGTGAGTTTGACGTATGCATGGTGGATGGCCAGCGGGATGAACGAGTGGACAAGGACCCAGCGGTGGAGTTTCCAGTCGCGGACGTGAGGCACTTTGTCTTGCTTGGAGTGAACAGGTACTTCCTTGTCAAGGGCTGTTGGGTGGATGCCCAGTACTTCGTAGAACCAGTGGAATATGGTCCAGTCGCCACGATCGGTGCGGCGCCAGGTCGATTTCATCGAGTCTTTGGGGTTGCGTTTTGCCTCCATGGTGGAGTGGTCCTTGCTTATATCAATGTCCGGTATGTGGTGTTATCTCCGGTGTGCAAGCGAACTATCATAGGAGAGTGGAGGAGCGAAGTGAGGTCAAGTCCAGGCTTTAAATATATCCTCATACCGGCCCCAGTTTCGGACCTCCCAAACGCATGTGAAGGAAAAACTGAGAAAGAAAAAAAAAAAAATATAGTGCCTGACTATACCCAAATCAAGCATCTCGCACGCCTCCAGACTCTTTAACCAACGCACAACTAGTTCCCTCTCCAGACACCATGCAGATCGTCCTCACCCCAAACACGAATAACATCCCCCTGACCCAACAATGTTGGGGAACGAGAAACACCCATGGACCAGTCAAAGCCAGACCCGAGAAACAGGCATCCAAACTTTGAATTGAAACGCCTCGGCCACCAGCACATAGCGAACACAGTTAGGCACATATGACGTTAGCGAACTGCATACTGTTTCTGATCTGTTAGCGTAGTGATTCGGCATTTGCTGCAAACTCATTATTCATTCGCCTTTTCCGTCAGATTCGCTCCGGTTCAAGAATGACTTCAACTTTTTTCGGAGCCGATCCGCGGGATCATATCATGGTTGCCCAAATGGGAAAGGCTTGCGAGGCTCAAAAATAGAGTTAGTCACATGATCATTTATGAGAAGTCACGTGCTATTTCACAGTGCTACTATAAGACCAATAATGATTTACTGCTGCATGAACAGGTTGACAGCTTTACTTGAGTCATGGGCTTTTGTCATATGGCTGTAGGCAACTGGGTTGATTTGTTGGGATCACATGTGGTTTCAAGATGTCCAGACGGAATACTTCCTAGGGTTAACGCGTCATGCTCCAGACAATTGTACCCTGCGATATCTTTTTCATGTTGATAAAGGTTTATCTTTTCCAGTTGCATTGCAAAAAATTACACAATATACATGGGCTATGGGTACAGATCATGCATGACAGACTACGGATTATACGGACCATATGTGGATCATTGGCATATTCATATCTGTGACGATAACGTCTGAGAATCTTAAAAGACACAGGACAAAGCACCGAGGCTCAAGTGTAGAAAGCAGAGTGTGCGCCGAATGTGTTGTGAGGCTGCAATGCCAGCGTGGTCTGATTATCGGCCAATTTACTATACATCGGATGAGGCTGTAACTACCATTCAGAATACATAACAATATGGTATATGTGAAAATGAAATAAATTGCACCAAAATCCATCCGTAACACCATGGGGAATCCAAAAAGCTATGCAACGCTAAAATACAAAACCAAACCAGACCAGACCAAATAAAATCAACGCTATGCAATGCTATGCAACAAAAATCAAGTCCAAACCATCAACATCAACACCGAAAAAATTACTGAGAGTTTTTTTTCGGCGCGACTGTCTCCTTGGAAGAGCCATTTGTCTGTGTAGCCTTAGCCGTAGCCGTAATAGCCGTAGCAGTAGCTTGCTTGTTGCCACTCTTCTTGTCGTTATTGCCATTCTTGCTGGCAACGGGCCATCCGTTGTCGTACTCGAGGTAGTTCCAGCCAAGCTGAGCTTGAGCGTGCTTGAAGCCAACCCTGGTGTCCACTGGAGTAAATGTTAGCATCTGTACCCCATGATCTTTGTAAACGGGTCAACTTACAGAAGTGGTAGTAGAGGACGTCGCGGCGCTGGTCATTACCAGGGAGAACACCCAGACCACCAGGAGCATAGGTAAGACCATGGTTGGAAGCGTAGACAGTGGTGCCACCGCCGTTGCGAAGGTCATTGCCATCCTTATCCTTGAAGGGTCCGCTGATGTTCTTGGAGCGTCCGACACGGATATGGTACTCATCGCCCTTCTTGGGGAATCCATTCTCAAAGTCGCAGCATTTGCCCTGGCTAAACCACATGTAGTAGTAGCCGTCGTGGAAGCTCATCCAGGATCCTTCCTCGGGTCTGTTTTCGCGGTTCGGCATAAAGGTGAGCTGTGTGGCCTTGAGGTTCTCGATCCCCTGGACCTGATTCTTCTTGTTGTCACTCTTGTCGTTCTTGTTGTTCTTTCCCTTCTTCTGGGTAACCTCGATAGTCGTGTTCGTGTTGTGCTTGACGGACAGCAGGTCGTCCTCCAACTCAACCTGCCAGAGGTTGTGCCAGTAGCTGCCATAGTTCAAGTACGGGGTCTTAGTCTTCTGGTCGACAACAAAGGATGGGTCAATCGCGTTGGTCAGATTGTACGGCGACCCCTGGTTGTCATTTCCAGTCACGATCAGACTGCCATGGTCCGTCCAGGAACCCTTAGCAATGTCCTCAGTTGACGCAACACCAATAGCACTCTTCCGGCTTCCAGCCTGACTGACCGAGTAGAAGCAGTAGAACTTGCCCTTGTATTCGACAGTTGTTGGAGCCCAGGGGCGAGTTGCGTTCGGGCGATCGGGAATAATGCTGTCCTTGGACAGGACGGTTCCAACTTCTTCCCATGGACCGCTCAAGTCGGTGGCCTTGAAGTAGGGGATATGCACGCCGCCCTTGAACATGTAGAAGGTGTTGTCGTGCTCGAGGATGTTGGGGTCGTGAGCTGAGATATTGCCGGCGTTAGGCATGGGGTACGCATCAGTGTGGTCAAATACTGAGGCCAGGTTCCCGACTTTAAGATTGGGGGAAATCTGCACAGCGGGAGGGAGGGCCATGGCCCATTGGCAGAGGATTGCCAGAGGCAGGAGATAGGCGGAGAGAGAAAGCATTTGGACCGTTATTCCAAGCTGAACTAGTAAACAATTGAAGTAATAAGGAGGATAGGTTATAATTTTCTGATGTTAAAGTATCGTTGTTGTGTTTGTCTGCTGAATAGAATGTCCTCCTTGCAGGACTCGAGCCATACTTATAGCCATTGCGATTTTGTAATGAACCAACAAGGCCGACTACTATACAAACTGCTGAGGCTGACCCTGTTCATGCAGGTGTTGTTCTTTGCTTGTGCTGACACTCAGGGTTATGGCCCATCGCATCGCAGCCTCTGGGGGCCAAGCACAGCCCACGCTAGCAACATCCACCACTAGCAGCACCCGTATGAGCCCAATCCGCCAAAATGGGACCAGTACCCGACGGTCGCATATTTCTTGAGGCTCTCATGGCTAAATTCCCCACATGAATAAAGAAAGATATCGTATTGAGTGCGTTGTCGATATCGGTTTGCTATTGTCGGTAAGGCTTACCACACCGCCCTAGGCAGGGTCCAGGGCATAGGGTCCAATAACAGTATTCCGAATACGGATTTTTCGCTAAATATTGCAATATTGCTCTTTAGTTGCATTCGTATTGGGAAGCGAACTGGGATCTATCGCATATTGTTCTTGGTATCTGAGTTGTACAAGAAGGGTTGCTGCTAAGGATACGAGATGTCAATGCGGTCAGCATTGGCGAAGATGGAGAACTCAGTATTCAGTTATTATGTGAGATGTGTCAAACACCAAAATGAGCACTATTCTAAGAGACCTTACAGTAGCTCATCACAAACAATTCTGCACTATTACCGAAATCCCAACCATTGTGTACCTGCATAGCGAAATCCAACATAGCCGACTGTCACTTCTATTCCAGGCTGTGCAGCCATGAATATGGATATAATTAGATATAAAGTTGGCCTTGGTTGAGGCTCGGGATCCCCAAGATCCGCATCGATCAGACTCTCCTGAAACAAAAGACTGCCTTGTAAGACGAACAGGTGTACCTGCCTGAGGCAGCAAGGCACTGGGGCGTCCTGCCATTTTGCCTGACCCACAACCTTATTTATTCCTGTGTTGTGATTGGTTGATATATTTGGACGTGTCTAATTATATCGCACGGCTTTTTTCTACACGGGGGCTGTTTTTTTTTTTTTTTTTTGTATTTCAATTATTGTCGTAGAATAGTGTATGTCGCTAGACTTAAATTGTCGTCGACGAAAACAAAAATAAATGGCTGAATAACAAAAACCGTTCGAATAAAGAAATGCCATTGCTAAAATCAAAGAGAATTAGCATACTTCTCCAACAGAACACCATCGCAAAGCCATAACCAACCTTAACTGTTTTCCAAATCAATAATCAGACCTGTCTCCCTGCATCAGCCGAATATTGCGTTACCGCCGCCGGATACTGCACCGGATACACCACAGCCTCCGGCTTCTGAACTGGAACAAACGGCGACGACGGCTGCGGCCCAGTCCCCCATTGTTGGATTTGAGGTGGTTGGAACCCGTATTGGGAACTCTCGAGTGCTTTGTCTTCCTTCTTGCGGTTTCGATGGCGTATGAACATGTAGATCGCGATACCGATTATGAGGGCGAATAGGGCGAGGGGAATGAGGATTGCTTTGAGGAGGACTTTCACGAGACCCATTTTGGTAAGCCCGGGTTTGTTAGGATATGCTGGTGCCGAGAAACGGGAGGGTTGGCATGGTGTAGGGTTCTATTTAACCACGATCATCGAGCGCAGGATAATTCTGGTGCCTTGTGTGACAGCCTGGCAGTCCATCACAAAGCTTGACTTGCTTTGAGTGCACCCGAGATAGAATCCCTGCTAGTCGGGTCTTGCGACACCTGCGCGCTTAACATCCATCTCGGATTCGACATGATAATGACTCCGACAGCAACCAATGTGGACCTTTCTGCAACCTGGTCACATTAACTGCTGGTTGTGTCACGTCTGTGAGCGCTTCTGGCACGGCTCGCCGTACCGGGGCCAATTAGGACTGCTGAATCTTTCGTAGATCGCGATAGTTAACGACGTAGGGCTGTAGGGCGGCCAATTAATAGTGAGAAAACGTGCTGCCTGCTGGTGGTATGTGCTGAGAATGCACTGTCATTGGCTGGTTGTCCGGGTCTGCATGTGCCATGTTTATCATCTCGTTTTACACAACAAAGGTCACGTAAATGGCAATTTGAGTACAAAGTCCTACTCTCAGTTAGATCCTCATAATCCTTATACATAACATATCAATTGATTTCATTTTACCGTCTCAAAATGACACCACCGATCACGTGATACCCCACGCCATGACATCCGACATCCGGCACCGAAGCTCTGGGCTCATCTCCAATCCAGATCCAAAATGACAGATCCCGCAGTCCAGTCCCCGGAAAAAAGCTGGATAGTAGGCCAATTTGAGGGACGGTGCGTAAACCTCTCACCCGTCATCACTCTTCCCTTGGACCACAGTTGATATGTTGTATATATATCCACAGAGCCCCGGAAGCCCACGGCATAAGTTGGTCCAAAATATGGGATGTGGGAAAGTCCGACCTCTGGGATAGAGGAAAGACCTCTCCAGCCCTGGTTGATATAGTTGAGAAGTATCAGAAGCCGGGTGAGATGTTCCAACCATTTGCTGCTGATGGGCGGCGAAGGAGGGTTCTTGTTCCGGTATCTATCCCCTGTTTCTAGTCTTTAAAGCATGAATGAAGTATTCTGATGCATGGGTAGGGATGCGGACGCGGCTATGATGTGATCATGTTGGCTTTACATGGATTCGACGCATACGGCCTTGACATCTCCGCGACGGGCGTTGCGGCGGCGGAGGCATTTGCGTCGAAAGAGTTACAGAATCCCGGTGCTGCTAATTTCGGTCTTAACCATGACAGCAAGAGTCAGTCCCGAGGGAGTGTGAAGTTCCTAGAGGGCAATTTCTTTGCGCCCGAATGGGAGAAGGATGCTGGTGGGAAGTTTGACATTGTTTATGATTATACCGTATGCTCCCCACCTCTTCCCCAATGAGAGAGTAGACCAACTAACCATAGTATGATAGTTCCTCTGCGCTCTGCACCCCACAATGCGCAGAAATTGGGCTTCCCGGATGGCATCGCTCCTCCAAAAGGACGGCCTCCTCACCTGTCTCGAGTTCCCAATGTACAAGGATCGCACACTCCCCGGCCCACCGTGGGGTTTGAACGGTGTTCATTGGAATCTATTGGCGAAGGGAGGTGATGGGATCGACATCGACGATACAACAAGCATCGGAAAAGAAGGAGAAGGATCTTTCAACCGGATCTTGTATGTGCAGCCCGAACGCACACACGAAGCTGGACAGGGTACGGACATGTTGAGTGTGTATAAGCGAAAGTAGCTATTGTAGCTCGTTACCCAATCGAATAGCACTCCCAAAAGAAAGAAAGAAAAAAAAGAGACAAACAAAAAGCAAAAAATGACAAGAGTGGGATTCGAACCCACGCCCCCTGTCGGAGATCAGGAAACTTCACAGGAAGTTATGTGTTAAGGTAACCTTAACCTGACGCCTTGGACCGCTCGGCCATCTTGCCCTTGATGAGTATTACTGTGTTATTGTTGAGTACACAATCCTGACAATGCATACATCTTGCACAGACCATTTACCCCGCAATCCAACGCGTGGTCTGTGGGTCACCCACGCGAGGGCCGGGATGCCGCATTGGGGATGCCTTTTTATTACTCTCTACGGAGTATATTTGCGATTGGAAGTATCAAAGGCGCTCTCGTAATAAGGCAAGCTTGGCTATTGCGTGAATCACTATCACAATATACTCATGACCTCATAACTCATAATTCATGCCAAATCAGACCTTCTCAGCCCGCTCAATCCTTTCCTCCGTCTCCTTGCTCTCAAATCCCTCCTCCAAATCAATTTCCTTGTGCAGTGCAGGATCATCTACACCAGTGACAGCCGACTCGAAGCGCCGACCGCGTTGCTCAGGACCAAATGCAGCAGTCACTGCGATCCCCACCGCGATAATTGCGGTCGCGATACCCATTGTAGGACCGTAGGCTGGTGCCAATTTTCCGGATGACGTCTTAACGCTAGTTGCTTCAGCGATGGCATTGACGATTTGTGCAGAGGGAGAGGAGATCATGTTTCCGATTTGGTATGAGAGACCTGAGCATGATTAGACCCTTACTGTGTATAACATGGGATTTAGAGGCACATACCAGGGAACGTTGAGCGGAATGCAGGCGGCGAAAGCTCATTCAAATGAATCGGAATGACACCCCAGGCACCTTGGATAAAGAACTGGATGAAGAATCCCGTTGCACTTAGAGCTCTCTCGCCGTGTGGCAGGATCCACGCCGGAATGAGGACACCAGAGATCAACGCTGAGACGATAATCGCTCGACGACGACCGAAGAATTGCGATAGGTATCCGATGATGGTCCCCCCAACACAAGCACCGGTCTTCATGAGGATCGATGCGCGAGATGCGGGTGCGTTATCCAATTCTTTCTGCTCGAGCATAAAGGTTGTATACGAGTCTTGAGAGGTGTGGGAATAGTAGTTGAACTGGATCGCGTTAGCCTTTACTCTTCTTTATAGTGAAAGACATAACTCACCCAGGTCATCAAGAAGATGCAGTAAACGCACATCTTCCACTGATTTCGTAGCATATCCTTGACCTCTTTCCAAAAAGCTTTGGGATCGGATTTTCTCCCTGACTTTTTGGCTTCGAGGAACTGCTGGGACTCGGGGAAGAAAACGCGGACAATACCCACACCGATCGAGATACCAGCTAGATGACAAGGCTGTTAGAAATTATGATGTAATTCTCCATATTTCGAATGGAGGACTAACCTGCAATCCAAAAGACTGTCTTCCAAGTCTCCGTACCACCACCCACGCCCAGGTTGGCACATGCCGCAAACACATATCCAAGCGAGTAGCCTTGCTGAAGAATCCCCGACATAAGACCACGAGCATTGACGCTATTCAGTCAGCGTGGGAAAATATTTTCTAAAAAGGAGTATACGTACGGACAATGTTCCAAGGCCATGGCAATGGCATTTCCATACACACCACCCATGAACAGACCAAACAAACTGCGCACAGCAAGGAACTGCTGGAAGGTGTGACTGTAGATAGTGGCAATTTGAAGCACGCCCAACACAATCATGTTAACCACCATGGGCCATTTCCGGCCAAACTGGTCACCAGCCAAGCCAAAACCCGCCGCTCCAACGCTTCGCAATAGCAAGGTGAGCGTGATTGCAGTCGTGATATCGGTATTGCTGCGGTCGTAGTAGTCGGCCAGCTTTGTAGTCTGGATGGACAGAGCATGGAAGTCGAATGCGTCCGCTGTCCATGCTATGAGTCCGACAAGGAAGAACAGCCAGTCACGAGCGCTCAGCTGCATAAATAGACTAATTGGGTTGACAATCGGCTCGGGATCCTGCCATTCCGCATGAGTTTCGCCGTATTCGTTAGTCACGACGACGCGCTGCTTCCACTTGAACAAGTCGCCCCAGGATTGTTTCGCCGTTGCCCAGACTCCATCTGGAATTGGTTCAGCCAGCTCGTTACCGGTGGTGGGATCGCTCATCTTGTTGGTTGTGAGATGCCGGGTATCGCAGATGATAATAGAACTTGCTTCTGACTGTCGACATCGACCCGGCTTTATAGGTGTACCAACTCTCCCTTCCCTTCAATTGCGGGTAGTACCAAACCCCGCTTACCAGCGATGTGATATTCGATACACTTCATGGCTCTTTGTTCATTACCGGTTTTCCCCGCGAAGTGTACGATTCCCTGTAGAACCAAGACTTCGCCAAGCGTCCTGCGACAACGAGATGTGCATGTTGACAGCACAAGCCGCAAGCGCCAAGGGCGTCTTTAGGCCTGGATGACATCCGGACGCCTTGCTGTGGCTGGTTTCTTTGGCGCTGCGACTTTGGATTCAAGGATAGAAAATATCCAAAGGGGACCGAGGCAATAGCTGAACCACCGCAAAATTTGATGGAACACAGTGCTGATATCTCACGTAAATATACCACCCAAGTCTGCGGTTAGGATATTTCTCCGCAGTTACCACCGTGGGAGGACGTGATCTGGACGATACAAACCGAGGCCACCCTAGCGCGTCCCCATAAGCTGACCCGGCACAATATCAGCCTCAGTCTGTCCAATCATGGCAGTAACCATTCATGACGTTTGGTTAGCCTCCCTCCGTCCGTAGACGTATCTGGTATACTGCTCCGTGTCAACTGACCGCGAGGTGACCAATTCACGGAAACCCCTCTAAGCGAACATAGCACTCTCCCAATAGAAAGCAGTTTGTGTGTTTTACCCCACGGGATCTGGCATCTGTTTTCTCCAGACAAAAGTCAGCTTAGGTTCTCATGACACATAGTTTGGGATCGCGGAGGTGCTCAGACCCGCATTTCTTGCATTTCCCCGGAATATGCCTCTCCTCCACAAACACGGCAGCCCCGTCAACCTAGCAGCTGGCTGGCTTGTCGCGTAGGGCTTGGCTCCCTAAGACTGGTCGGGGGTTTTCTTGTCAAGGCTTGATAAAGGACGTGTTGTTGGCGGTAGGACAGCTGAGGCTTGACTTGGGAGAGGCGGCCGGGAGAGGTCGGGGTTTGATGTGGAATACGAGGCGGCACGAAGGATGGCCACACGAATCAAACCCCGTAGCAAAAGATATTTAATTTATATAGTAAATGCGATATTTTCATGCTGGATGAATGGATGAAGTGGTTGTCGTTTCTGTTGTCTTTGGATTGTGTAAAAGAGGGGGGATAGTCACCTGACCTGTATACGCAACGAGACATTTATTCCGATAAATTCATCATAGAACCAACAATATATACAACCACAATGCCAATGGATTGAAATGCTAAGTGACAATCTGCATTCTACAAACGGCCATGGGTGGCAGTGCGACTACGTTGAAGCGGGTTATGCTGGAACGGCGAATAAACATGATCCATTCTGAAAAGTTCCAGTCATCTCTATTTCAATACATTTTCGAGCTCACGGCTGATAAATTCAGCCAGCGTAAGAATCATTTCCTCCTCTAACCGTCTTCCAATGAGCTGAATCCCCACTGGGGCACCGTGATAGATTTCAGCATCATCTGTCAAAGTCAGCTAGTGTTCTACACAGTTTTAACAAGTGAACTTACACTCCGACTGTACTTGTTCATGTGTTTCGCTGAGATAATTCATATGAGTATCAATCCTACACATCGCCTTGCCGGCATTCGTAACAGGAATAACTGCACTTGTGTAGTCCAAGACGTTCACGAAGCTAGTGTACCCAACGTGGCGATACCTCCTGGGAATCACAGCAGCATGAGGTGCCACTGGACAAATGATAGCATCAACAGGGCGCCCAGTCCCGGTCAGCCGGTCATTTTTATTCCAGTATTCCATATACATTTTCTGGTAGAGACGTTTCTGCACATTTAATGCAGCTATATCCCTGGCCTTCCAGTGCTTGTCTGTTTGTATGAAGCATTGTGGGATCGTTCCTTCACCCGATAAAGCAATTTGACCGGTCAAACCATCGCCGCCGTCGATGTTGTAGGCTTTATCCTATTGCTTGTAGAAATTGCGTTCGAGATATTCCTGATTAAAGTGAGGAGACGCACTGCAATCTCGTGGCCAACTTGGCAATTCCGCGGATCCCACTCTACGACCCGGTGCGTCGATTAGCTTTGAAGTAGAGTTGCTACCCAATCGTGCCTACCAGATGACCACGATTCCTCAGTCTGCTTTATAAGCATGAGTGCCTGTCTCACAGGTGAATGAGGCTGCACGACGCTATCGTGGCGCATAATAGCAAATGTCAGAAGTGAAGGATCTTTAACTGATGCCTTGATCAGCCTTTGTGTCTGCATCTCAATATCATCACTCCATGGCATTACCAGTACAAGGGGATCATGGAACCAAGGCTCTTGGGAAAGAATAGCCTTGAAAAGCAGCTTCAGCGACCCGATACTTGTCCGCATAGGCCCGACCACGGACAAGATCGTGTTTTGGCCATCTATGGAATTCGCGGCTCCTTCATACGGCATTCTTCCCGCGGATAGATGGAGACCGAAAATACCATTGAAAGCAGCCGGAACCCGTATACTTCCTCCAATGTCAGTCCGAACCCGGCAGGCGACCCTCGAAGCGCAATCCGAGCTCCCTCTCCGCCGGGGCTTCCCCTACTGGAGAGTCGTCGGGTTTTGGGATTCCACGTATACCCGATGATGTTATTGGCAGTCTCTCCCGCCATCAAAGTTAAGGGTACGCTTGTTTTGCAGAAGACTGTTGCTCCGGCGCGGCGGAGTTCACGTACGAGCTTGCCTTCAATCACTTTAGCGCGAAGGTCGTCCTTTTTGTCTTCGAAAGTTCCGACCCAACCCACGTAGCCCATAGTAGTCTCAATGCCCTTCACATGGAATTGATCTTTGAGACTTACAAGGAACGCCATGCAGGGGACCCATGGGCTTTCCCGTTGCGCTGAGATATGCATCAAGCTCCTTCGCGACTTGCATGGCATCTTCGAAAAACACCTCATGCAAGCAATTAACCTGCGAGTACAAGATAGTTAAAATATTGGTATCAATCATGACTTCTGATTTACATACATGTTGATGAGCAATCGCCGCCCTGTGACAAAACGCTTCTGTCACCTCCACCGCGCTCCAATTTCCAGAGGCGGTCTGTTTCGTTATCGGAACAGCATCGGCCTTCATAATTTCTATCTCGTTGGGGATAAGGAATCCCTGAATGTAGTTACCTGTGATATCGGGCAACTCGACAGCTGGGAGGATGCGTTCTCGGATTTGCCATTTCTCGGGGATCGCACCGAGGATAGCCAGGCGTTTGGCTTCGGCGACCTTTTTGCCACGTCGTTACAGAGATCATCTCGTGCAGGCGCTGGATGCTCGGCGAAAATACAGGCCCTGTCGCTTCTGAAATACTACTGCTATGAAAGGTGGAATGTGGGGTTACGGGAGTTATCCGAATTATGTACTGTGTAATACCCGAAACACCATGAGGCAATAACGGCAAGTCTTGTTCTTCTCATCTTCATTCTTCTTTTTTCTTTTTATCTCTTTCTTACCGTTATTACGTGAGAGGACAATCTACCGTGCAAAAGGAGATAACAATGTAAGACCTGGCCAGATAACATGGCACACCGATACGTTAGAAACGGAGCATTCTGGAAAGACGAAGAGACACTACATTCCAGTCTCCCAACATCCCATTCGTATTTATCTCATTTAATTTAGGAACTAGGGGATAGGTATACAATTCAACGATGCGGAATGCACGTGTATTCTAGACTATTGTACACACACCAGTGAGTGCTTGTTTCTATACTAACTGGCAAATGTGTCCTCAGCCCGACTACTACTCCGGTAGATCAGACTATGCTTAGGAAGTGTCGAGGTGTATTTCCATTAGGCCATACACATGATCTATTGCGAATTTTAGTGGGCAATAGCAGTTGATTGAACCGGTGGTCTATCTCTATCGGCTGATGACAAGCTATAACTACCGGGCACTATCTCCGACCCCGCGGCTGCTTACCAACCATGGATGTGCCATAGCAGATCTACGCGATATTAATATCAACATCGACATTGTCAATCTGTTGAATTTCCATTCTCTTGACCTGCTAACACTGGCTTAATGTCGCCAATTCTGCGACTTGGCTCACACCATCCATTCAAAGCCACTGGCAATGGGGTCTCTCACGAATAATCACATTGGAGTTATTCCGTATGATAGAATCCCATACTTCACACCTGCCAACAATGGCGGTGCGGCAACAAGCCCGGAAAGCCCAGACACACCCACCTTGTTTCGTCCACTTCAAATTCGAGAACTTACGCTGAAGAATCGAGTCATGGTTGCGCCTATGTGCATGTATTCGGCCCAGTCTGATCCATCCTCTCCTTACATCGGTGCGTTGACAGACTACCACGTCGCGCATCTCGGTAACCTTGCCCTGAAAGGCGTTGGCCTGATTATTATTGAGGCGACTGCTGTGCAGTCCAACGGTCGCATCTCGCCAAACGACTCGGGCCTTTGGCAGCAGGGCACGGACTCGGAGCAATTCAAAGGACTCAAACGTGTCGTTGATTTTGCTCGCAGCCAAGGAGCTAAGGTCGCTATTCAACTCGCTCACGCGGGCCGAAAAGCTAGCGTCATGCCGCCCTGGATCGCTAAGGAGGCCGGCAAGAGTAGCCTCAGAGCTGATGAGACCGCGGGTGGATGGCCTAACAATGTTATAGGGCCATCTGGTGGCGAGGAACACATCTGGGCACCCGGTGATGGTTTCTGGGCCCCACGGGAGCTGAGCACCGCCGAGGTCGAGGAACTGGTGCAGGCGTTTGCCACTAGTGCTGAGCTATCTGTTAAGGCAGGCATTGATGCAATTGAGATTCACGGCGCACACGGCTATCTTGTCGGCCAGTTTATGAGCCCTGTGACCAACAAGCGAACAGACAAGTATGGCGGCTCCTTTGAAAACCGAACACGAATCATTCGCGAAATTGCAACTGCCATTCGTGCTGTCATTCCAGAAGGCATGCCTCTATTCCTTCGGATCAGTGTGACGGAATGGCTCGATGGCAAGTTCTCAGAATTCTGGGACCTGCCATCCTCCATTGAGCTTGTTAAAATCCTCCCAGATCTAGGAATTGATTTCCTAGATGTCAGTTCTGGGGGCAATCACAAGGACCAGACGATTGAGCCTCACACAAACTATCAGATCGATCTTGCAAGCCAGATCCGAAAGGAGATCCGGCGATCGGGACAAAATACATTGGTTGGAGCCGTCGGATTGATTACACGGGCAGAAGCTGCTAGTCAGATTGTGCAAGGCGCTGATTTGGAGGAAGCAAAGGCGGCTGAGTCAATGGTAGCAGGCCCGCAGGCAGGGGCCGATGCTGTTTTGCTGGGGCGCCAGTTCCTTCGTGAAGCAGACTGGGTATATCACGCGGCAAAGACGTTGAGGGTCCAGATCACAGCTCCTAAGCAGCTGGGGCGTGCTATTTGAGGAGATCTTGTCTTGTGGATATTTCAATTTATTTTATGCAAATAGAAGATTGGTTATAGAGGATAGCATGTCGTCCCTGAATTACATATAGATTAGTTTCGATTTGATAGATGAAGAATCCTTAAACTGAGCCTTTTTTTTTTTTTTCTCCTATGAGCATTGTGTACCACCCTATGGGTCCGATTTCTGGCAATCATTGCTATAGAGCTTGGGTCTTACATCTTCATACAACTCTGGCATATCGGTCGAGTAACCCGACAGCAGGCTTTGGACAAGGCCGGCTTGGAGATAGTGAGCAGCAGCGATATTCCTATCAGTGATGAGCACCCGACGTTTAGACCCATGATGGCCGGGGAAATCAAATAATGCATGGCTTCCTTTGCGCAAGCAGCTAAGAATGCTGTATCGGTTGGATTTGACAGGGTGGAGCTCCATGGCGCCAACGCGTATTCGGTCAATCAGTTTATCCAAGATACCTGCAGCATCCGGAGCGACGAGTGGAGTGGGAGCGCCCAGAACCGGTCGTCGTTTTGCTTTGAGACTGTTAAAACAGACTGCGAAGCCATTGGGCCGGATCGCACCCTCATCGTTTAGCACTTTCCAGGGCATGCGGATGAAAGATCCCATTCCGCAGTTTACAAACCTCATATCGCGACTTAGAGGATCCCATCCTACTTATTTGCATTGATCGAGCCGCAGGTTGCTGGTAATGTGGACAAAGAAGCACCAATAGATTAAAGTCCGGACTTGCAATTCAGAAATGGTCGAAAGCTAGTCCAACTATTCTGACTGGAGGCTATTCTATGGAGAAGGCGAATCGGGCTTTGGAGAAAGCTCTCGAAGATGAACTTGTTCCATTTGCCTTTGGCAGACACTTCATTCCCAGTCTTAATGTACCTTTCAGGCTTGAGAACAGTATTACTTTGACACGATATAGCTTCTACACGGCCGAAAGCCCGGATGTCCATATAGACTATGCATCAGCGAATCTGGAGACCGAAGGGCTCATTGGGAGTTTTATAGTGGAGCTATATATTTTATTGGTGTAATGATAAAGCTCATATGGTTCAGAAGTTCAGGTCCATCCTCACTTCTGAGTTCTGACGCTACTTGATAAGGAAAATTGTCGGGCCGAATAGACTAATAAGGCCAGCGTGTGCGTGTATTTAGATAGCAGTCGTATGCGCATATACCAAGAATATATCATTCCTTTCATAGTGAGATCTCTCAGGTTGTAGGGCAACTAGTATGTGAGCTGATACTGCAAATCATCCCACATGTGATTATGAAATGCAGATCACTAACTAACTAGTTAACTAGTTATAACCACAGCAATTGAGCGGACTTTCCCCCACAATTCAAAAACCAAGATCACAACTTTCTACCATCCCATAACGCCTATTTTTTTATAGTTAAACTATCTTACCACTTGAATAGGCTTGTATATTCATCTACGACCGGTAGCCTATCACATTGAAATACATCGAAAATGTCCAAAGATGTGTTGGATTTTCCCGAGTCGGAGCGGCCGTTTTTGGAGCCTTACCTACTGCCACACAATGCCGAAATCGAGAATACCAGTTTGCCCTTTGTGACTCTTACCTTTGCTACCTCGCTGGACTCGTCTCTCAGCATTGCGCCCGGAGCTCGCACCGTTCTTTCAGGCCCTCAGTCCAAGGCCATGACACATTACCTCCGATCTCGCCATGATGCTATCTTAATTGGAGTGGGCACAGCAGTAGCAGATAATCCCGGCTTGAACTGCCGGATTCAGGGCGTTGGGGGGTACGGTGGTGGCGACAACCTTCAGGGACAGCCCAGACCCATCATCATCGATCCTACAGCTCGATGGGACTTCAGCAAGGAGACCCAGATTTTTCAACTTGTTAGGAATGGCTGTGGACGTGCTCCATATATTCTGACATGGAACCCATCACCTCCTACCAAACAAAAACAGATTCTTGAGGAACACGGCGGGAAGTTCATTACACTCGATATTACTACACCTGAAAGTGAAACTGGCCGTGATCTCGATTGGACCGCTTTGCTGAGGACCTTGAAAAAGGAAGGGTTTAATAGTGTTATGATTGAAGGCGGCAGTGGTGTGATCAATACTCTGCTGGAGCCGTCATCCCAGGCGTTGATTGACAGTGTGATCATTACCATTGCCCCAACATGGCTGGGCCAAGGTGGAGTGGTTGTGTCACCGAAACGACGATTCGATGCAAGTGGTAATGCGGTTGCAGCCTCACGGCTTGCCAATGTGAAATGGCATCCATTTGGTGAAGATGTGGTGCTCTGTGGGAGGATCAACCCTTGAAATATTAGGCTCTCCACGCTGTTAGACTAGCCGTTTTGGTACTTACAGAGACGGACTATGAATATGATTTCCTAATTTTATTCATGGGCGTATCTGCAAACGCTGAGCAAACAGGGTTAGTATAAATAGGAATATTACTCATTATTACCTACCAGACGGAGCCGTGACATAAGGGTAAGGAGAGTTCACCTTTCTCATGTCGAGTCACTTAACAGGGGCGGGGTTTTGTTTGTAGCTTTGTGCATATTCTAAATAGTTCAATGTTTGAATTTGGAAGACAACGGCTAATGATCAGTGGTTGTAGCATGCTAGTGGATTGAAATCGCACTATATTATACACCCAGGCTCGTCTTATGTATTCTCCCTTTACTAAGAGATTGGTACATACAACCATGTATCAAGGACAATAAAAGAATGCGCCGCTTCGCGGACAGCAGTAGTTCCTTGGTTCTTAATAGTTGGGATAGCTAGGAGGATCCTACCCTCCTGTTCTATTGAGTTTCTAGAGCTTTGAGAGCGATTTGGTGGCATAGTGGGCGGTTGAAGTGGAAGGGCCTAGTTAATTGACGTATTTCGCGTTAGATGTGTCACTCGCTTGTGAAAAACGTTATGTTTCTTCTTCAACGAGTTCTTTTGTATGTTTCTTCCATTCGGCGACCCTGTGTTCCGCTATATTAAGATGTTCAAGGATTCTTAGAAGAAATTAAACGACCTCTCTGTTCTAGCAGACTATGTAAATTAGGAAAACGCCCATTCTTCGATCAATCAAATGTCTTTCTGGGCGGGACCTCAGCTTGTCTCGAAATGGCCAGAAAGTCTCAAGATTGTTGATGTGATTGAGAACTGTAATCCGAGCACCACTAGGGTGCTCGGATTTATTGCCTTAAGCTATGTTTCTGGTGGCAACCAAGAAGTTGAACTACCACTGTCAGGCTGTCTTCTCAGAGCTTCTCAGCCCAAAACTATCCAGGATGCTCTCATTGCATGCGATAAGTTTGGGTATCGATATCTTTGGGTTCATCAGCTTTACATAAACCAGAAATACGAGGATGAATTGCAAGACCAAATACAAATAAACCAAATGGACCGCATATCCCAACATGCTACATGCACTCTGGTAGCAATGGATGACCATGATTCGAATCACGGCCTTTCTGGTGTGACAGTACCACGTTCCTGGAAGCTTACAGTTATCCATATTGGCGAGATGGTCTTTTATAATCAGGAACCAAACCTCAGCTTGTGTATGTAGTTTAGTCCAGGGTTTAGCCGGGATGGATATTGCAAGAGAATGTCTACTTTTCAAAACTTCTATTTTTCACCCAGTTTGGCATCTATTACGTGGCTCAGGGTGCCGCTGGTTTTTTTTTTTTTTTTTTTTTTTTTTCTTTCTTTACAACCTTTTCTCTAGCGCATACAGCTAGGACTCTACCAGAGAGATTCGTATGCTTGCAATAGAGATCCCATAAATGACCAACAACGAACGATCAAGCCGGCCAATATGACCCGAGATATCATTGAATGAGCCCAGAGTCGATGCATAACTCTAAATATGAAAGAACAGGGTCGAAATATTATCACCCATGGAGAATTCCTGGCAGAGCCACGACCACCCCAATCAACTTTTTGACTATATTGCGGACACCTTTAACCATATAATTGAACTCAAGAACGAACACCACGAGCAGATATATGAAGAGCTTGTTCAGGCGCTTCACACTGAACTCCAGGAATACAAAGCCCGACTGGTGGACAAAGAGAATCAGATTGATGACCCTGATGGTGGAACGTGATGAGTACAAGACAGCCTACGCAGAGACGCAGTTACTTTCTCGTGATTCCACTGTGGAGAGTATTAGGTCATCAGGCAAGTCTGAAAAAATGCCTGATTCTCAACTCCTCACTGATAGCAAGGAGCCCAAGTTTAAGGACTGGGTGATCGACATGAAAGGGAAGTTTATGGTTAACGCAAACCGGTTTGGTGATGATCAGATAAATCGAGGTCACCTTGTTTCCCGAACTAGAGGTCTTGCCCGACAGCAGCTGAGAGCCAGACCGCGTGAAGATGCTACCGACCTCTACACTAGTTTTGAACAGATGTTCAAGACCCTCACTACTGCATTCCAGAACCATCACCGACGTATGGAGGCCGATGCTGAACTCTAGACAATGTGCATGCGTCCCGGTGACAAGTTCCCTAAGTTCTTGACCAAATTCTTACTGCTGGGTGAGCGAGGCCGGAATTTTTAATGGTCGATACAAGATTGAGCTCAACCGACGTCTCACTGACAAGGCCATTGAACGTACTATGGAGTGGACTGGACATCCAGAACTTCGCTTTCCCAAACAAGTCAGTCACGCTTGAAGATAACAAGCGAACTATCGAATGGCCGAGCAACATTGAAACCTAGGCATACTCCTGACATTACGACAGTCAATCGACGATTTGAAGGGAACGTGGGGAAAGAGGGGTATACTGGAATAAGTTACGGCTCCTCAATTGTCTGATATCGATTACTGAAAGACCTTTGGATAATCTTGCGAAGCGAAGAGGTGCTCATAATGTGTATGCATATCATATATTTTCCGAAACACCCAGGCATCTTTCGCATGAAGTATCATTGCGATGGTTGACACAGCGCGAAAGACTGCCAGTTCTTCTGATCGTCGACAGACAGCTACACGACATTATCATGCGACCAGACACCAAGGATTACCTTATAAATGCATATTCAGTATCTATCAATCACCTTTATCGTACATATCTTGCTAATAAAAACACGCCAAGTAACAGACAGACAAGCCCGAATACAGAGTACACTAATAGCGATGCGTACGCGTACATCCGACATGATCCGACTCTTGTCCCAAATAAATTCGGGAATAGGTCCCGTGTAGCCCTCTAGTAATGTCTCTATTCGAGCTTAGAATAAACTGGAAAGGAAATTAGAGTACAAGGACGCTGGCTGCTTGCTTTAAGTGATCTCGCACGATATGCTGTTCAGTATTGATATCGGTCAGGCGGAGGGATGGGGGTAGCCTTCGTGAGTTTGTCTACTTCAGTGCAGTCAATGTAGTTCAGGCGGTATATATAAGGGGCGGCCATCAGTCGCACGCTTGATGTCGTGGTCTGTCTGGAGGGGTGTGCCTGCTAAGCTGGATATGCTGAAAAGCGATATTGATCGGGGGGAGCGAGGACGAGCATCACGACAAGGGCTCGTGTTGACCCGTTTACAAGCATTCGCGTCGTCCCTGGTACTTTATGTAGTGTCGGCTTGGTCCGTGTTAACACGTAGAGCGACGTGGGTTCGACTCCTCATTCCAACAACCAATCCAGAGCATTATTCACGACAGCCTCGCTCGTCATACTCCGGTCGCTGAGAAGAGTGGACAAGACGCCCCATTCCGTACCAGTAGAGCCTGTTTCATCAGTGCCGGTTAAGCTGTGGCCATTGAGCCCTGATACTCCTTGCGCAGTGGAGTCCAATACCGGCTCCAGACTAGGTAGCGCGCTCTGTTTCCGCACAGGGGGGATTGAAGCATGCTCAGTGAGGAAGCGAGCCATCCAGTTGTCGAGGGCAAAGGGGTCTGACATGGAGTTGCGACAGAAATCTTCGAAAATTCTGAGGCGCGCCACCTGTCGATATTGTTAGCAACAAGCTTCCATGTTCCGACAGAGGCTCGAAGCCACGCTAGGCACTCACCGAAACATTCACCATAGGCCAAAGAATCTTCAAACTCATCAAGTATTCGAAGTTAGATACCAGCTGTTGCCGCGCCGTCCACAGCTCCGATGGATCCTCACTCAACAACAAAGTATGCAAGTGCACGCACGAGCTTACAACCGCAATATAACCGTAAATAAAGTAATCGAGCTCACAATTCTGAAACCTCATAGCATACTGCACAATCTCAGAGACCATTGCAGCGCTACTCTTGCACTGCGCAGCACCATCCGTAGGAATCGAGGTGCTCCTGTTCGCGCGAGCATCCAGAAAGGGAAAGTAGAGCATTTGCCGGAAATGGTAATATCCAATATGCATAGAGAGAAACGTCCGTCCAAGACCCTTATTGGCGAATGATGTGAGATTGGAGATGTTATACTTCAGCTCCTCTGGTAATCCATCGGCCCACTTCTCCAAGCGCTGCGTTAGAAGCGGCACTTCGCGGCAATACGTGTCGAACGAGATCACGCTCCGACTAAGACGCGCAAGTAAAATGCTGATCCGCGCAAAAATGTCAAGGGTGCCTGCCATGTGTGCCCACATATTGCAGGATGCGCGATCCTCTCGAAGGAGCTCCGGGTCAAACGTATGGAATGCTATGTCGTCAACGGCAGGAAGGATGTCCCGTCCGTTGAGGAGAAAAGGCGCAGGTTCAACGGACGTATCAACTGCAGTCCAGTGATCAGCTATCCGAACAGAGAGCCATGTCCGGCGGCGCTCTTCGCGATGGACGACAGTTAGGTTGTGCGGCATCGCCCACAGCGACAAATTTTCTGCATGAAGTTTGGCGAGTCCAAAGTAGGTGTGCTTCGCTTTAACGTCACCTTCGCCTCCCATGAAGTGGCCAATCAGAACACATGCCTGAGTGCTCTCCAAACTAGGGGATCCCAGATACCCCTGGAGTAGTCGCGTGGCTTCCGCAGCATAGACTTGCCCACGCGAACCAGGTGGTGTGCCATTGAAGACTAGATTCTGAGAGTACCTGTACACAAAATTAATCGGAGATTCCTTCCGCCAAGAAAAAATTGGAAGGAAAAAAAGAAGTACCTGGCAGAAAGCGCACACATCGCATGTACGTGTAGCAAGGATGCCCTCCCTTCATTAAAACGACGGATAAAGCTAGCCTCATGAAATAAGGTATGCGCAACATTATGAACGAAACGAAAATAAAGAGATACAAGCTCCAGCAACACAACCGGAGTCGTCACCAAAGGCGACCTCTGCGGCTTAACAGGGGGTCGCAATGCATTATGCGACGGAAAGGCAAAAGACGAAGGAGCTGCGGTAGCAGCAGCAGCAGCAGCAGCAGGAAAAGAGGACAGCGAAGCACCATTAAATGGCTTGTCGCGTTCCATTAGCTGTCTCGGTGTGCCCTGGAAGTCCCTTTTCAAGACCGGACCTTCGGGCTCCGTGTAGTTTTGGCTCAGACTACACGGAATAGACAGCGATTGGCAGAGTACACATTCATCCCCGGTATCACTAGGAACGCATCGTCTCTTGCGTACTCTTTTTTCACGTATCGCGAGGAATTCTTAGTAAACGTGATCTTTTTCATTCATTTGGCAGAAATGCGACACGAAAGAAAAAAAAATATGGCAAAAAACTCACCGGCAATTCTTACATGCTCCAGCTCTCGCCCGCTTGGGTCGGTCTGCCGCCATGGAGGACATGACACTAAAAAGAAGGAGAAGCTCTCTATGGGTGGCGTTACTGCTTGCAAACACACGTGATCATCAATTGGCCGCCACACCGGGTCTTTGAGACGCAACTCAAGAAGCCTGTGGGTTGTTGTTCGGTTTCTCGAAAGGTTTGGCTTGAAGTTCGCGGTGCTGCGCAGGACGCTGACTCAGCAGCGACTAGTGCCGATACGTTACTGAGGAATTCAACCAAAACAAAGCTTTGCATGCGCTTGGTTTTACGCGTCTGAATAATTATAGAGGTGCTAATTAAGTCGGTTTTCCGAGTTGTCTACTTCAAGTATATGTACAGGGCGCCTCCGACGAGTATATCACTTTGCGCGGACAGCCCGCCAACTACAACAAATATATATCCATGACTTGGCTATTCAACATGCATTGTTAACAACCACTCATCCGAATCTACAACCCGCGCCTGTCTCACAAACACCCTATCCATCAGCACCCCATGCACTTCATCATCTCGATCCAAACACAAATCTCTCAACACAGTAAGTCGATAATCCAAATCCGCCGCCGCTCGCACCGTCGACAACACCGCACCACTAGTAATCAACCCACAAACCACCAAATCATCGCGTACCTCCAGACACCGCAAGACAAGCTCCAAATCCGTCCCGGCAAATGCGGACACGCGGCGCTTGTTCACGACTATATCGCCCCTACTTGTGTCTGGGGAGACGGCGGGGTGGATCTGCGTTGATAGGTCGCCTTGGATGAATTGGGTTGAAGACTTGATTTTTGCTGTAGAGGGGTTGTTGGGATGTAGGTCTGTGTAGGCGGGGCGAAAGGATGTTGTTATGTAGATGATTTTGGTGCCGGCGGCGCGGGCTTTGTTGATTGTTGTCGAGAGGCGTTGGATGTAGTCGTTTGTGATGGTGGTTCCTAGACGGTCGAGTACGCCATTTTGGATGTCTAGGACGAGTAGAGCTGTCGGCATGGTCACGGGTACTTGCACCAAAGTAGTCCAGAAGTTGTTCAATACAGTTTGCAAGAGCTTAAGCCGTACAAGTACGACGCTCTTTCGCTACGGAAGTCCAACTATATACTCCAACGGTCATCCCGGTTCCGCTCGCTATGATGCCGGTAACGGGATGTACCTGTAGGGATCAGACTGGTAATCCATAATCCCATTGGTCATTAATTTCCTTCGCGGCTAACCAACCCGAAAAAGAAACAAACGAATTCAAAAGCACAAAAAGAAAAAAACTCTGCAGATACAATTGTTACGACTACTTTGCATACCGCAAAAACAAAAAAACGACACCAGTCGGACTCGAACCGACGCCTCCGAAGAGAGTAGATTTCTAATCTACCGCCTTAGACCACTCGGCCATAGTGTCTATTGTTGAGAACTAAGTGCCTTACAAAGACCTATAGACATAATGATATACTGCATCAAAACTGATGGAAGACTCTTTCGCTGGGAGTCCTAAGAATTCAACACGAGTGATATAGTCACTGGAGTAAATGCAATTACTGTTTAGTCGGAATAGTAATATTGTTCTCGAACGCAGAATCAAGCGATTGTCGGTCTTCTATCCCGATTCAGTGCTTGTGTCCGACTGTGGGGTCTATTGAAGCTCATACGTTTAGTGAGAAATGTTTGCCAGTTATTGAATAAATTGTAAAGTACATGAAGCTAGCCTAGTGCCAGCTTCAATAACTATCTAGAAGTAAACGTGCTATTTACTTTCAAACAGTGTACAAGAATGTATAGAGAAAAAAAAAAAAAAAACCATCACCTATCTTCACCCAAAACAAGCTCAAGTGCTAGAGCTGGAGCTGGGAGCAGCGCTAGAAGAATCATCCGGGGGAGGACCACCACCCATACCCATACCGCTGTTGGGGTTAGAAATACCGCCGCTTTCAGTACGGTAAGCAGCAGGGGTAACCTCGGTGTCGCCGGTGATATCGACGGCGGCCGAGATCCAAGCAAAGATACCGTCCTGGGGCTTGTCACCGAGGAAAACGTACTCGACGAAGGGGTCGATGGTGTCGGCTTCCTCGGAGAGGATGCTGTCTTCGGCGTTGGTGGTGAGTTCCTGAGTGTTGGTGTTGTAGGGCTCGAGCTCCTCGACGGTGGAGATGAGGTCCTGGTCGAAGAAGATCTGGCCGACCCAGTTGGAGTGGGAGGTGTAGAGGCCGCTGATGGTGTTGTTCTTGAGGACCTTGGTCTCGTTGGCGGGGTGGGAGAGGACGTGGATGTGGGTGGCGCGGCCGGTGTAGTGACCGGGGAAGACAGTCTCGAACTGGGCCACACCATCCTTGTCGGTCTTCTGGAGACCACGGAGGAAGGTTGCGTCGAGGTTGGTCTCGTCGTCGGAGTTGCCGTTGCCGCTGGCGGCAACACCGGAGTAGACACCCTAGATTGAATCCATTAGTTACTGTGAATGCTTGCTTGTCTTTTATGGATACATACAGTAGAGTTGCAGTGCCAGAGGTCCATGTAGATCTCAGGAACCGGCTCGCAGGTGTTGGAGTCAACGAGCTGGATGTCGAGGAAGAGAGGAACACCCTCCTGGTCCTCCGTAATGTCTGAGCGAATCAATTCACCGGTGACATCTGCATCAAGTTAGATTGCATGCAGAGAAAGAAGTTTTGATTATATACGCACAGTAAGGGCCCTGGGTCACATCGGGACCAAGGATACAGGTAGGGTTGTAAGCGAAGAGGACTTCGGGGTCGGTGTGGGTAGTAACACCCTTGAGATCGGAGTGGTGAGTGGTGTTCAACACGGACTCGAGATCGCGGGACTTGATGAGAGGGGCGCCTAAAGCCAGATCGTTAGTGTAATCCCACTGGAATTGCAAGCAAAAGGATACCACATACTCGAAGCAAGACCTCTCTTGCGACGCAATTGCTCGACGGCCCTCTGGCGACGAGCAACGTTGGTGTTCTCAAGGCCACGGGCCTTGAGCTTGGTGTCACACTGGCTCAGACCACGAGCCTGGATGGGGGAGTTCTTCAAGAAGGCGGCACGCTCAGCGGCCTCAGCCTTAACATCGTGGCCAGGGTGGGCGGAGACAATGCCGGACAGACCAGCCAGACCGGCGAAAAGAGTAGCAGCGCGAACCATTGTTGCGATTGCAATGATGATCTAAGGATAGAGAATGATGAACTTGTTGATCAGAAGACCTGGACAACAGACGAAGGCCTGTCTCCCTCTTTATACTCCCTTTCTCGCCCATGGCACCCCGGTGTGCTCCGTATGACTGGGATACAAAATTAACCTACAACAACACTAAGGGAATAGCTGACGAATCGATTCCAGATAGTGTCTGGAAATCGACAAATAGGGTGCGCCATATTTTTCAGCGTCTGGGGAAACAGACCCAGCTGTGGAATCAATTAGATTGCCTACCCCAAGCCCTAGCAGGGGCAGTCTCCGAAGACCTCCAAAGAAAGGCTGTGTCAATAGCCACAGCGGCGTCATCACCATTGATCAGAGGCCCGGAACAACGCCGGGTGATTCAAGGACGGGCACGTGCCAGTGCCGAGAAGTGACTAAGCGGATCAATGTCTGTTATCTGCTTCCGTCGCCGTTGTTTCATCGAATTAAGTTTCTCTATTCTGCACAAGGTAGATAATTTATTCTATTTGGGGTACACCGTAATCCGGAGCAACTACTTACGTTGAGTTAACATTGCCGTGGCTGACGAGTCCGCGTCCCACAAGTGTATTTGGATAAGTCAAATAAACGCCTGCACTGTCGAATCCTGGAGCAAATATACTATCCCCTGTACTCCTACAGTGGCGAAAGCGGAATGCCATGTCTCTATCCTCCCTTGAACCTATAGTCAGATTCCTCTGTCATCGTAGCAAGTAACCGTAACAATAAGGTTGAATGCCTCGTGGAATGTCTCCCGGTGTGATATCGTCAAAACTTCGGTTCCTTGGCGCCAAGCAATGTCGACGCGGCGCCTTATATTCAGTGGATATTTGTATGGTATCTCATTGGTGAATATGAGGGGCGTTTCGTGCAGCGACGCCGATCCCATTTTGGCGCGAGGTCGGCAGGTAACATCTCGAATGTTGCCGATGGTTCATCCTTGAAGCTTCTCTTCTGGAACAGCCTCCTCGGTCTGCTGCTGTCAACCGAGGATGACGGAAGCCATCACCTTCCTAGACGAGCTCTCCGCTATCACATCACTGGATGTACGAGGTAGAGTTGGAGCACACAACGCCGGACAAGTTTGACAAACCATCCACGCCTTATTGGCTCCACGATGACCCAGCAAGCTAGAGGATTGCGTATTCACAGTGGCTGCGGACGAAGCGAAGAATCTGTAGCGTTGTCTCGCAGTACAGGTCATATAACGCGAATTCTAGAGCGTTCCTCAGCATCTATAATTCGTGGACTTTGTCTTGCTGCGTCAGTTCCTGTTTCAGGGGAAGGGCTAGTACACCGCATTGTGGAAATCGACAAGACAGCTGACGTTTCAAGCCCGGTGAACATGGCTGTCTTAGGCCTGGGTCTGAAGTGGTCACTAGTTTAGCATACTAGGCAACCAAAATGAAATGAGCTCAACTGCGCAGTCGACGAAACAGCGGACCTTATTGCGCACTCTCGGTTGAGCGAAAGAAACGGAATCGCACACGGTGCCGTTATCACCGTCGCAAGAACCAAAGCCACTTGTTGCTCTGGATGTCAAGTGTGGCGTAAAGAGCGAAGTGGCGGCCGATAGATACTGCTATAAATTCGCCAGCGGTATAAAGAATAGATATCGGCAAGATAGCCAGTAAGAGTGTAGTCGAATTCCCTCGGGCACAATCATTAATAAAATCTCGAGTGATATGGCGGACGCCTTGCAATCGACAATAGGTTTCGCCCAGCCAACCTAGCGATGAGCATTGTGCCAATAAAAGGTCAGTAAGCCAATTTTCTGTCTTCATTAGCTTGCTCTGTTATAGAATATGGATTCGCTAGCCCATGTCGGTCATGGTATGCCGCAGAAGTTGCAGAACTGCACTTTTTGGACTGATGCTGTTGTTGATAGTTCCCTGAGCTGAAATGTGTCAACGCAGAAAAAGAAATTGGGGAAGATCTTAAATATATAAAAATTGAACGCGTGCATTGAGGCTCTCCTTCTTTATCCATTCCTGGAAATGTCGTCCGACCTAAAGCTGACCAGCGGGTAAATTCTTTCCCTGGTGTTAATCCCTAGGCAATTTCAACCAGACCCAAAGACCGTTAAATCCAAGATCAGTATAGCGCGAACCACATATTCAAACGAAGGCCTAACTGGGCCAGTTTGACAACATGCACTTTGTACCTGATCTCGCATAAGCGTCCCGGGTAAATATTCCGAACGCTGCACCCCTTTAACTCCAGGGATCCTGGTTGAACCAAACAATCACTTCGGATAGATCCGTTGTGGCTGAACTGACACGTGATGGGTTACTTTATGCTGTACAAGTAAACAGTCTAGAATTGCCAATCTCAGGCGGTAATACTATACAGCATGCACTTGCTTACATGGTATCACTGCACTGTTGTGGCTCATGGAATGTATGGAGAATGTCAGATGGCGTTCACGACAAGCATACATTTTGGGACTTACCAGACATTATGATGGAATATTCGAGAACTAATAGCTCTGCGCTAGATCTACTACTATGTGGAGATCTTGGCTACATCCTGACCGGAGAAACAGTGATCCTTGATATTAATGTCCAATTCAATATGCATATATACTTTATACTCCAATAGACAACCGAGATAACCTCCACCGTATTCATCCATTACACTTCATATCCACACCCTCAAGGACCCTGCAGCATAGCACCATTAGCACGCTGATCAGCCAAACCTTAACCTCACCAAGGGACCGCTTCCACTCACCGTAAAGTGCAAATGACCATCCCGGTTCTCAATCTTATCCGCAAGGAACAATCCTTGACGCTCCCGGTAGCCACCATCTCTCTTGTGCAGCTCGGCCGTCAGCTTCGGACCACGGTCAGTGTTCTCGAGGGCGATGTTCTCGGCGCTCTGGGTGAAGTTGACGCCGCCCCAGATGAACCATCCTATGTTGGTTAGTCTTGTGTTGCGGGAAAGAAGTATAAGGGAGGGAATACCGTCGGTGTTTCCAATGTGGTCGTCGAGACGAATACGGCGGGGGTTCATCTTGCCGTGGGTATCACGGACCTGGCAGAGGAGCATGGTGCTGCCATTCTCGTGGGAGATGTGGATGTCGGAGGAGGTCGAGTGGAAGGACATTTTCGCTTTTCTTGGGCTGTTTGTTTATTTGCTTGCGTGAAGGAAGAAGAGAGATCGTAGAGGGGTGATTCTGGGGTATTACAGGGTCTATTTATACGGTGGGCGTTGCTGCCCAGCCCTGTAGTGGGGTAGTTTATTGGTGGCTGAGACAGCACCAAGTGGGGTGGTTGTTCAGCTATGCCAGATCATCATCCACTGCAGATGATGTCATTGGTTGTCCGTTACCTCTTTAGGTAAACGCTTGTACGGATCTAAATATGGATAGGAAATCCAGTGTCTCAAAAGACAAACATTGTCTCAGATCATTTGGCTCCTATTGCGGGGGCTACTATCCCAGAGTTTGTCTTCCGTGGTATTGCTTCTAGTGAAGAACCATCACTCATTTGTCCCGCCAACAATTTCCAGCAGATCGCGGATCTCCAAGTTAAGGATCTTGTTACAAGTCTCCTAATCAGCAACTCTATCAGGACCTTGGTATTCCGGCTGACAGAAAGGACCCATAACCTCGACGTTGCAGTATTCAGCCGTAAGGAAGAGTCCAAATGCACGCTTAAAAGGAACCTCCATTTCCATCAGATATGACCACCCTAACGCAGCTTCTTATTTTCAGTAATTGGCTCATCAGGCTGAAACTCGCAATGGTCATCCCAGTGGCGTTTCTTCAATCCCCAGTATAGTATCATAGTCGAGTCGATAGCGGATCGTTCGTCCAGCACTACCATCATGTTTTCGTCAACATCTCCCTGCAAAGACCCGGGTTTCTCGGCGAGCCATTGACAATAAAAGCGATGGAGCTCATCTTCTCTCTTTCTAAGAAATTCGGTTTTGAAGTCTTCGACTGGAGCTCTGGTTCCTCATTCATCGATCTCTTATTGATCCGGGTGTGCAGGATGGTTAGAAATGGAGAGCCATTTTCGACCTGTAGGTCTCGTGCAATAGTTGGTTAAAGATCTGGCATGAGAGTTCAGCATCTGGTATATATGCAGTGTTACCAAAGATCTCGGGGATGGGGTTGGCATACGCTTGCTGGCACATTGGCAGCGAAGAATGTCAGGACGGTTGCCATGGCAGATGGATTATAGAGTCGACAAGGTCTGAGATTGAGAAAATGGCACCAGCAGTACGAGAGGACAATAATAGATATGACAGCAGTAAGATACAGAGATGGATAGAGAGACGGATATGAGTAAAAAAGAAGAAAGGGTAAAAAGATCTTTTTCAATAAAGAGAACAGCAAACAGTCACCATGTAACTGTAAAACCTGGTCGTTGCACAGTAGTTTGCTTGTATATAGAAGAATGCCAATATACCAATGGAATACTTACTATCACGCTGCTACTTCTCTTTCCTGCAAAACAAACCATAATCCCGCCATAACAATCCACACAGCCCCGCTAAACCATACAGCCGCTCCATTTGCGACTGTGGCGTTGAAAGTAGTGACGGTCATCCCAAGTAGCCCAAAAATCCCCCCCAAAGACCCCATAACCCCCAGCACAAAGCCCCGGGCCGGCGCGGCAAAGATCTCTACTGAGTATGTGATCAAAATAGCTAGTCCAGCATGCTGCGTGCATGAGAGAAGGCAGCTGAACGCGAACGCGGCACGTCCAGAGCGTGATTCTGGCGCAACAAGCATTAGTATGCCTGTTAGTAGGGCAATAAGGGCACCGGTCCGTGTCCTGCCGCCATATTTTGCCTTTACCAGAAATGCAGCGAAAATGGGACCGGGGATCCCGCATAGCGAGGCATATAGATACCTGCTATACAGGAAGCTTGTGGATACAGTTGTGGCCGTCACGGCTGAAACACCCTTGCTGGAGAGGTACAAGCGGAGATAATTCGGGTGGAGGACGAATGTCAGTCCGGTGACGCACCAAATGAGAGCAAGGATACCGGCGCGCAGACTTCCCCCTGTTGAGCTGATCAATACACGAAGACTAGATTGTGGAGATCGTTGAAAATCAACATCAACAGTCGAGTCAATTCGTGCAAACGATGCCTCGGAGAGCCACATGGTGTGGCGATTATACGACGCCATATCCTTGACTAGCTGTGTTGCCTCGGCATCACGACGCCGCGAGAGGAGATACTTTGGTGTTTCATAGAGAGGGAAACAAAAACGACAAAGGTAGAGAAAAAGGGTGATGCAGCCAAAGGTCCACCAGATGTAGCGCCAGCCTTTGTTGCTTACATAGTGGCAGCTGCCAGAGGATGAAGAGTGTACCGCTCGAGATTGATGGGAAATGGCTTGCTCTGTGCTGAGCTCGCCGGGACCGGTACCGCAGGTATATTCGCTAATGAATGGCCTATGGTAGTTAGCACTGTTAATAATTATAATCAGACGGGAAACAAACCATCCTACAGCTGCAGCCGCTAATTCTCCCAACCCCCAGAAAGCTCCCTGCAAACACACCAAAAACTGATGCGACGCCGGCACCCATTCAATGAGGATAATAGCATCGATTAACACATTCCCAGCCACGGCGAATCCTATCACGGAGCCGACGACACACAGCCCCGTAAACGACGGCATGCCCGCACCGACGAGACCACCCATCCCCATGAGCACCAAAGTACTGCTAAAGATCCACTTGCGACCAAGCCGGTCGGACATCCACGGCCATGAGACTGCACCAATGGTGAGCCCGACAAAAAGACTGATGAATAGGAAGGCTTCGCGGTCACCAGAGGAAGAGAAAAAGAACCTGGCCTCATTGGCGGCGGGTGGCGCGATGAGCTTAAAGGACATGAGCCAGAACTATTATGATTTATTAGTATAATCTCGGAAGGAAGGTATTTTAGAGCGAATATCAACATACGCTACTGAGAAACCAGCCAACACTGGTAGCAAGGACCAGGAACCACTGGTACCGTCCCATACCAAGGTCCTGAAGAGCTTGGCTCAGTAGTGCAGATTTAGCGGCGTAAACGGCATCTGTGCCTGGTTGAGGCTTGATTGGCAGGGTTATCTTCTGGCATGACCCTTCCGGTGCTGTCTTTTCAATGTCATTGATGAGAGTTGAGGCAACGGCACTCTGGGCCTCGATGCCCTCGGGCTGCTTGCCCAGCATGTTTGGAGATCAGTCGGTATGAATATGCTCAACGAGAGTATTGCATCCTCTCTAGCAAACAAGTCCAAAGAAGAGGACCCCGCTTTATAAGGATAGCCTTATCGGAGTAATTTGGAAGTAACGTAGGGGACATGGCCGCGGAGAATGAAGAGGGGTAACTGGCATGCTGTCTGGTTGATATATCAAACAATTGACACATAGGAAGAGAATTCATCCGCGAGTTCCGCGGAGATACTCTGATAGCATATTAGGCTAATAGGGCTAATTCGATTATGGATGTCCGAGTCGGAGGAGACTACCCAATCGGGGTAATCTGATAAGATTGGCCGTGGGACTAGCATTTATGTACACATAACTTTGAACATGGGCAAAATTCCTTGTATAGCTTACCTCAATCTCATTACAGTACCTTGAAAATGAAAGGACAAAAAGTCTCGGCACCTTCACTTCCTTGCATTCACGACAAACCCAGTTTTGTGAATCCGGGCCATAGTAACCAAAATACCACCAGCAGCCATACTAGCAGCAGCAAAACACTGTGCATACAGATAACTCTCACCACCACGCTGCACCAACGCACCCGCAATAGGGGAGCCCGTCAATGCCGCAAAACTGACTATGGTCAACACCATGCCGGTCCGAACCCCGATCTTACTCAAATCCACCGTCATCGAAGTCAGCGAGGCTGGGAATAGCGATTGCAAACTGGCAGAGAATATCCCATAAAACACTGCAAACGCGTATAGGTTGCTGGCTTGGACCACGCTTATCCAGCAGAAGAGGATTAAAGATGATACCAAGATAGTCGGGATAAGGAGATTGAGTGGGCCGGTATACCGGTCTGCGACAATATTGGGCAGAATCCGTGCTGGCATGCCGGTGCCATTCATGATTAATAAAAGACTGACGGAGGTGGCTTGGTTAACACCGATGATCTCCCGGGCGAAGCTGCCGATATAGAAAAAAGCGACGTACAACCCCCAGAAAGCGAAAAACATCCCGATACTGAAGAGCAGGTACGACATATCTTTGAAAGCTTCCCAATCCACGATCGGCCCACCTTTTCGCGGAGGCATTCTTGGTTTGAAGAAAATAAAATATGGAAGAAGCATCGACAGGGACAAGAGACCAAGAACACGCATGGTCCATGGGAATCCGATCCGTGGAAGTAGCTGCTCTACGACGGCAGGGAACACGAGACCTCCGGTGCTGGAGCCAGCAGCTGTAAAACCAATAGCCAAGGACCGATGCTTTGAGAAATACGTCGGTATCAAAGAGAGCATAGGACAGAACATAAGCCCGCTCCCTATACCAAGACAAAGGCCTTGTGACAGGAACAGTTGCCAGAATGTTGAAGACAATGAAGCTATGAAAATCCCAACCAAAACGAGGAGAGCTCCAAGGCCCCAGACAAGCTTGAAGAATACCGCATCTGATGCTCGACCGGAAAATGTTGCAATGGAGAAAAGGAGGAAGACTTGGACGCTTCCAATCCATGAAATTGCAGATGGACTCTCACTCAACATCTGATTGTAATGTGTTTGGAAGACGCCAAATGCGGTCACATATCCCCAGGTGTTGCAGACTGAAATGTGACCAGATTATCTGGCTCCAGGCTTCGAGGCCTCCGTCGGGTGGCGGTCCGCAGTTTTTACTGCTTGTGCGGGTCCAAGAAGCCATTTTCTGAGAGGAGCTTGAAGGCTCTATGGTGGAGTCCAAAGTATCGCTCGAATGGTGCCCTCCCTCAACGTCCAACGTACTTCCCCTCAGTTCCGTTTTGGGAGACATGATAGTTTCCGGTTTCTGGGACTGCAAATCTTTCCAAAGGTGCCCCAATTATTCCCTGTTTCTTGTCGAGAATACTGTTTCTAATGAACTGCTTAGTGTGTAAGCCTGCTAGCCGGGGCAATAGGGTGAAATACTTACAGTCTCCCTAATTGTCAAGGTATGTACCTAAAAGTCCGCTGAGAGCCTTTACAAATATCGCTCGATTTATTCTCTCATAAGCAGTGGCGGTAGTTTTTTCTCTCTTAAAAGTGAATGCACAATATGGAAACAGACCCTGTTCATGACGACGTTTGATCATTGTGGACATTAACAAAATTTAGGCATTGGCGAACCGGATATGGCGGATTTAGCGGGACAAAAGCTGAAGATAGTGGACTGGCAAAAGTCCGATTGGTATTCCGGGGCATTGCATTTTACGTAGGGATTATTTGTAGTAGTTTCCTATGTAGAAAGCAGGATTGAGATGCGAAATTAGAGGAACTGTATCGGGCTTTTGCGCATTCTGCTCTGTGGCATGATTTTCCTGTCTTAGCACGGTCTAAAACACGAAGCTCAGTGGCTTCATGCTGAAGATGCGACCAAGGATACCTATAGTATTTTTTGATTTCGCTAGAGCATTGTATACTAGAAGTAAATAAAGCTTTGGAGAGGGAAGACAGAACGAGAGAAACCGGCAACTTTCTGTCTATAATGATCTATTTACATAACCCAAATAACCGCTCAAAACGACATATATGATTCATCATCTCTTAAACAGCTGCATCATAACGTGACTAGTCCGAGTTACGTACTTCTCCTGCTCTTGATGATCTTCTGGCAAAAAACTCCCGTCTCCATTCGCAATCATAGCTTCCGCAAGAGTGCAATTCGCAACCTCCATAAACCCAAGCTGCTCATAAAACCCTAACGGAGCATGAGCTCCTGGCTTGACCATGAGGCGGAATCGGACATTTTCCGGCTCGGATCGATACGAACGGATGTAATTCAAAGCTTCTTGGCAAAGTTTTGTTGCAATTCCTTTGCCTCGATGTGAAGTAAGCGTATACAGGCCCAGCATTTGCCATCGTTCCTCCTCTTCATCGGGACCGGGAACTGGCTGTCTTGATACTTCTGGAAGCATGAATTGCTCTCTGCTTCGTGGACCGAGTAATGTTACTTGGGCGACCCATTCGAGACTGCTCGGGTCCGAAACATTGGATGCCGGAGATGGGGTCGCGGCGCAGATAAATGTCTCTCTTCCATCCCCGGTTACACGTGACATCCAATATTCGTTAGGGAATCTAGATTCGATTTCGTATGAGGAACCAAATGAGGAAGGTGAGAGTTGCAAGGCCCGGAGACGCAGTTCCTTGTACCGTTGGGCTGATGTCGTGAGGTTCTCTGTTTTGGAGACCCGGAAGTAGGTATATTGGTAATCCGATGCCATTATCATAGATTTATAGAACAGAAGTGAAGTTGAGAAAAACACGAGGGAAAGAGGAAAACGTGGAATTTGAATTCAAGAGATGTGGGTCCCTGCCAGGGCAAGGAGAATTAAATCCACCATATCCGCTACATCCGATCCTTCAAATCCGCTGTATGCGAAGGGCGTGGCAGATTAACGTACAATATCACCTTAGCGCTGACATATCGGGGTGAGTCAATTTGGATATTTTTGTACTTATTATGCCTTTAGAGAAGATTTGTAGAATTTTGCTCAATCTCTGAAACAACTGGATTTAAACCATTTCGCAAATATTGAAATGAGAAGAATACTACACGATTTGAAGCCATCCTACGAGCACTCGAAGTCTTACGTAGAGTTCTCCCTACCAAGCTCGCAGCATGATCTTCCATGCATTTACCAGACGGGTGACCAGATAAAAGGCGACATATTTTTCAAACCATGTCGAGATATAATATTGAGGAATGTATGCATTACTTTCGAAGGTACGACCCCTCGGGATGTCGATGCTATAAATATTGTTGCTAATGTGTTGGGAATTTGTATAGGAATCACTAAAGCAACGATCTGGGAACCGAATATCGAGACACGAACAGGCTGTCCTTGCACCACTCAGAGATTCATGCGACTTAACCAGCCCGTTGACGAGCCGTTGTTGTCGGAAGGGATGGTGTTAGAACCAGGAAGAACATACCGACTACCGTTCTTGTTCGTGGTTCCTTCAGGGCTACTGCCGCAAGCGTGTCAGCATCCGTGCGAACACACTGAAATAAAGTGCCATCATCTAAATCTACCGCCAAGTCTTGGCCTGGGATTCTATCCCAATCCCAAGGGAAAAAATCGCTTCTCGTCCAGCCTAGAGCCTGATACGGCATCAATTGCCTATGCCATTCGATTTACAGCCATCGAAGTCAAGCGAGAGACGAACCTACCAATCACCTCCGTCGACAGAGCACACAAGATCCATGTCCTTCCAAAATTGCCTGAGATGCCGCCCATACTTATCCCTGGCGACAACACAACCTATCAACTGTCGAAAGTGATTGCCGTCAAACAGCTCAACAGGGAGAAATTGGGCCGTCTCACTGCGACGGCAAGCCAGCCGAAAGCTATTCAGCTCGGCCAAATCCACTCTCGGCCCATGCAACCCACGCCAACAATGCTGGCTATCAATTTTGAGTTTCTTTCTGTAAATCACAATCGGTCTCCGCCAAAACCAAAGAAAATCCAAAGCAAGCTGAATGCCGTAACTCATTTCGGCATTGAGCCGTATGAAGATCTGCCCGACCGAATTCAGCAGAGATATTTGTATCCTCGTCATCGTTCATTTTGCCGAAATATTACACTTTCATCCCCGGATATCATATCGGTGCATTGGGTAAAGCAGTGTTCAGAAATGGACGGAACTGCTTCCGGCGAGAATAAAAACGTTGTATATACAGCATCTATCTCCTTGCCGATCGTACTACCCGAGAATGTGGTATATACCCCAACCTTCTTCTCCTGCCTGGTATCCAGAACGTACTCGCTAAGGGTCGATGCCTTCTTTAACAAAGTGCCATTTATGTCGAAAGTCTCATTGACGATACCCATCCAAATCTGCTCGGATATTGCCTCAGAGCAGAATTGAGACACATAAACTTGTTAGTAATATCGTATATAGTCTTTTCAAAGAAATATATCAACATTCTCCGAACCAGTAGAGTACTCCGGAGCCGAAGTACGAACGGCTTGCGTCGGAGGATGATCATCTGGGAAAAAGACACGTGATATTGCTTATCAATCAGGCATTAAGGCACAAAATGAAAATCCTATTGCGTACTGTTGACCACAGAGAGCTGTCTTTCTAAGATGATAATATAAGAGCTTTCAAATACTTATAAATAGGAATGTCTGCTAACTCAGAAATCGAGCCTTTTAACCCATTGAAACGACAGCGACGCTCCAGGGTCGCCTGCGAACCGTGCAGGGAGCGTAAGCGAAAATGTAACGGACGTCAACCATGCGAGACATGCAATGACTTCCAATACACGTGCTATTATGATGTGGCCTCACGCAAGAAAAGAAACAAAAATTTCATTCTGGATGGCTCAGCACCGATCAGACCAGCAGCACAGGCGCAGCAGCAAGGATCGTCAATATCAGATGCCGCAACACCATCGACGCATTCTGCGGAAGAGCCGCCTGCAAGTATGCCGGCTACACAGTCTATTGAATCTAACTCAGGGGCTGCTTTTGTGAGGGAGTTGGGTCTCAGAATTGACCCAATCAATGCTCCAGAGCCTCAAGTCTTCGCGTGGAATATTGGTCTACGTCAATTGCCCGGTAGCTTTTCCGCATTGCCTATTACCAACATCATTTCGCAGGACGAGATGGTAGAACTAGCGCGGATTTACTTCAGTAAGGTAAATCCTTATTACGGCTTCATCGACCGAGATACCTGCTTTGAACATCTGAGTTCGAGGTGGCTTCGGTCGTCGACCTTTGAACCATACGATGTTGTTCTCTGTGGTGTAGCGGCAATGGGGTATCTGTTTTCTCAGAAGAAAGCAGTTCCTGCGGAACTTCGCTTGATTGAGTCGGCCCGGTCAGACCTCGAACAGTGCTCGCTGTACGGGATACCTTCTTCAACGGTGATCTCAGGATGGACTCTCAGACTTTCCTACATGCGGCTGACAGCCTCGCCCCACACTGCTTGGATGGCTAGCTGTTCGCTATTACATCTTATCGAAGCATCTGGGTTGCACTTAGACCCGTCGTCCAGGCCTGTCCTGATAAAACCGCCACAAGATATCAATGACGACATTCGAAGGAGGCTAGTTGGCTTTGTACAGTACATCAACACTTGGACATCGTTCGATCTAGGAAGATCAAGAATCATCCTCCATGGAGCATCATATAACGTACCGGCGAGCCGAGAGGGCGACTATACAGCTGAAATGCTCAACCTCCTGCCCCTATCAGAGAATCTAGACCCACACAAATCCGTTGATTCTAACCAGCTGACCACCATGCTCTCCAATATAATTGAGAACAACCGTACGGAACAGCCGTCAGTGCTTTCCCAATGTAACCTCGTTCTCTGTATCTTCCGGCGCCTACGTGCATTACATTCGACTGTGTCGGTGGATCTTATGAGTCGTATTCTGACTCTTATCACAAAATCGCTCGCCTGCGCCCGGGATATGGCGGATGCAAATTGCCCATGGAGCCATGTGGCCAACGTTCCATTCCAAATTGTCTGTACGCTGTTGGCAGTGGACAGCCCCGAGTCTATATCGCTATTAGGCGATGCCATGCAGACTCTCAAACATGTAGCGGACATATATGACACCGATACGATGAGAGAAGCCTATCGGAACGCTGGTCTACTTGTTCTTTTACAACAGAAGAGAAAGGACCATGATGCGAGGCAACTCAGCAGCGTTCTTGATTTGCATTTTGCTCCTCCTGTTGAGTCTAACAAGGAAATCCCGGAGAAGAGGCGGCAAAGTACCATGGAAGATTCTGAATATCTCAGGGACATGGTGGCTGATATGCCTAGTTCTGAGACTTTTGATTTTGATCAGTTTTTTATTGCGGATAATCCTTGGGATTTTCTTGGGTCGATTGCTGGATGAGATCTTGTTTATATGGATTCTTATATCGATATTTGGTTACGATTGTACATACCTGTCTCGCTAATGAAATAAAAACGCCACTCTTTACTCACGCATCTAGAAATTATGAAGAGAGATGAGAATCATAATATTCAACGAAGTTCTACATAACCCGCTTCAACGATCATTCCTCAGACTCTTGATATGACCAGAGCTTTGTTACAACTGCCTCTTAACTTCGTCCCTAGCCAGTCCAATGAAATTTCCCTGAAATTGCGGCTATTCCCACAGGCAGTCTCATATCCCTCGGGCTCGACCATACTATCAACCAGCAGCACACCTTGGTCTCGAAACAGCGCGAGCATCTGCCCAATGCGTGGCAAGCGCTACAAGCGCTATGAGTGCTTAGCGGAGGAAGAAGGGATCTTTGTTCTCCCAACTGTATTGAGCGAGCAAATGGAGGAAAAGACAAGAAAATAAATAAATAAATAAATAAATAAAGCAAAAACATACAACAGCCAGGATTTGCTGGTGGTCACCCTCCTACTAACCGGCTGGCGTATGGCTTGTGTGCGGTCAGTAGCCGGGTGGGTGCCTCTAAAGGGTACGATATTCTAAGGCCACTCACCCCGGTGTAAACCCCTGCGCATATTACGGTGTTACTAGGAGTCATAGTTAGACCTTGGCACAGCCCGCCCGTGAGCACCTAGAAGCTGCCCGTAGCCCGTCCATCAGAGCCCGGGGCAGGGCGAGGGAGCCCGCAGCCCGCCCGCTGGGCCTTAACGGGCGGCCCGCTTCCTCCCATTTCGTACATAATTTTCCCAATTAGGATGTATAACCCGATGATTCAGCGAATAAAATGCTAATATCGGCATTCATCTGCCTGAATTGTTTACTTTCACCATCATAAAGAATAGGTGAATCTTAAGAACTAATGGAAGTCTTAAACTCCTGAGCAAGCTTCGGAATCCTCGAAAGACCCAGGGTCAGGGATGACCGGGCCGCCCTGGGCTATAGCGGGCAGGTTGCATTATCATTTACTCATAACTGGAGGAGTATAGAGCGTGTGGCAGTCTCGAACAATATAAGTTTATTGGTAGACTCTATCGAAATGCTAGCATGGAGAAGGAAAGAAAGAGGCTGGGCCTGCCAGCGCTGCGCTATCTAGTGTGCGAAGGGGGTTCCTGCCCTATATTCAAACATGCCAAAGTATACAAACATCTTGCGTTGTTGGTGAATGCCCGTACTCCGTGAAAAAAGATACAGTTTCTTGATGACCTTGATCAAATCAGTGATAATGAGGAAAATGAAATAGTACTTACCCAGGAACAGCCGTTTTCTCCGGGTGTTTCTGCCGTGCTGCAGGGAAAAGGCGAAAGAGTGTTGCTCCTGGACCAGAAGAAGAGCCCTGGGAATCTGTTCAATCTAATGATGAAGCTTATATTCCACTGCCTGATACTCAGCAGTAGAGTGTCACCGGCAGCCCCGTGCACCCAATCAACTACACTTTTCCATATACTTTCAGGGAGCGACTGTCATGTTATCGGAGAATCTCATCCTTCTCGTTTCTTTCGTAGCAGCCACCACCACACTATTAGATCTGGATAAACGTTTAATATAAAGTTCCAATCGGAAGCAGCCCGCGATTGCCAGTGATTTACTAACGCGAAAAAGAAAAATTATGACAAATATATTTCTTACGGCTTGGGCACGGCACATACATGCACCCCATAACGGCAATTCCCCATATCCCGAAGGATTAGATCAGTTAAATTCTCGCGCCTGACTGTTTGCTGTTTTATTCCTCTTCGTCCTGCCATTCATGATTTGCCTTAGGATTGGTAAATCCCTGCTAAAATTGACCTGCCGATGGCGATTCTCCTGTGCTGAGAATGAGTGACTTCTACTTGATTGACAGCCTAACTTGGCTGCCGGAGATTTACTTTTGCTTTTTTCCGCTGGTTCCTCTGCTTATATAAAAGAAATCTCAAGTAGACACCGCGGCATCACGGCAGGGATTGTCTCATTTTCTTCCTTATGTCTGTTCAGTTTCCTGACTCCTTGTCATATTATCATTGTATCTGATAATATCAGCGTTGACATCAGAGTTGCGAAGTGAAGGTAGACCGTTTTGTTGTTGCAACTTGCGTGACCCTTAACCGCATGACCTGCCGCCACTCGGCCTACAGGGCTGAAAGATGCGTGTATGGACAATAATAATAATAATAATAATAATATGTATCCGAAAAGAATGCTACGCCACCAGACAAACCTGATGGGATGAATTGGAAAGAGAGACCGCCAAATAAATTGGACTTAAATATCACGAAAAAACACTTATAATCTCGATTGAAGACAACAGGCTAGTATAACAATCCCTGAATATCTAAATGCGCATCCTCTGCAATACCAATTGCACATCGCTCCTATCAGACCAGAGGGCATTGGCTTGATTTGTGGAGGACCGAGCGAAATAATCCAAATCACTGACTGCAATATCATAGACGCTCGTAAATATCGGGGACTGGTCGAGTTGACGGATCTGGGAAAGTGGGCGGGATATAGTTGAGACCACCAGAATTTTCTCCTCCCGGAACAACACCTAGATTACGTCCCTTAGAATTGTTGTTCTCGAGTCTTGAGTTGATTTTATCCTCAAGAGCTTTTGTCAATTCTCCAGGAGAAGGATGTGTGGGTGAATTGGCTCCTGTGGCTTCCCAGATTTTGGCGAAAACGGCTGACAGATGTGAAGTTAGCGTCATATGTTAGTAGATCGAGAGCCAGGAGGCGTACGCACCGATAGTTGCCTTACGAACTGGAGAAGAAGCAGGCGCCACAGAAGAAGCTACGTTACTGATGAAACGACACTGTTGGGGTTTGCTGAGGGTGTCCCAATGCTCTCGGCATTGCTTGTAATCAACGTCTTTCACTTCGCTGAGGTACCTGCTGATCTTGCCTTGCCAATTCAAGAAGCTTATATTGTAGTGATCCGGTTTCTTCAGGTCGCGCTCTCTGCTCCCGATGTAATTGGGTGCATTCGCATAGTTGGTCATGTTATGAGCCCCGTTACGTCTAGTGGGATCGTAAACATACGAACAGGCTCGGTTCGGAGGCAGCTGGTCATGATTAGCACCTAAGCGGTATCGCTGTGAGTCTCCATATGAGAGCAGGCGGATTTGGAGGACTATATTGGAGACTCGTGTTAGAAACAGTGACACAGTAGGCAAAGCGGGTAGGGAGCAGGATACATACTCGGATCAGGAGAAATGTCCCAACCAGGGACGATATTTGCCGGAGTAAACGCTGCCTGCTCCACCTGGGCGAAGGAGTTCTGCGGAAGTTCGTTGAGCTTGAGCTGACCAAATTCGAACCATGGGCAATCAGACGCCGGGACCACCTTCGTGTCGTCCAAAACATCCACGGAAGTTTTGGTTGGGTCGAGGATTTGTGCAGAGACCTTCCACGTTGGAAATTGCCCCTGCTGGATCTCATCGTACAGACGACGGGTCAGATAGTCAGGATCCTTCCCAGCCATCGTCGTGGCCTCATCATAAGTGAACCAATCTTTGTCGGGGTCGATGGGATTTTTCGGAACTAGTTTGATTCTGACCAAATGGTGATCCCATTCAGTTTTCTGAATCATTTTTATGTCAGCTAGCGACTAACAGCTCCATGGAAGAGAATGATCATACGCTCTTGCGCTTGGTAAATGTGTAAGTGTTGACGCTGGAAATGACAAGTCTGGAATACGACTTGGGCGTTCCCTCATCCGTGTAGTTTCTCATCAATGCGTTGAAAGTTTCCGGGTGGCTACTGAAAAAGCTTTTGTTTGTAACTTGTTAGTTAACATTCCCGTATAAGAGAAGAGATCGCCTTACTCCCATAACTACTTGAGTGTCAGTATCGAAACAAAGGAATGAGTCATGACAAGAGAAGTCATACCATATTGGCATCCAACAGATTCGTAGCTGGGTCACGCTTCTTAGCATGTACTAGAGAAGCAAACTTCGCGGGATCCCTGAGATTGAAAACCTCCTATTTTGACTCAATTAGCGTATGATTTTGTACTAGGCACATATAGAATACTTACGGGATTAAGGAAGACCCAGTCCAAATTGCCTTCTTCGGTGTAGAACTTGAAAGCTGCTCCCTTCGCATCCCGGACGGTATCCGGATAGCCCAACTCTCCAGCAATGGTAGAGAACCGTGCAAGAAGCCGGGTAGTCTTGGACTTTCCTTCACTGTCGGGCTGAAGGAAGCTGGCATCGGTGTATTTCGCAATGTCCTTGTTGGTTACTACAAACTCCCCAAATACACCTACACCTTTAGCATGAACTATTCTGCGCGTTTCACGAAATTTGTTAGTCTTTTTACTTGGTGACCTGGAAAGCGGAAGCAACTCACCGTTCCGGGATCCGTTCGCGGCTGATGTGAGCAATTTGCTCAACAGTGTTCAGGTCTTGTATCAACTGAGAACCATAACGGGTACTGCCATCTTCTTTGTCGACTCTTTCGGCCAAAAGGGGATGTTCCACCGGACAGCCTGGAATGATGAAGTATATTAGAGAACCGTCTCTGGCAAAGGTTAGAGGAAGTAGGGGCAAATTAGCCTCACCATTGGGCAACGTGAAGTAGCCTTTACTGACAGGAGGGCCAGGAAGCCTGCCAGCATCACTACAGGCTATAGTGGGATGAGCTGTTTGTACAAGTTATTAGTTGGGATTGAACTAGAAGGCTGGACGTGTAGTTCATACCTTCATGTGTGTGAACAGCCTTAGGCCTTTCGGCAACACTCTGGAACACTGTTAGTACTGCCTACCCTATCATTGTCAGATAGAAATGCATACATTTGGTTCAAATGCCATGGCTGACGATCCAGGAAGTAGCCGGTTAGCTTCGTTGGTATTTGTAAGAGAAATGATTTCGCTTGGACTTGACAGGAGTTTGACCTGATTTTGGGACGCTTTTATATATTCTCCAGGATCATCAATGACGAAAGTAGACAAAAGTACAAACGATGTTCCTACCGATATAAATGCCGCATATGTTGCATCTAATCGTATAGTGTACACGCTGTCTTGTGATGTGGCCATTGACTAGCAGGACTGCAGCGAATATTCAGATTCTACAGATTCTACAAAAATGACTTGCCTCATCGGGTACGATGTGTCATTTGCGGTCCGTGAAATTACACCTGCCTGCATTGAAACCAGCCTCTCATCGTTTAGCATTTACTACACAACCAGGCTGGTATGCTGCTCGTGCATAAGGATGGGCCAGAATATCCTGTTTAACACGTTTTTTCGCGGTCAGGCCACAGCTTCAGCAAGCCACCCGCCACTCGAATCTCAGGAATCAAGCCAACGATGTTAGAGGAATTGTCAATTGCATTTGCAGCATCCGTACTGCGGTGCTGGGAGGTAGCATTCTGTTGAAAGTACCGCATGTGTAGCGCTGATCAAATCCGCATGAAATCACCGCTATTGTGAGTTGAAGTCCCTCACGCATCCATTACTCTTTGAACCAGTTAGCTGGAGTGCAACGACTGGATGCTGGTCTTGTAATCTATTAACTGGGCTTCCGTTTTTATGCAGCCGCCCAGATGCAAAAGTATCCAAGTACGGACAGCTTGGCAAAAGGTCAATCCGATGCTCCTTTTGTAATCATTTAGGCAATTGCCTGAATCAGGTTGGTGTGCAACAGAGTGTCTATGTACTGCATAGTTGGGTGCACCTGTACAAAACAGACGAATGAGCAAATCCGGGATTCTTCTCCAGTCTCTACGTTATTGCATGGATGCAGGCCTATAACGTCTCCATAAGCTGCAGAACAGCAATTAGGTTAATGATGTCGAGATGAATAATCAGCTTTATAGATGACAATATATATATAACTATATATTATGCTGATTTGGGTTTTGGCGATGTCTAGTCACAGTTAGATTACCTCAACCTAATGATGTGAATTATTCAACCAATAGATTTTCTTACAATTACATTACTATTTAATACTTCCAAGAAGTGCATAAATTATGTCGACAAGGGATCGTCAAATTCGCACTGTTTACATATCCGCACAGGTATGATGATCAAATGCTATCCAAATCTGCAAATTTGCGGATTTTTGATATGTATAGTTTGGATATTTTGCGGATCGTGCACAGCCTAGAGATGATTGGTTAAATTGACGCGCCATTGACAAAGAGTTTTTCAGCTAAACTAGTGTACACAGTACATGAATTGGTCAAGGAAGGACCTTCTAAGGTCAATGACCTAGAGTGATGCGCGTCGGGTGATTTTCAGGGCACCCTTGACTAATCCATTGGCTATGGAAGATGCTTAGCCAGCAGGGTAAATGCTATCCACAGACCACTTCTTCATCCTGTGACGGACCATGCCCCATTTTTCTCATACATGATGAGGTCACACTCCTCCTATCAGTGCGTTCTAGAAAGGGCATACATACTCAATATTCCAGCTCATCTACTCTCCTATCAAAGATACATCAATACACAACTTTGTCCTCACCGACATTTGATTACCCTCATCTTATCCATGCAGCTTAATCATACTGAGAATTTAGGCACTGGTGAGGTTACAGTGGGATGCATCAAATTACATGCGGTGCAAATACTTGATGCATCCCACTGTGAATACCCAAACCAGGCAGCAAAACTAGACCTCTACAAGCCCGCGGCGGCCCGTCATGGACTGCAGGCTCTGTCAAGAACAGAAATGACGGACCCCCACTGCGTTCAGGCTTTATCTGGCCGGAGCCTCAGATACATGATAGGGCCAACAGTTTCCAAGAATTTTCCCTTTACATGGAAACGTATATGGAACCAGAAATCTCTAGACTGTTCTCACCTAATGACACACTTCTAGTGATTGCGAAGATATAAAGCTAATCCTTCTCAGTAGACTTTGCCGAGACGCTCATGAGGGCCTTGAAGGTTGGACCCTCGACCCTCGACCCTCGCCGAACCCCGTGTAGGTGACCCTCGCATACCCTCCTCATTTTCATAAAAATTTGCGCGCTTTACTCAACTTGGATGCATAAAAATGATGATTAATCTTGATACAGAACTGTTATTTACACTGTAACACGTTACACCTGTTCTGGTACTCTGGATGAAAGGTATTGTATGAGCCGGGAAAATAAATACATGCCAATAGCCAATTAGAACCATCAAACCAGGGGTACGCAATGGAATGTGTGAAAGTCCGCCCCAAGGGATGTGAACATACTTCATACTGTCGCATTAGTATGGTTAAATCAGTGAAACATGCAAAGGAATATGGAGACGTTAATGCTCCGCCTTCACGCTTGGGGCGAGGAAAACAGATTCCGGCGGCAGGAAGGAAAAAGAAAGAAGCAAGGGAAGGGAGATAAAAAGTGACCATTTCTAATCAACGACGTAGTTTTGTTTATGTCTTTTTACGCTTAAACGTGTCACTTTCGTCTCATCTGACTGGCTCGACATGGGGTGCACTACGCATCTTCGTCCTTGTTCTGGATGGCATGGATCAAGCCAGGGTATCTATACAGTAATAATAGCCCCTGACTCTCTACTATACGTGGGGATCAACATTCCATAAATGGAAGCGCAAAGAACCATATCCCGTCTGTCCATCTCATTTATAGATAATCAAAGGAGGCTCTGCAGACAACAGATAAGAGAAATATGTTCGCATCGCCTTGGGAAGCGGATCTCGAGTTTTTAGACATGCATTGAATGGGAAGCTGGATGGCTGTCAAGTGAGGCCGTCAGTGTATTGATGCCAGTTTGTGGTAGTATAACTTCCAGTATATGAGGCCGATCAGGTTCACATTCCATTTCGCAAGGCTTGACTTTCTTAGTCCCTTGCTCTTATTCTCGTATATATTTCCTTTCTAGTGATGCCCGCATTGGATGGGGCCCTGGCTTCGACCTGGAAATAGGTCCGAAAATAACCTTGTCACCGCCGACCAAGGTCGTCTCTCGTCCCTTCTTAGCTTCAACAGAAGGTCCACCTCTTTACGGGACTATGGTATAGCCTTCCTGGAGCTCCCATGGGACTCACGGCAATAAGGTGGGTGAGTCAAGGGACTTGCTGACCGCACATCTCTGTTCCCGGATGGTATCGAATCAGATCTAGGAATGTGACAAGATAGTGCGCCTTCCAACACCCAAGGCAAAAATTGCAAACATTCATCAAGCGGTAGAGACAGGAAGTGTGAACGAAGCACCGAAAATGAATCTTCCCCTGCAATAGATGGAGAGAGACCTCGAACCCATTTGGGCGACTGTTCGTGCGATTGCTGCGGCTTTAGCTTGCGAGATTTAGGCTTTCTGCCGCCATGCGAGGTATAAAGAGGGATCTTAGAGGAAGAAATACCGGCTTCAGTACCGAGGTAGTAGTGAGGCAACTGCTGATGACCCTTGGTGTGAGGGGGGCTAGTTGATCTAGGATTACCGTCCTGCCTCTGCGCGATGGAGTCTTGCTGGTCAGGTGCATCGCAGAAAACGGGTGGGGGGTCTGGATATGGACATATCATCTCCGAAACTGTAGGACTATCAATCTGCGGATACCCTAGCTCCACGACACCGTCAAAGGTCATGGGAAGCTCCCAATCAAACGCGTTCTCTCATTGATTGTATTGTTGAATTGCAGGAAGTTAACCACATTATTTTCCAAACTATTACAATTCTTTCTACCATGAGCCAGGCTATTTGTATCCAGCAAAATACTTGTCTACACGCTGTAACGGTATCATTGGTCGATTCTAAGTACAGCTGATTGGGGTCTTATAACCCTTGAACAATATATCCATGCTCATTTATAATATTTCAAAAGCAGAGTAACGACTGTTTCTCTCCATACCTTTATTATGCCTCTCCATATGCTGCATCAAGTACAGCGCGTTCCAATTCAAATGTATCTGATCTGCTTCTTCGTTGTTCGCGTCCTGTACCTTAATGGGAATTTCGATCATTCCGAGCCGGTAGTAAACATTGCCCTGGCTTTCTGCACTGACTAGTATCATTGCCTGCAGAAAGTAGATGGTCGCGTATAGAGGTACCAGAAATAATGGATATCGAGATGTCATGCTTTTAACTATCTCGTCCTCTTCAATGTCAATTTCAGCACCAAACAATTCATCATCTTCACTGAAGCAAAGCCCGAAATCAACAAGCATAACACTCTCGATAGACTTTTCTGACCAGTTCACATGCAGCGGAAAGAGGAAGGATTCAACCTTGATGGAACTGTATGTATGTGGTGACATATTTGCATTAGCATACACAGCACCCTCTGGAAGCATAGAGTCCTCGGCTATACGGACAACTTTGGCGAAACATTCCCGATTGCCAGGTGTGATTGTCGGAAAGCACACCTCACCATCAAAGGACGCCCACGACCAGCTCGGTGCGTGAAATTCAGAAGAGCCGGTATTGGAATAAACGCGTTCAGGGTCGTGAATCCGGAACCAGGCCAGGCCATACACCATGCAACTTTGCCACATGCCAGCCAGATACCGATCTGCCGGCCGACTCTTTGCGACACATTTTGCGATCCCCGACAAGGCAATTAGCTTATCCTTTGTAAATGTAAATTTGCATCTAGAATAATCCTCAATCAGGCAGTTCCACCATTCAGTGAATCGTAGATCCGCAGCAGGAGAAGGTATCAGCAGTCCATTTTGCACAATCTGTGCTTGGGATAGAACTGCTTGAGAAGCTTTTCTTAGGGCCTCATGGTTACCTGGCTTGCTCCTAGATCCCACCGTCAACGACGGTGGTAATCCGTCAGGAAATGCTTCTATGGCTTCAGACGCCTGGCATTCCCATCCCATCTGGTACTGTCCAAAGTGGAGTACTCTGCATGCCAAAAATCTTTCCTGGAACACCCATCCTCTGCTGTTGAGAGGCCCGTCGCTTATTTCATTATGCCAGAAATTGCTGTTGAGAACATACTGCTCCTCTCTATTTCCACGCGCATTTACGCTAATTCTGGGAGGGAGAGACGGTGTTTGCGAATGGTGGTGATGAAAAAGTGACTCTGTTCCATTCTGAGACGATGTCGCAGATATATTTAGGAATGCGTGTGAATACACTTTGTCCATAGTGAGGCACTCGTGATCCCAGTCTGAGTGGTCATCCTCATCTTGTATGATACATAAGGAGTCTATCCACAAATATTCCACTCCCAGTTGACGGGTTAGGTCTATTGTGTCTTGAAAAACCCGAGGAAGTCGCTGAACGTTAATCCCCCGCTGGAATTGAGAGAATGTCGAGGACCGCAACATTGGGAAACGATGTGCGTGTGGTGGCCACCGATGACTAAGGGTTATATATGGGCCCTTGATAGGAGTGTCTTTGGTGATTACCAGTCTGACGCCAGTGGGGAGTCTTCCCGAAGCCACGCGCAGCAGTCGGGTCGGATACCAAGGCTGAGATAGGTGGTTCGTACATCTCCTGTGATTTCTGGTGCAATTATCAATCCAACTTTTTATAAGGTCGAGGTCCAACGTCACAGGTCGATGCCTCGAGGCGATATTTGTCGAATGAAAAAAGTCTGCCATCAATAGATTAGCTTGAACCCATCAGCTGTGACATAGTACCCTGATTGTTTTTTACCTTCTTCTGACATGAAGTCCAAGCCAATCACACAGCCATAGTCGTCGACCAACTCTCCCCGAAAAAGAGGGATGACTTCAACCTCGCAGGGTAGTAAATGTCCCGGGTTGCGCGGCCCATCTTCCATCGTCGCCGAAGATGATAGCTTGAAAATTACCGTCAATGGCGAGCCTCGCCATTTCTTGAACAGTGTGGGATGTGTATCTTGCACCCAAGAAATGAACCTTTTGCACATCCAGCACAAGCGTTTGCATAGCTGGGGATAGCGGGGTAGCTCGCCTTGGACATATTCCCTGATCCCACAGTTGAGAGTGTCCTGTATTTTTCGGGTACAGTCATCGCAAAGTTCCATAGCCGGAGAAATATTGTACTGAAGAAGACCGCTTGGAATGCTGCATTTTGGGGTGGCCGGGATACAACAGACCAGATAGTCACCTTGGGTGTTCAACCCCGCATGCAGGACTTATGCACGCTTACTAGTAAGCATTGGACCATATACACAATGTCTGTATCTCCCTTTATTGAGACTCCGACTGATGCACAGAATTGTATTGCTTGCAAGCTTTATTTTTTAAGGGACAAGATGAAGCTTCAGTCGGTTGAGCTCAATCCAGCCTACAAGAACACAACAGAGATCACTTGTCATTGTGTTTACAGCAACTTTGAGCCACCCCCTGATTGCAATGTGATTTAATATGAATGGGCCTCTGGCAGAAACTATTGCAACATCAATCTCAATGTATCAACCAGCAAGATTCCAACTCATCTCTTCGAGGCGTCTCATTCCCTGCGATGCCATAACAGAAAAAGGCTACTTTGGGTCGACGGATTTGGCTTAGATAAAGAACTCCAGAGCTGTACTTGCTCATGAAGATATTTTTTCAGAGCAAAGTCTGTCATCATTTGGCTGGGAAGCAGAAATTTGTTCACCAAGACCGCCTTTGAGATCATGAAATTCCTGGCATATATTGGTCAGGAACGGATTTGTGGTGATATGAAGGACCAAGGCATTTATAGGCTTTTTTTTTTTTTTTTTTGAAGGAGTGGCCTAGCTACAGCTCCTTCTTCATAGACACAGATGATATTCCCTACATCCACGGTCTTATGAGCCAAAAATGTATTACTTACCACGCCGTCCCTCTTCCGATGACCATATTATCTTCAAGTTTGATGAGGACATAGTTTGGAGATAAATTAATGGAATTTTCTCCAACTCTTACTTTAGTGAAGTGACCGTTCGTGGAAAAACATAATATGCCATGGCCAATCTTTAGGCCACATACCAGGGGCATGTGACTTTAGCTTTCAAACAATCTGTGCCATCCGGTGCAGATGCCTGGGGATCCAACACCTTGGCTGCGAGGGACGCCCGAGAAAGGTTTAGAAAGCAGGATTCCTCAAATTTTGCCCAGGTGTTGACCATCCTTAAATATTCAAAGAAGGTTAGGCCGCATGCTTATGTCTATGCTGCCTTGAGACTTGCTATACTACCACCAAACCATCAATTACTTGAAAACCAGTACAAGCAGACCATAAAAGAGCTCTATCAACGTTGCCTCTCTCATTATCAATAACCGGGGTGACCTATACTTATGGGGCAACAAGTCCATACTCGGCAAGAGAACCCCCGAGATCCCTACTTGGATTTCCTGAATGGATTGGTCACACCGATCATGTTGCAACAAAATATCATAACGTCACTTTCAGCCAAATAATTTGAGGGAATCACTCAATCCGCGGGGCTGTCCTCCATGTGGATGCTCATAACCTTGGTACCATAGAGTTTTGCTGCCTGTTGCTCTCGTGAGGACATTACACAAGTTGTGAGCAATCTGGAGCCATTTTTCGAGCAAGAAGGCCTCAACCTCCTCAGCCTCCTCAGTGGGTATATCAGCGAGGACCTCAAACTAAAACGGGGTGAAAACTTGAGTGGCGTTACTTCAGAATATCCACGACTTCTCAGCCTCGCCAATATATTTGCAATTATTAGCACACCAACAAGCTGTCCCAGTATGCTTTTGCAAACCTTATCCAATGTGGGAAAGTTGAACGTTGATAATTTCGAAAACAGTATGTTGGATATCGAAGCTTTTTGTTTGACAATGAATCTTACAGCTATGCTGTGTTCGGCAAAGCCAAGTCCTTGCGGAGAGCAACCATTCCTTGCCTGACTTTGGATATCAGGATTAAAGCAAAAAACAAAACAAAAAAAAAAAAAAAAAAAAAAAAAAAAAAAAAAAACAACCTCAATGTTGCAAACATCGCGGAGGGCTACGGACATTGGATCTTTGCATTTTTAGTGATGAGGGCCAATGATTTCACCCGAGACCTTTTGGTAAATCTCTGCACAGAGCATCTCAGCCGCTCTTCTCATTTTGATCTTGAGGATGAATGTGTCTTTGTAACTAGAAAAGGTTATTTCGGGCGTTCAAACTTAGGCAAAGTCAGGGAAGACCATGTAGTTGCAATCATTGGGGGTATGTATGTATTATATATCCTTGAGAAACAGGATAAATATTATGCATTGATGAGCCATGCTTATGTAGAAGGATCAATGGGTTTGACGAAGCTGCCCACTTGGATGAGCATACAAAGGATAGGGCTCGTCTGATAACAGAGATGCCAAGCCCTGGAAATGTGACACAGCCCTCTAAATCGTATGTGGCTGATCTGATTAAGATTTACTGAAAAGGGGTTCTCGTTTGATAACTTGGTGCGGGCTACTGACCTCATCAAAGACGCCAAGTCTTCTACACCATGCATATGTTATGTAGTCGCGGAAGACCCTCTAGTCATGCTGAACTGTTACTACTGGAGAGCGAAATACCCCATTTCCCCATAGGACGGTTAGCTGGTAATCAATGATTTGAAACACTCAATGGGCTTTAGTTATTTTGCCTCCTGTGTTATTGAAAATCATCTTGCACCTGAATTTATGCAAAGAAGAACAACTGTGATAAATATAGTAGTTACGCTACCATGACTACTCTGTATGCCCTTTTACAAAGAATGGCAATAACATCAAGACCCCGACATTTATCAAATACTAATCAGTGCTGGCTACGTACGCCATCCCGTTCTCATTTTACACTGTTCCATGCATTTAAAAGCCCTTCCACCGGCTCGGAGAGCTTCACTCAATCTATCGATTTGTAGATCTCTCCGCTGAATCCGCATGAAAAAGAAAATGTCATGCACAAATTTATGCACATGCATGGACTCGAAAATGGCAGCTCGACGGGCATTAAGAAGCGGAGAGTCTGTGCTAGCCGAAAATATGCACAGTCTGTTTGTAATGGGCAAAAATGAGTCGAAAAGAGAGGGATTCGATTAATATACGCATGATGAAGTGGCAGGTGTTCACCACAGCGGAACCCATACGTATGAGCATCTATGCCGGACGGAGTACTCCGTAGAGACATACTACAGAGTATGTATCAATGTGATTTCAGCTCCATCTCCATCTGAGCCAGCCATCTTGCGATGCGCTATCATTGATCCTAACAGCGTGTTTATCTGCGGGCCTTCTCGAGTTCAGTTCCCTGTGCAGAATGGCCAAGTTGTCCGCTATCTTCGTGCATTGACGCTAAACCCGCCGAAGCGGAGATCATCAAGCTGAGGCTGAGGATGATGCTGAAATAAATTTCGAGTGAGACTGAGAGCATAATCTCTTTAATTCTTCCGAGTAACGGTTTATTCTTTAGCAAAATGGTCTGGTTCCCGTCCGAACGGAGCAAACCTGATGGCTGGAAATTCGACATCGTCAGTCTGGTGGCTGTCATCGGTGAATCGACCATTGAGCGACATACTCAACTTATTACAGCCTCGCGTCTCAGTTGGATCCCTCGCTTGATTCCCGCTCCTCAGACTTTGCTTAAAACTAAGCGACCCGAACGACTACCGCCGGTAAAGGATGTTGAGATCTTTGGTGTCCACTCCGGAACGAAGGTCACAGAGTTGAATTTCTTCGCTGATGTTATCCTTAAAATTCAGGACTTGGAGAAGTATGAGTTTCGGAAGTATGAGATCACAAAACAGCCGGACAATATGCTGTGTCGAAACGCGAGCCAGAGTCTGGTGGTGGCAGAGCGGGGACAAATATACAAAATAAATGATAAGAAATACGAGAAAGACAAAGCACCGAACGAAATCATTATCGACAAACCTTTCCAGCCATTCAGCACCTTAACCATTGTCACTGTTGCATCTATAATGATGACGATCGGACTGTTCATTTGGGCAGCACTCATCCACGACGGCGTAGCCATGATCGCGATAGCCACCATGTCCGCGTCAACTAGTATCGCGTGTTGGGCCAACACATGGCACCCGACTTTATCTTCGCGACCAACAAGTAATGACGTTCCTCCTGGCGACATCGTCATCAAAACCCGGAAAGGCGCTTTTGTTGTGGTTCACTGTGATGAGGAGGTCACCCGAGAACTGTACACCTGCGCTGACACTTGCCGATACATGTTTGAAGATGGCGCGCTTCAAGTGATGCTGGGGATCAGTACCATTCTGCTTATGGCATCGATCATTTTCTTTACCAACTGCGGATGGACCATGCAGACGGCTATTGGTATGGCGTACATCATCCTCAACATGATGTACTGGGCAATTCCGTTCGTCATGGGAGATGAGAAGACGTGGGACATGAGTCTTTACCAAAAGAAGCATAATCCAGAGCATGATCGCGTCATCACTGAGAATGCCAGCTACACTCAAACCCTTTGGCATGCGATTAAGGAAACAGGCAGCGTGGAATGGGTCAAGCGCGGTGGTGCAGCCCCGAACACTGGGTTCTGGGAAGAATGGCTAAAACTGGCCCAGAAGAATGTGGACGAGAAGAACTTTGAATGGGATGCGGTAGGCGTGAAAAACGAATTGATGAATAAGGCGACTCAGGCTATTTGCAAATAGTCGCGTGGTTCATTGTCTATGTGTTTGTGACCAAAATTTCCTCATTGCAATAAATAGAATGCTACTATCATCAAATAATAATCACGCATCTATAGTTTCTATCCATCATAGATACTGGCTCTATGGGAGCTGGACCTTGTTGAGGACATATGGGTCATTTTTGAAGTTGTTGCTCTTTATGACATCCTGGACAAACGACAGGTCTCTTTCAATAACCCTAGGGTCACCTGTCTCCGACTTATATTCCACAACTCCTGCCATAAACCCCATGAAAATTGACAATGCTTCAATGATAGCGGATTCTTCTTTCCTTTGAGCTCCCCGAAGGACTTCGGCTATCAACCCAGGCGCATAATACGGCAAAATCGCAATGCCATCATCTAGGCCGTCCATGTTTAATCCATTGACTAAACTACGCTTCTCAGTTGTCGATAGTTTTGTAAAAGCTTTATTGAAAAGATCTGCTGATTGTTTGTTGTCCACACGGCCCATGCAGAGAATTCGAAGGAGCGCCCGTTCCTCCACATTGTTTGTTGATAAAAGGTTGTATCCCTTCATATGCAGATCCCTGACCTGCTTTGAAAGGACTTGATCGTAACATGCACGCTCGCTTGGTATCTCCCCTAGGGAAAATTTCTTCAGTGTCTCGATTGCTGACATGTATCCTTGGTAAACACTTTCCGTCACCACTGGGTATCCTCGGGCATTGCTGTGGGCAGCAGCGCCTGCAACATCCAGTATTGTCACCATAGCTCTCATGTGAAACCCACTCCCATTATCATGGATCTTGCGGAGAATCGATAGACTCGCCGGCACCTTCTCACCCTGTACCAGTTGGGATATGTTAGGTATGCTTCGATCTCCATGCTACGGAGGATAGTTTCCCTCCCAAATCCTGGAACACTTTCTATAGCGGGAATCATTCCCGCTTTGGCTGCTTCATAGACAACATTTGAATGATTTTCCATCTTGATATGCTTGGTGGGGTCGCGGTTTCTTGTCTCTGCAAGATCTTTGGCAAGTTGTGGATCCTTTCCCAAATCATCCGTCAAGACCGCCACCAGCAGCATATATAAATTCTTATAGCTTTTGAAAACTCGTATAAACACCAAAATGAGTCCTTTCTGAGTTTTCCCAGATCGTGCTGACATGCTGTGAACGAGGCGTAATCTTCTGCCAAAATCCACTTCAGCGCTAACGTACTCACAAGTGTCCGATTTACCTCTGCGTAGTCTGTCTGGAAAAGCCGTCGCGACGGCGTTTCTGCATTCTTGAGACTCCCAGCAGGCTTCGCAGTCCCTGATTCCACTGTTGACTCCGCGTTTCTCAAACGCTCGAGTTCTGACCGAAAGGCTGATCTAAACAGATCAACCACCTCGGTATCTGAAAGACTCGGGAAATTTCCCTGCGCGATGATGACTTGTAGTATCATTGCTCATGTGTAGATGATACGTCGTGAAATGCGCTTTCTTGATAAGAAAATTAAGAATTTGGGCTGACACAGCCCACTAAAGGCTACATATTGCGGGGCCTGGATGGTATGCTCGGTACAATCACAGGTGCTGGTTGGTGATGACCAATGAAGCGGGTCTCTCGGATCGTAGCTCAGAGGGGAATTTGGGAATCAATTATTCCGGACTAACGAGTTCTATATGGAGAGGACTAGCTGAAGGTATAGTTATATTGGCTATCGAACATATGTGCGCATACGCAGTTGATTGGGTACTTGCCTGTTTACCGGAGTAGGGTAGAACGGGACACGCATTCCCACAAAGGCGTAGATGGAGTTAGCTGAAGGCATACTCCTATCCCTTTTCCTCAGTCTTGATATTTTTGTCGATGGGTTACCTGGCCTAGCTATGGATTCATCAACCCATTTTATCTACCAGTCATCGAGCCCTCGACACTGAGACAACACAGCGTCCTGTTCACCAAGGTCTCAAATACATGACAATTGACCATGGTGTTATGAAACCTATGTATTCTTTGTACATTAGAAAGTGCAGCCTTGTCCCGCCTCTACCTCCTACACCACATTCGAGTAATATTGGTCGTTTGAATCTTCTTCTGCAACTGGAAGATATCATATAGGAACGCCTCTGGAGTTGGACATCCCGGAATGTATATACCCACGGGAACGACACGGTCAACACCCCTAACAACACTGTAGCTATAATGATAGTACCCGTTCCCATTCGCACAGCTACCAATACTGATAACCCACTTCGGATCAGGCATTTGGTCATAACACTGGCGGAGAACCGGCGCCATCTTATTAGTGACCGTGCCCGCCACAACCATGACGTCGGACTGGCGAGGGAGGCACGGAAAATGATACCCAAGCAGTCCTGATCGTACCGAGAAATGGAGGTTTGCATCATCTCCAGGGAACAGCAGGCAAGCCCGAAGCTAAGTGGCCACATCGAGCTTTGCCGGGCTCAATTCACGATCTGATTGAACGTTGTCCTGTCCCCGACAAACCGGTTAACATGAACTTTTGATTATTTGGATGGTGAAAAGGGGGCCTACAAGACATGCTCCGCAAGGTGCATTGGCTTTGGACTTGTGAGGACTACGGTTCCGGGGCTTGGGAAACCTTTTTTAAGAGATCCTCGGGCATCGGTGGCTTTGGGCGTCGCATATAGCCGCCTGTGCAATCGGCTTTGAAGAGCAGGACTTGATGCTAGCGTCCTCAGTGGAAGGTTGCAAATTGTGGTAGGAAGCAACGCTCTTCACGAAGGAATGATAGTGAGATAAAAGCATTATGGGGCCGATAGTATGGAGTTGCAGCTTACCAACCACCAAAAGCATTTTGCCGGGTCTTAGGATATTTGGCGCCATGAACGTGTTGAAATCTCGTGTTTATAGCGGCAAGACGACATTCTACCTTTGGAATTGCCTTGAGAGGTACGATTTTGTGTAACATAGTGATTTTTTCCTATGAAGTGGGTTTTCTCGACTAAAATTAGACTCATAACTAGAGGCCTGTCTGGTCGCATCGGTCGTTTCATTGACTTTTTTGATTAGCATGGAAGCCCGTGTTCACTTGCATAGCCCTTTGCCGATTGAGGACTACGTTTCTTTGTGACAGAATACTTTGAAGTCGGAGTTAACGAATCCGGTCTCCCCGCCACTCGCTGAGGTCGAAAGGACTTCCAATGACCTCCCGGCACCAGCCCTTTCGAGTATCGACGCTATGGTGAAGCCTCATTCAGGTGCACGATCTGAATGCACCCAGTGTGGACGCCTGTATTCTACATCCAGCCACTTACAGCGACACAAGGCAACTCGTAAGGACCTTGGCAAGCACGACTGACCGACTTACAATCCATCTTGAGCAACTTCAGATGCCAGACCTTGTGGAGGAGGTTGGAATACCAAAAGCAGGGCTTTTCTTATTGAAGGCGAATGTAATCAGGTTTGTAAATGCCTTCTTCAACAACTTAAATCATAGCAGTTGCTTTATCTACAAAGGCTCGCTTAATGTGAATACTGCTTCAACATAGCTCCTATTAGCAATTCTACTGCTCGGTGCAACTTGTATTTTACCCGAGGATGATGCAACAGCTGAGGAGTTTCAAAAATAGCTGGGTGTTCAGCGTTTGAAGGTCCAGAATTCCAACGGTTTCTGTATTGAGAGAATCATCCGACACCTTCACGAGAAAATATCCAGCTCGTGCAAGCAACGATGCTCACAATCGTCTTGCGGCCATCCACAGGCCAGATGGAGGTGGAAAGACAAATTCGGATACAAAGAGTTCCTGCCTTGGTGTCTGCTGTGCGGCTGTTGAATCTCACCCAGGTACTAAACAACATCGTCCTCGATGGTGAGACAGCCAATCCAGACGACTATATACGTAGAGAGCCACTTGTAAGGTTAGACATGACATATCACTTCACCCACCATTATTTAATGCAAGCGGCAGGATCATGGCATGGGTATATCCTCTTGACGACCACTGCGTTATCTTCTCCAATTCACCCTCACAATTCAGGATCGCCGAGACAAATTTCGGTCTTCCCGGACATGGCATGATATTCAAGGCGACTGGTCTATTTGATCTGACTGAGACCACATTAAATATGGATCTTCAGGGCCCACCACTTTCACTTAAGTCGGTGGTTCAACGGTTAATGGCCGACGATCCTGCTGGAATGGAAGAATTGCTACTGCAAGTAGATTCACTTTTTGCACTTCTCCTGGTTTTGAGCGGTAAGTAAACATAACACCAAGTGACTTGTAACTGCATGCCCTGAACAAAGCATCAGCATTACATTGTGTACTGTCTGATCTTCAATCACTAGGAGCTACGCCGATATTCCAGGTATTTTCAAACCCATTGAGCGCTCCTTGGATACGTGGAAGTTGCTATGGGAGTCATTCAATACAACAAGGATTATCTCAGTCTGGATTTATGGCTCACGCCATAGAGTTCTGGTGGTTGGCGAAGATGTTGGTGAAGCATCTCCACGATTTTCGCTGGAGGGAGAGATTTTCGGCCGGTTCTGTGGAGCATTTCCATGATATGATTAAGGGGCTTAGAGCAATCAGTATAAACTAGTAACCCCAATTTGCAAGGCGGTAGCTTACACCTTGCGCCCAATTATCCTGCTCTATCTTTGGGAAGAAGCTTTAAAAACCAGGAATTTGTCATATAAGCCTGCTAATCTCTCTTCTACTGTTGCACCCCATACTATTATCTTTTCTTTCATATTCCATATGCAAGACACCCCCCCAATCCAGCTCTAAGTTTATCCCAGCATGTCAAGAATCGGCGCCTTGAATGTCACCATGAATGATTTTGCGAACGTCACACGACCTCAATAGTTGACCTGTAATGAAGCATGAAAGTACAGTATCAATGGTAAGCGCCAGCTCTGATGCTGTGTTCTGGGGGATGCGCGAATCCGAGTCACCGATGGAATCTGGGTCCAGGGTTTTGTGCTGACGATGGTTAACCAAGGTATTGAAAAGCGGCTCCGGCAACTGCAGTGCCGGGATCGAGCCAGGGTGATGCTCAAGGGACTGGATATAGTCAATTTACACGTATTCCATCACATTCCCGAGAGTAGGAAGTGACGCGCAATCAAGACTATAGACCAGCATGTTCAGAAAATGGCCGAAAATGGCTTCAACATCCGGAATGGGTACATCTTTTCCGGAGGTCAGGTATCCGAAGCAGACGGACTCCGCGCGGGTCTAAGAAGCCAGCGTCAGAGCCCAGGCTGATTTGATAATGGCTGGAATTGTGTATTTGGTTTGTTAGCTGAGTCTGAATATGAACCGAGGATCTTGGCTGATGCTGATTTGTTGGTTTTGCAGACATCCTCGACATTCGGACTGTCTGTGACTTGTGAACAGACAGGCTGGCGTGCCGCTCCATAGCATAGGACTGAGACCATATAGGCTATTGTTGCCTGTTGCAGTAGGGGAGCTTTAACCCCTCGTACTGTGTTGGCTAGGGCTTGGATGTCCCCAGCTGCTAGCCTAGCCTTGGCAGGAAGTGTCTGGGCGTGTGTTCTGAATTTCGGTTTCCGATTAAACCAAATCCCTCATATAGGAACACCATAGCCATACACTTGAGATGGCTATGCACTCGCTCTATCATCCCGGTATCTATAGGTGTCAATGTCACTGTCTTTAGTGTTATTTGAGTTCCTCGCCTATAGCCTCGTGCAGTCTGGATAATTGACTCCCCGACACGGAGTTTTACGCTTTCTTGATCCTTTGAAAACCTCGTAATCCACTGGCTGCTGTACAGGCACTAAGTCATTTAGCATCTGCACATAGTCACAATGTATTTTTCTTCCTGTGATCAGTGTGCTGAGACTGGATGGGCTATTGTGGCTGAAGCTGTGCAATTTAATACAACTAATTAGGATGACAGACAGCCCTCTGTCATGTCACCATATGGGGATAGGAAGGAATATATCGAAGCCTTGCCAAATATCAAATTGTACAGGGTACAAAGAGCTTCAATTGGTTTATCAAATTCGCGATACAAATCCACGGGACAAATAGCCCATGCATATGCATGTATCCGAAAATGGCAGCTTGATTGGGGCTCAAAAAGCGAACCATCCACACAACAGCCGATTACACATGCCCGATCTGTGTGATGGGTAAAGAAATAGTGAAAACTACGGAGCATGTTCGGGAGGTAATTATATGCGAGATAGGTTCGTTTGATATATGTATGATGAAGTGGTAAGTGTTCATCTGTCCATCTTGAGAAGCCACCTGGGATAATCAACGATAGGTGTTCAGTCACTTCTGCGGAGTACTCCGTGGGGGCATACGGCCACATATCCTTTAGCTGAGCCAACCACTTCATGTATACCCACCAATATGTAGCAGCATCTCGGGTGCTATTCTTGCTCGTTAAGCGCCAGCCAAACCCACAGACTCCAAATTAGAGACCACCGGGATGAGGCTAAAGCTTACTGAAATAAAGACCAGTCTCATGATGATTCTGAGCCATTATCATACCTCGACACCAACAGCACCATCGACAAGCGATCATGGCATGGTTCCCATCAGACCGTAGCAAAGGCGATGGTTGGAAATTCGATATCGTCAGTTTGGTCGCTGTCATCGGTGAATCGACCATCGAGCGACACACTCAGCTCATTACGGCCTCGTTGTTCGGTTGGATCCCACGCTTGATACCCGCGCCCCAAGTCTTGCTGAAAACCAAGCGACCCGACAGACTACCTCCAGTCAAAGATATCGAGATCCACGGTGTATATTCCGGAACGAAGGTAACAGAGTTGAATTTTTTTGCGGATGTCATCCATCGAATTCGAGAGTTGAGGCCGTATGAGTTTCGGCGGTATACCATCGAAAAGGTCCCAGGAAAGGGCGTTACGGCCGGCAAACTGAGAGCTATGGTTGATGGTAAAACAGGCGGAGGACAGCAAGATGCGAACCAGGTAGAACAGGGACAAGTGAGCAACAAATATCGCAGACCACGCCCTCTACCATGCCATGTACCACGCTATATTGAAGATAACGATATAGTCATCGACACCCCTTTCCAGCTATGGAACAAGTTGACACTAGTTACCATCACGTCAATGCTGATGACAATCGGGCTGTTCATCTGGGCAGCGCTCATCCACGACGGTGTAGCAATGACCGCAATAGGCACCATATCGACGTCGACCAGCATCGCATGTTTGGCTAATAAATGGTGCCCAACTCTGTCATCACGGGAAATGGAAAATTCTGTTCCCGAAGGTGACATCGTCATCAAGACCCGATCAGGCGCTTTTGTTGTGGTCCATTGCAATGAGGATGTCACCCGGGAATTGTACACCTGCACTGATGCCTGCCGGTACAAGTTTGGAGATAGTAAACTTCAGTGGATGCTGGGGCTTAGTACTGTCCTGCTCATTGCATCAATCATCTTCTTCACCAACTGTGGATGGATCATGCAGACGGCTATTGGTATGGCGTACATCATCCTCAACATGATGTACTGGTTTATTCCCTTTGTCATAGAAGATGGCAAGACATGGGACCTGAGTCTTTACCAGACAATACATAATGAAATTGATGATCGCGAAAGGTGTGAAATCTACACCCAAGCTCTCTGGTTTGCAATCCGGGAAACAAAAAGTGTGGACTGGGTCAAGCGCAGTCGTGCAGCCCCAGACACTGAAGCTTGGAGGGAATGGCTGAGGCTTGCCCAGAAGAACGTGAATGATCAAAACTATTGCTGGAACGCGGTGGGAAAAAAAGACCAACTAATGGCAGAGGCAAGTCAGCTGCCAACGACTGCTCGCAGTCCCAGTTGTTTGTCTGTCTAGGCACTTGTTCATGCATTAATTAAATGGCTGACGCGGAGAGTTTTCTTGTATTGCAACAAAGAGAATGCTATCATCATCCCATAACCATCAAATATTCATAGATTCCATCAATCATAATTACTAACTCCACGGGATCTGGACCCCGTCGAGGACATATGGGTCATTTTTGAAGTTGTTGCTCTTTATGACATCCTGGACAAACAACAAGTTTCGTTCAATAACTCCGGAGCTACTAGGCCCTGACTTGGTTATCATAACTCTTGCCATAAACCGCATGAAAGCTGACAGTGCTTTGATCACGGCAGGGTCTCCCTTGTCCTGAACACTTCGAAGAACTTCAGCTGTCAGCCCGGGGGCATAATACGGCAAAATAGCAGTGCCATCATTTAAGCCGTCCACATTTAGTCCATTAACTAGATTGCCCTTCTCAGCCACCGATAGTGTTGTAAAAGCGATTCTAAAAAGATCTGCTGATTGTTTGTTGTCGACACGACCCATACAAAAAAGGCGAAGAAGTGCCCGTTCCTCTGCATTGTCTGTCGACAAAAGCTCATATCCATCTGAATGCAGGCTTCTGGCCCGGTCGGTAAGAACTTGATCGTAGCATGCACGCTCACTTGATATCTTCCCTAGAGAAAGTTTCTTCAGAGCCTCGATTGCTGACATGTATCCTTGGTAAACACTTTCCGTCATCACCAGACAGCCTCGGGCATCCCTGTGGGCCGCAGCGCCAGCAATATCTAGTATTGTCATTATGGCTCTCATGTGAAACCCACTTCTACCATCTTGAATATTGCGAAGAATCGATAGACTCGCCGGCACGTTCTCACCCTGTACCAATTGGGCTATATTGAGCTGTCCTTCGATTTCCATGCTGCAGAGAATGGTTTCTCGCCCATAAGCTGAAACACTTTCTATAGCGGGAATCATTCCCGCTTTGGCTGCTTCATAGACAACCTTTGAATGATTTTCCATCTTGATATGCTCGGTGGGGTCGCGGTTTCTTGTCTCTGCAAGATCTTTGGCAAGCTGTGGATCCTTCCCCAGATCATCTGTCACGATTGCAACTAGCAGCGTGTAAATATCCCTATAGCCATTGAAGAGCTTGCATAGACAGTGGAATGACTGCTTGCTGAGTTTTCCTTGGTCGCGCTGGCATGCTGTGAACGAGTCGTAATCCCCCGCCAGAACCCATTTTAGCGCCAACATATTCACCAGCGTCCGGTTGACTTCTGCATAGTCTGTCTGGAAAAGGTGTCGCGATGGCGTTTCCCCATTATCCAAACTTCCGGCAGGTTTCGCAGTCCCTGATTCCACTGTCGATTCCGCATTTATCAAGCGCTTAAGCTCTGGTCGAAATGCTGTCCAAAACAGATCGACTGCCCTGGTGTCCGAAAGACCCGGGAAATTCCCCTGCGCGACGATGGTCTGCAGTGTCATTGCTCGCGGGCGAGATTTTGAAAGTATACGGCGAATGATAGAATACATCTGGTAATCTGTGGGAGTCGCTCAAGGCTTGGGTAGACACAGCCTAATAGTTACTAGTATTGCGGAGTCAGGGTGAGATTTCCGGTAACATCTTCCACAGGTGAGCAGTGGATTTTCGCCGCACCCGCCGAAATCTTTGATTTATATCTAGAGTGGATTTTGCAGATTGGATTTATTCGCAAAATTCAATTACAACATGTCACCGTAATCGATATCACGTCCGGACCTCTATAATAATGTAATATTAACCCATGAATGCAATGGCTGAATCCAACTGTAGCTGGAATGTTGTATTTGTACACACTGGGAAACCAGCTGCAGTTTGAATATATCTCTAACCTAATGCATAAATAGAAACATCTATTGCACAATGCCACCCTCCAAATCACGAAAGTATCCAGGCCGTGTAACTATGCGACGAGGTCATTGGCTCATTGCTCAGTAGAGGCCGCTGGAGAGGGAATTGATAATACATTCAAGTTCCAACTCAAGGGGCTCGCCAGTGTCTGGGAGGTCTGGCCCTTTGACTTGGGACGTCGAGTTGTATTCATCCTCAAGAGATCCAAACTCACAGCTCAGTGCAAAGCAATCACTACACATCCGAGAGACTGAGTGATAAGTGCTTCAATTGTCTCGGGCAAGATGGCCCTGGCGATAGTGACAAATATCGCAGGCAGTGCTGAAGAGGTTCCCATGTCCCCACTACTGAAAGGGACCGCAAGGAAGCCGCTGGCCATTCAGACCAGGATGGGGAATTGATTAATATTATTACGCCACCACTGAAGGGTGTCTGTGGTGCCAAGTGAGTTCACAATGGCTAAATTGAAACAAACCACAGCTAGATTGCATTGAGAGGGAAACCAGGAAATAAGAGTGCAATATAATAGACATACATTCACCAAGATAAACTTCCAATTCGGCATATTGTTTGGCTGGTACGATACTCTCAGTCATGGGAGTACAACGGAGAAGCCTGTCAGTGGCGTTTGGATGCACGAAGGGATAGCTTCTGATATGAATCTAATACAGTTACAACTGCATAGGTAATGCCGTGAAAGCCATATCTCTTCTAATAGTCTGCTGAATTTTTTGCTCTGCAGCTACCAGACCTTGGTGGGTTGTGTGACGGCTTGATGTTGCCCATACTGCTCAACGCTGCGTATACGGCTAATAATGGCAAACGGCACCGACATGGATAGAACCTTGTCGTACAGTAGTTATAAAGACCCCCTTCATTCTCTAGATAGGTCTCTTTTCTTTCCTTTCTCCAAATTCGATATTTTCGTCGATGGCTTAGTTATTTAGATAGGAATATACTTCGTCAATATCTACTAGCTACCGAGCGCATGACAGAACCAGGCATTTGAATGAAGATGGTACTGTTTCTTCTCTGGACCATGGAGATACAGACATCAAGATCCCAGCGGTTGAGGTAGAAAGGTCAAAATCAAGACGAAGCTGGCGCTCAAGGTACGCTTTCCCTTTGGGACCATTGCTTCAGTATCCAAAACTTATGCCAGCAGATGAAGATATTGAGGGGAAGTCCATTTGGTCTGGGACACAAAACTAGACTCAACTGTGAGTTCTCGGCAAACTTATGTTCAAGTGGAGCAGCCATCTGGAGCGACGGCTGGAATTTGAGGGCCGTTTTTATATTTCCAGGCCAAACATATGGCTACGGACGGATGCCAATTCCCAACTATGCTATTTAGATAAGTTTGGGGAGTTGAGGCATCACGAGTGGTACTCCAGGGTAGGCCGATTGTCAGCAAGTACAGGCTTATCCGACACTGTTACAACAACTTGCAACTGGGATAGTGATGGCTTAACAGGTAAGACTGAGCAAGGAAACAAGCCCATATGACAAACAGAACCACAAGGGAATGGATAACATTCAATGGAAGGATCCCAGTTGACCGGGAGATTCAGAAGCGAGCTTAATCAAGGACGGAGAGACTTGTAGACTGTTTTACGGAAACGCGACAGCTTAGATAGACCGTGTGCCTTGCCATACGAATCTATTGGATCATCAGTGGCATCAAAACAAAAGACGCTCGCCTCGACGAAAAGGGACGTCAAATGGGCTAGATTACCCTTGGGGCTGTGTGGAAAATGGATGCTCATGCATATTGTATCGTTGGCAAGTTTTATACTACATGGCCACGATATAGGATATGGCAACCAGAAAAGATTATCTAGTGGGCTATGCGCCGGTCCCGACTGGTTCAATCTTTTTTATATTCTTTGAATATGCCAGAGGATTTATCTGTCGAATGTAGTTGCGAATTTGGAAGTCATTCGTCCACTAGAGCTCGGTCCGCACTCGGTCTTCATGCGAAACCACAGCATATTCTCACTATGCATAGACATTAAGGACTAATAAATAGCAGAAGCTATGACGATGACCCAAAGAAAGCACTTTAACCAACAAACACCTAGAGTCTCATATTTATACAGTGTGTACAAAAAAAAAAAAAAAAAAAAAAAAAAAAAAAAAAAAAAGAGAGAGTACATATCTTCAATTTTTCCATATCTGCAATATCACCATCTCATTCAGCACCCCAGTTATCATCCATCTCAGCAACATCATAATCAACATCATGGCCGCCATCCTTTCGTTGCTCAGGCTCGTTCGTCATCGTAGTATCCATAGCCATGGCGTTTGTATCATCGTCATCAACACCAACCTTCGTCGCATCGATATCCTGACCCGGTGTTGCGGGTGTAGAAGATGGTGCTGTGATAGGGAGGTTGGGGAGCCAGGAGAGTTGGACTTCGCCGACAGATGGAATGGTCCAGGAGCTGAACATGAGTTTTTCGGCTTGGTAGCGTTCTTTGAAGGTTACGATAAGAGAATGGGGTTGGTCGGGGTTGGGTTCGACAGATTCGTATTCGCCAAGGCCCTAGATTCGTTAATGACTTGTTCTGCTTGAATGTGAGGAGAATAACTTACAATAAGATATTGCCGGAAAGCTTCATCCTTCTCAGAATTATCGATTCCCGAAACAGCAACCCGTCTAGGCCTGTTATCGAGACGAAGAACACCACCACCGCGTCCACGGAACGCTCCTCTGCCACGGAATCCACCCCGGAACGATGGATCGTATCCACGACCGCGCGGCGGAAAGCCTCCCCGGCCGCGGAATCCCGGGAAACCCCGTCCACGACCGCGATATCCAAACGACGATCCGCCTTCCTGGCTTGGGTCGATTCCGAGAGTCTGTGCTTCGGCTTCGAGGGATGCTAGTTGCGCGCGGAGCTGTTTGGTCTGTTCGCTAACGTTCTCGTCGGCCATGGGCTCGTCTTTGCTTTCTTCATCGCCGGCGCCGTTGCTGCCGGCCTTTCCCTTGAGTCTTTGGAGGAGTCGGTCTTTTTCTTCTTGTTGTTTCTTGAGCAACTCGTCACGCTGTTGCTCGAGTGCTTGCTTGGCTTCTTCTGTCTCTTTGCGCTTCTGCATCTTCTCATCATGTGCCTTTTGTGCTTCTTCCTGTTGTCTCTGGAACTCCTCTGGGTCGAATGTTGGGACTTCGGGCGCTTCACCCGGACGTTGCTCATTGTTCCGCTCAGGCTTGGGTCGATACCAATAGACCTTGACGAATCTATTGTCGAAGATGACCTTCGGGCTTGACCACGCTCGTTTGGCAGAAGCATGACCATCGTAGGTGACCAACGCAAGCTTCCTGTGTGTCTGTAATGAAATCTCTACGATTTCACCAAACTGTGAAAAAAATTCGCGCACCGACTCTTCGTTGAGCTTATCATCGGGGATTTGCTCGACAACGATGGTCGCAACCGTAGTGTCCTCGTTAGGACCAGCCGAAGAGAACTCGGAGCGACGGCCTCTGCCACCGAAACCGCCGCGGTCACCACGGCCGCGACCACGACCTCTGTCGCTACCGCGCATAGGGCCATTCGGTCCCTGGCGCTCGGCATCCATCATGATATTAGACGACTTCGGGTCATATTCTATTTATCGCATTAATAGCTGCTTCGGCGAACCAATGAATTGAAGATCCAAAACTCACCATCTTCCCGCGGAGTATCATGCTGATACGGACATGTATTTCCCAAGTAGCAGATACCTTGCGTTTCATAAAATGGGCACCGTTCTGAGCTCTTGGGAACCTGCGGCTGCTGCTGACCGGGAGCCCCGGGAGCCCCAGGAGCCATAGGCATCGGAGGCATCCCAGGCATCTGAGGGAATCCCATACCCTGAAGAGCCATCATCGCTGCCATAGGATCATTCTGATCAAACCCAGGGAACGCCGGAGGCATAACCGGAAATCCACCAGCTGGTGCTGGAGGGAACTGACCAGGAGCCTGACGATTGTCTCTTCCCATCCAATCTCCTCGACCACCTCCGCGCCCCCGACGAGGGGCCTTGAAGATCCGGTTGTAGGGCACATCCTCCTGCTGCTCTTGGTCCTGGAAACCCTCATTGTAGCTGCGCTTGCGATTGTAGTTCGCGCCGTCCTGCTGGTACGCGCCCATAGGCGAACTAAATGGCGCATTCGCAGGACCAGACGGCGCATCAAATGGAAGAGGTTGCTGTGCAGGAATACCCTGTGGGAGTTGCTGTTCCTGCGAAACGACCGGCGGGGCCTGCTCTTTGGGTCCAAAGGTAGAGAAGAGTTCGTCGACAAATGAGTTTGTGTCTAGATAAGCCCCAAATGATCAGTCAAAAGTCTTTAGGTATACCTGTGAAGCTCTGCGGCCCACTAACGCTCTCTCAAGAAATCCTCCAAGTTTTCCACAGACGCCTTCCTAATTTCATCATCCGGCGCATCGGAGCGAATCAACGCGAGCACATAATCCGCAAGCACATCCGAATCAGCATCCGATCTGTCGTCCCAAAGACAACAAAATTAGTACTCCGAAATATCTTTTCCACGTGTGGTGCGTAGCTAAACGAGCCTGCTCTGGGCACACAAAGGGCTCTTACATGTCCTCCAACTTCTTCACCACCCACTTCTTCACATCCGATGCTTCTTCTTCGGAGAACTGCATGGTATTGTACGTAGGGGAGCTAAGCGTGACGTCTGCCGTTTCCCGGGGGCCGTGAGGTTAATCCGATTTTGTAAAAGCTGTTGT